CGTTCGTCTTGCATCACNGTTGAAAGATAACACTACACGACTTTCCAGGTTGCAAAAGTAATGATGCATAGCAGCAATGAACCGGAACCACGCAACCTGTTTCCTGGCCCATCGCGATTGTATCCATATGAGGAACATTGATGTTTGGCCCGCTCGCTGTTGACAACCGGAGTGGCGTCATTGTCGTCGGCTGGCTGCAGCATTGCGTCCACATTGCCTACGACCCCTACACCGTCTTCATTAACGTCGCTAATGGCTTCAGTGAAATTTAGTATCTGCTTTAATGGCCTTCAATGCTTTGGGAGCTTCGGGTCCGAATGTTTTGCAGCGTTTGGTCTGGTCAGAAACAGTCCGATTCCTCGTTGACTTTCCGGCGTAAGCTTCCGAACAGTATCCATGGCATTAAAGTGCTATGATATGGGTAACATGTATGTCTCCTGTAAGATTCTAGCGGCTTTGGCATGGACAGTCCATTTTTGGCTGGAGGAATGAACTTGTACGGTTGGAACATTATTTATTCTTAACTTTCAGGACCACGAACATTTTTTTATTCCGAATTCGGAATATATTCCGCAAAAAAATAACGCTGCCTCCTACCCTCCCCTGCTGCCTTCCCAAAAGGCCGCCGCCGTACTGCCACCCCACCTCAAGCCGTACGGCACGGGGCAGAATGTATCGTACAGGTTTTACCTTGGCGCGTCGAAATCTCTTTCAACCGCGGAGGCTGGGTTCCGAAACCTGGACGGCAGCCGGGTCTTGACCCGTGGGTCTGTGGATGTCTGGCAGCCTGGGCAACCGGATGGCCGTACGCAAGGTATGGTGAGCAGAAATGCGGAAGTGAAGAAATGAAATTTTTTGAACAATTGCTCTCCTTTAATAAATTAACGGTTTTTATATCGGAAAAAATAAGGGGTGGATGAAGGGGTGAATGCAAGAATAGTTGCAAAAACATGCCGCCACCGCCGCCACCACCGCCGCAGCCACCGCCGCCTACACCTGCACCTGCTATAAGAAGTTCGCCACCTCCAGCCGCTAGGCCCTGCTTGTATGTATGCATGTAAGTAAGCTTTCTAGGGGTCTGCTTGCTCAAGACGCCCAGTTACATACCCTCAAGACCCAACTACCAACCACCATTTCGCAACAACCCTCCAACAACTACCTAACGAACACTGTCCATGTGGCCAACTGGATATTCCTCTGTGGGTGCCATCAGGTGATGGGCCTATCAGTGGCTCTCGCGCGTGTCTGGTGCTGGCGGTTGGTTTCGGAGCCAACGGTACCGTATGGGGCGCGGAAGGAATGTGGCTACAGGTGTGGTTGCGATGTACATATACACACATACATACGCACGTAATCCTACCTCCCTAAACTGTCCCAATCTACTAAGTACACATTTAAGTGTTATTGGATATTTAGGGCATGCCCGTCCCGTTTGTACGACTGTGTACGACACCTTAACGTTGAGAAATGAATGACATGGCAGTCATGGTAGCAGCTCTGCTGCTGCTGCTGCTGCTGCTGATACCGTTATAGACGATGCCCCCATAAGAGAAGACACCTTTCTCTCACTTTTTACTTACATGACTTTTTCCTTTCGTACAATGCCGTACAGGATGAAGACTGCGGCGCGAGTTTGGGGGTTGTCTGCCAAGGTGGCTATGGGAAGTGGGCATGGGAGGGGATCAAGCGGCCGCCGCCGCCTCCGTGTCGGCAGTTTTCCTGTGTAATTGAAAAGGGACCGTGTAGCTGAGCTAGAAGCAACTGGGCCCTATCCTGCCATATGCCAAGCACCCGATAGGAACGACGCAGACACGACTCTTATCTACTTACGAAGTTGCGTTCCTTTCCATGCTTCTTTCCATGTGCTTTACATCAAAACACATCTTTGCTGACCCACCCAACCCGCGCGCAGTTCGGGATCCAGAAGTGCAGCTCCTGCCGGGGACCTTGTCCCCATTAGTGGGCACTGGCGCTTGCGGCGGCGGCGGCGGCGGTACGGCAGTGGCGGCGGCGGCACGCGACGACACGCAGACCTTCCTGACCCATGGACCCCTCTACGCGGTCAACGCACGCGGCAGTGCCGTACTTGAACAGCTAACGCTCCTGTACGGCAGACCGGGAGGTCTTCAGGCCAAGGTGTGCGAGTGTGTGGAGTTCGGCTATGGAGGTTGTGTGATGTAGCGATAGTGTGGGTGGCGGGCGATGTAGGGTGCGTTAGGACGACAGTTGTCCCCATGGGGCCAGTCGTGGCCGTGGCTAGTAGGCGATGTGTTTCGGAGGTCAATTTTAGTAGGCATCGTCTCCGTCTCCCTTTGATATCCTCTAATATAAAACTCTAAATAAGCCTATATACAATTTTGAAATAGATACATTGACATCCCCCTGGGGGGCCCCCCATGCAACCCCAAACTTATGTAAATACACATGCATGCATACGCACATACATACGTACACGCACACCGCAGGCACGCCACGGCGGCACAGTTGGGCAGAACTCGCGGCTGCCGTACCAGGGCCCTCCCTGGCTGCTTGGGGAGGGAGATGTGGTGGTGGCCCTGCGAGGTTGCATGGGACGAGCACCCGGTGTCGCAGCCAACACAGCCGCGCCCTCCTCCCCCTCCCCCTCCTCCTTCTCCTCCCCCTCCTCCTTCTCCTCCCCCTCCTCCTTCTCCTCCCCCTCCTCCTCTCCCTCCTCCTTCTCCTCCCCCTCCTCCTTCTCCTCCCCCTCCTCCTCTCCCTCCTCCTCCCAAGATGGTGGCAGCGGCGATTTGCTCCTGGGGCTGCAGTTCATTACGCGATCGGGTGAGGCGGCTGGGATGGGAGTAAATTTCAGGTGGAGCGGGGCAGGGGGTATAGGAGGACGACTGACTCTGCAGTCAGTTCCTCCGCCATCATCTTTTTTTTAAAAAATCAACGCTTTCAATCACATATTTCTTCATCGCGCGCTTGCAAAACCAAAACTAGGATTGAGACTAGCATAGATGACACCTTAGCTCCTCCACATGTGTTTTGACATTTTGCCCTCAGGCCGCATTTCGCAATGGTTCGGAAGCAATTGCCTCAACACCGGATTCAACATAACATCCAAGACGAATGCCACCGCCAGCTTCACCTTCGCAAACTCCAGCGCCGCCGCCAACACGAGTGCCACCGCCAACTCCACCTCGTCATTGTTCTTACTGAAGGCCCCCGCCCCTGGAGCTTACCTCGCAGCCCTGCAGTCCGCAGGATCGCCGTACATCTGCCAGTTGTCTGCCGTATGGGCGACTGGTAAGGAATTTGCCGTACCGAGGGCATTTCCTGAAATATGCCTTCTTCTCTTTACATTCATATTCTAAGGGACGGAGAGGAGACGCTCAGCTTGTCGCTTTTTCATCACATGGATCGCCAAACAAGTAAACAGACAAACAAATAAACAAACAAACCCCAACAGCACCCGCAAATACGTTTTTACACAGGATAAGCTATAAGCTGTAATCGGACAAACAGTGTTTACCTGAAGCTGGTTTGTTGTAAGCATGCTCAACATGTTTGCAAGAGAAGCATTCGCTAGTGGTTCACGTTTTTTGTCTCTCATCCCTTTCTCGTCCTCCTGCCCGCCCCGGCCACTTGCCGTAACGACGCCGTACAGGCGGTGATGCGGAGCCCGCTGCTGCATCTTCTCAGACCGGCTGGTCCGCCGGTGGCGTACGGCACTGGCCGTACCAGGGGATGAAGTTGAGCTGGTACGACGCTGCCGCATGGTGTTCCCGCCGCCACGGCGGCACCCTGGCCTCGGTGAGCAGCGCCGCCGCCAACGCTGCCGCTGCGGCCAGGCTAGCGCCGGTGCTGGCATTCGGACTCCGCCGGGGCCCAGGTAGATCCGCCAACGCTACAGCCAATGCCACCACTACCACTACCACTACCACTACCACTACCACTACCACTACCACTACCACTACCACTACCACTACCACTACCACTACCACTACCAGCACCAACACCTCAAACAACACCGCCGCCCCGCCTGGCAATACCAGCAACACAACGGCCTTGAACAACACGGGCAGTAGCAACAGCAGTAGCAGCTTATCATCCTTTTACTGGGTCGTTGAAGGTGGCGGCGGCGACACCTCTGTCGCAACAGATGATCCTCGTCTGCTGGTCGCCGCCGCCGGCACGTGGCCGTCAACGGCGGCGTGCGGCGTTTGGTTCACGTACAACAATACGTGGGGCCTAGCGGAGTGCCAAGGCGGCGCCGTCGTCGATGGCGACCTGGTGGTGTACGACGACAGCTCCCGTGTAACGCCATCAGCAGCGTTGTCGCGCGGCGGCGCGCTATGTCGGGCCCCGGATCCAACGCTGTCGTCGCCGTCAGCGCCGCCATTACTGCCGTACAGCCTGCCCTTCCGTGGCGTGGAGCTGCTGCTGTTTCCGTACGGCGCGGCGCGCGTCTCCATCGACGATGACCGCCGTGGTGTTTATCACACTGCACTGGCTACGTGCGCGTCGTACGGTGCGGAGCTTGCAACTGCGCCATCGGCGTTGTTTGCAATGTCGTCGTCAGCTAGCGTGGCAAACATCTCAGCCGCCGACGGCGACGCCATGGCGTCCCACAGCGGCGACGGAGCTGGCGCCGCTGTCGCTGAAGCAATGCAACTTGTGGCGACGGTGGCGGCGGCCCTTCAGCGATTTTCCTTGGGATCCCAAATCTCAGCTGCAGGCATTCTAGTGGAGATTCAGGTCGGTGTACGGTGTACGGCTTATAGTGTACGAACGGGAACAGGAAGGGAAATAATGGGATTTACAGTACCAAAGTATTCGTAATTGTTCGTATTCGTCTCTGTCTAGCACTTTCCTTAGATTCATGGCACCTGGAATTCATTCTCTATAGCTCAATACTTTTGTTCGCCACCGTCAAATGTGTACGTCAGGATGCGTACGACGTTTCGGCCTCAAGTGGCAGTGGTTCCGGAGCAACGCAGTGTACGACGCTCAGCCCTCTACCGCGCTTGGAGGTGAGGGAGGAGGCATGTGGTTGAGTTTCGGGCCAGGCACACGTTCTCGGAACTCTTTATGTGTCGCGACATGTTTTCCTTCTGAGAATGGGTTTCGGTGCGTGCTTGCGGGATGAGCATGTCGACAGTTTTGGCATATGGGGCAATATGAAATAAGCCAAGATAATGTGTTATACATATAATACCATCATGATGAATAATGATTTTAAAGGTACATGCCCAAATGTTCATGTTCAGCTTTTTCCATGCTTATCCTCTTCTGCTTTTCATGCTGATTTCATTCGTATCACTTCAACACCCCTGTACGACACTCACAGACGTACACCGTCGCCGGCGCTGTGTCGTCCAACTCATCTGCTGGCACTGCGCGCTCATGGACAATCCGCGGCGGTGGCTTTGTTGGCGCTGCCGCCGGCGGTGTCGGCCTGCTGCCTGCTAATTGCACTTCGTTTGGCGCGACGCACGCGTTCTTGTGCGCTCGTGGAGATGGCCTTCGCTCCGTGCAGACTATATCGCAGGTGCGGTGGCTAGCGGCCTTGCACATTACACCCTCCAAGGTCTGAACGGCTCGCGTTGCCTGCTTAATTAAGCATGATCATCGAACATAGAATATGATTCGCATATTACTTTTTTAATAATATAATCATAATATGTTACATTATTCATTTCGTAAGAAACTGAAATAAATAAACCTAAATCCCTTTTTTCGTTTTTATCGTTCGATATCAACTACCGCAGAAACTGCCCATGGCACTGGGATCGTCCGTCACCGCCGCTTCAGGCGCCTCTGTTCTCGCCATCATGAGCCGTGCTCCTATGGGGACCTCCACGTATGGGGACCCCACCGCTAACGCAACCGCAGCCGCTGCGGCGCCGCCGGTGCACCCGCCGCCGCCGCCGGCTGCACCCAGCGATAATGTCTCCGTCAGCGGCGGCAGCGGCGTCGGCGGCAACGATGGAGCTTCGTTCGTCGGCGCCGCTGCCGCATGCGGCGCCCTGGGGGGCCAGCTCCTAGTGTTATCGGATCGAGTGGCGCTGGACGAGCTGGCGGCAGCGGTGGTGGCGGCGGCGGCGGCGGATTCTCAGGAGGAAGGGGCGTTGTGGCTAGGGCTGCACGATTTGCTACAGCCTGGGTCGCTCCAGGGAGTGGGTGAGGAGGACGCAGGAGGTGGTGGCGCCAACACCTCGGGTGAGTAGCGATGCGGTCGGCGTGTCTGTGTATGTATGTTGTTACAGGGTGGTTAACTTCGCCAGCGGCACCCTTTCCCGGGGCAGTCCCTGCTCTCCCCTGCTAGAGGGGCACCCTAATCCGTCACCCCATCCGACTTCAGAATCTATTCGTTGGGTTCGGCAACTCACCACCAGCATCCAACCAAATCTAGCGGATCAACGGCGCATCAACTTAGTTCCTGGTCAGCTCGCAAGTTGATATTATCACGTCCTACATCGTCCATATGATGGGGGGCCACCTCCCATTTCATCATCACTCCTCAAACACCCGAGGAGCCGGCAGGCGGTTTTGAACCCGGGTCGGCCGGGAGCAGAAGTCAGGCCTTAACCTCTGCCAGCCGCCTGCCTTATGTGTATGTATGTGCGGGTGTGCGTGCGTGTGTACGTCTGTATGCGGAACAGCTTTAGTTTCCGTACGATGGCGTTACATCGCATTATTGTTCTGAATGAGGGTCTCGCAGTGGGTGCTTTACAAATTAACACTAGTGCTGCCCCTGCCCGTGCAACCCAAGCAATGTGATATTGGCCACATAAGGCCCTTGGGGTCACCTGCGGGCCCATTGCGCCAGTGCCACGGCTCGGACAGCACTAAGCAGCCACAAGAACCCCTACCCTTCTCTCCCTTAAGTTCTCCCTTAAGAGAACACAAACCCTAAGGCCCAATATCCATTTGGGAGTTCCCGGATGAAGATGACAAGAGGAGGGAGATAGAGCAAACCATTTTTTGTTGATGTTGTTATGCACCACCACCTGGAAAATGTGCGCATGCTGAGTTTTTGAATTCTGGATCCCACCTTTGCTCGCACACAGCCATGGACATACGCTTGGCTGAGCTATTGGAGGAGCTGTCAGACGCGTTCCAGAGTCAGTCGGCAGGTGATGAAGACCGCTGCATCGCACTCCATTTTGCCAAGCTAAGGAATGTGCCGCCGCCGCCGCCGTCGCCGCCGCCACCGCCGCCGCGTCGTACTCCCAACCCTCCCCACCCCAACCCCGTATGGGCCAATCCGCCAGGTCTTGAATCGCAGCCGTTACCGCCTTACCCGCTGTTTTCAAATCCCATGTATCCACCGCCAGCTCCTCCACGATCGCCACCTGATCTGCTGAGGCCTTCGTACCCGCCAACACCCTTCTCATCTCCGCCAACCTACCGTCCTCCATATCCGCCAACCTACCGTCCTCCATATCCGCCAACCTACCGTCCTCCATATCCGCCAACCTACCGTCCTCCATATTCGCCAACCTACCGTCCTCCATATCCGCCAACCTACCATCCTCCATATCCGCCAACCTACCATCCTCCATATCCGCCACCCCTACAGCCTCCCCCCACGCCGCCATCCCCTCAGCCATCATCTCCGCAGCCCTCCCCTCCTCCATATCCGCCACCCCTACAGCCTCCATCCCCCCTGCCGCCATCCCCTCAGCCATCATCTCCGCAGCCCTCCCCTCCTCCATATCCGCCACCCCTACAGCCTCCATCCCCCCTGCCGCCATCACCTCAGCCCCCAGCGCCTCAGCCCTCCCCTCCTCCATATCCGCCACCCCTACAGCCTCCATCCCCCCTGCCGCCATCACCTCAGCCCCCAGCGCCTCAGCCCTCCCCTCCTCCATATCCGCCACCCCTACAGCCTCCATCCCCCCTGCCGCCATCCCCTCAGCCCCCAGCGCCTCATCCATTACCACAGCCTTCCTCTCCTCCATATCCGTACACACCACAGTCGTCATTTTCGCCGCCGCTATACTCGCCATCATATGCGTCTCTAAATCCGCCACTCTCACTGTCGCCACCATTCCCATCAGCCCCAGAACCCCCGTACGACCTTCAGCGCAGCCGCCGTCGATTGCTGCACACCAGCGCCCCCCCTGTCTCTGGTGGTGTACGTGTCCGACTCGCTGACGGGAACTTGACGCTGCTACTTTGGCTCGAGCGACATCGGTGCCGGGCTAACCTAGACTTCGTCTGTGAGCTCCGTGAGTTCCTTCATGAACAGCCCTGATGATTATTGTGACATGTCAGCAGTGCGTTGCTGCGGGTGTGTGTGTGTGTGTGTCAACATGAAATGGATTGGTGGGACATGACTGGGGGGCTATAGCCTTTGCGCGTGTCCTTTTGTATGTTTGTATGTGTGTTTGCATGTGTGTTTGTATGTGTGTGTTACACCTTTTAGAATTGCGTTACTATTCAATGATGAGGGGGCCCAAGGGTCAGGGGCCTAAGGCTCTTTATAATTGGGTAAAGAATGTACGTCGGTCACTCAGCGAGCTTGTCTGTGTACATCTTCTGACCACATAAGCATGTATGTATTCATTCCTATCTGGCCTTGCACTGTCAGCACGGTCGCGTACATGGCCGTGCGTTACTGTCCGTCTGCTTACGTGTGGGCATTCAGAGGCGTTTGTCCCGCCTCGCTGCCCTGAACACACCGAGCCCTAGAACCCCTGAGAACAGCCCTGAACCTTCCACGACGTTGCCTGCAGTGCCACTCGCCGCTTCCGTCGGAGCGAGCAGCAATGGCGCGTCTCGTGGCGCCGCAGCCGCCAGCGATCGGCGGCTGTACGTGTACGACACTCCCACTGACATCGCATCCGCGTGCCGTACTTGTCGTCGGGTACATGCTGGTGCGTTTGGATTTGGATGCATCCGTTAGTCTGTTTGTTCGCCGTATGTCTGTGTCTGTGTGTATGCCACCTCAGTTGTGTTACCCGGAGGGAGCGGTGTAACGAGTGCCCATACGAGTCGGATAGAGGCCCAAGTTAGGTTAGGGACATGTATATTTGTATGTATATTTGTATGTATATTTGTATGTATATTTGTATGTATATTTGTATGTATATTTGTATGTATATTTGTATGTATATTTGTATGCATTTTGTATGTATGTATGTATATTTGTATGTATATTTGTATGTATATTTGTATGTATATTTGTATGTATATTTGTATGCATTTTGTATGTATATTTGTATGTATATTTGTATGTATATTTGTATGTATATTTGTATGTATATTTGTATGCATGTATGTCGTCATGCGACCTCTGTGTGTTTGTGTGTATGAGGAGGGGCAGGGAACAGGACAGCGGTAGTGCCTGCTGTACCCGGCACTGGCACCGGCCATAGCCTGTTGTATCGTATCTTCCCTTCCCTCGCTCCCCGCCGCCGTTAGCTACCACCCGGGGTATCCATCCATCCCCCCTTTGACGCCTCTGACCCCTTTTTCGCTTTTGCGCCTAAGGTTGCGTCTAAGGGGTACCTCCGCAAACAAAAACATTATATTGAGACCTGCCTTGGTCAATACTTGAAAACTTCATGCCTATCATGTTTTCCTAATCCCCTATTGTCTTTTTCTTGTTCTTGATTCAATTTACCACCCAGGTATTCTTTTTACCGCCGCTGACGCCGCAACCGCCGCCGCTGTCGCAAGCGCCTTGAAGGCGCGACATTGGATCGCCGCCACTACAACTGGCGCAACATGGCCCGCAAACGCGACGGTCAGACGCCTGAACTCCACTGCCGCCTCAAACCTCGGCGTCAGCAACACGTCGGTGTCGTACGACAATGTATCGTACACGGCATGGCCTCCAGGCTCGCCGTCTGGAGCAGCAGGACAGGGAATCGTTTCATGGATCCGCATCCGCAACATCACCTCCAGTACTAACATCAGTACTGGCAGTACCAACATCAGTAACGTCAGGAACAGTGACAGCAATAGGGCCGGTTTGTTGACGGCAATTTCGCTTTGGGAGGAGGCCTCGCCGTTGGCGCAGATGCCGTACATCTGCGTGCGAGGTGCGTGCATGAGCTGAGGCTCCGCGACCGGGACGCTGCAGCATCTATTTTCAGAATTTGGATGCTTGGATTCCTGTGCGTTGGCTGCGACCTGAAAATTCGCACGGTTAAACAACTGTTGATATTTCCCCGTATCTCTCGGTCTTCGCCCTTGCAATGGATTTATTTTTATGAGCCATGAGCCCAGAGTTTCCTGCCTTGAGGTCTTCTCCGCGTGTTGCCCTTCATCCTGCCCTTCATCCTGCCCTTCATTCTGGCCTAAATCAAAGAAAACGGGTTGAGACAGAAGGGAGGAAGAAGGAAGAGGAGGGATGGAAAAGGGAGTTAAAGTGACAGTGGCGAGGGTTACGGGAAAACACAGGGCTTGCCACTTGAGGGAGAGAGACAGCGAACGATCTCCGGTTCGAAAGACGATCTGCCGTCTCTTGGTCCCTTTTTCCTTTTCCGCTCTTCATCTTGTTCCTTGCTGCAGCGAAACCGACCCTGGAGCTTGGCCGCGCCATTGAGGTGGGCCTTACCCAGTACTTGGCCCTTTACGACGCGCTCCAAAACTCGGCGGCACGTGATAGATGTACGGCAATCGGCGGCGAGCTTGCATCCGTTGACCCCAACTTTGTGGATGCTAGCGGCGGCAGCAATAGCGCCGTACTGGCGGCGCTGCTACGGCTGATGTCGCAGAGTGTTGGCGGTGCCAGTTTCTGGGTGGCTGGCAACTGTACGGCAATGTACGGTGGCTGGGATGCGCCAGGCCTAGCTGCGCCTGGTACGCTACATCGCCGGCCCTGCAATGACACACTGCCGGTCCTATGCAAGCGAGGTACGACAGCTATGAAACCATGCATTGTCGTACGGTATTCGTACATCACAGCCAGTATGCCGTGTTCGGCAATGCCTCTCAAGGGAAGAATCTTGGCATTGTCGACTGCCGTTGTAAATCATTACAGATCAAATTAAGAACCGACACGTAATCGCTTGGAACCAGAGACGTTTTGCGTCACATGCCTCAGGACGTGTGAGCGGTATCCAAAGCCTAAAGCATCGCCTAGACAGGAAACATCACCTCAAAATCGCGTGTCACTGCCTTGGCCCATAGTCGAGCTACCCGCAGCTAGCTTCCCTGGAGTGCGGCCCTGCTGCTGAATCGTGACGCTGACGTGTCCCCTGGGGGCCTTTAACCGCCCCCATGAATGATGATGATGATGATGATGATGATGAAGAAGAACGTTAGTCGCCAAGGCCATCTCCGGCTGCCTCTCCAAAACCTGAACTCCAGCTATCGCCCCCTAATCCGCCTTCTGCTCCCCACACGCATATCACAAAATACCCCACAACTTTATACCGTGCAGATCTGCCTGCGCTGCTCCGTCCGACTGCTCTGTCAGCTGTGGGCGCTGACCAGCTACTGCTCTTCACAGTCCCCTCGGCCCGCGCACAGGCTGCAGCCGCTTGCGCTGCCGCCGGCAGCGGCTTGCTACAGCCAGTTAGCGGTTCTACGGAGCTGCACGCCGCAGCGGCGGCAATGCTACCGGCCGCTACAGCAGCAGGCGTTACGGAGGTCTGGCTGGGCCTTACGCTGGCTGGGGATCGATGGGTCTGGGATGACCCACGGGTCGGCGGCCTTTTGTATAGTGGTTGGGACTGGGGAGAGCCGGCGGCGGCGCCGCCGCCGCCGCCGCCGCCACCACCAACAGCCCCCGACAACACCAGCCTCAGCAACGTTAGCAGCAATGCTTTTAACGCAGGCATACCGGCATGTGCAGTACTGGTGCTCCGAACTGCGGCGTGGCGGGCTGTGCCGTGCAATGAAGCGCTGCCGTACATCTGCAGGAGGGCAGGTAGGCTTATATTTTACAAACGACTTGTAATCCATTTCGACGGGTAAAGGGAAAAGGTCATGAACGTGGGGAAAGTAAAGTACCGGGAGGGTTTGTCAGATGATGCCGCATGATAGAGTTGGAAACGTTGTAAGCAGGCTTTTTGCAGCTCTAAGAAACTGGGATCGTCGTAGCCTGCTGAAGTTACGGTTTTAGGGTTTTAGGGTTTTAGGAGGATTGAACATGCACGGTGCCAGGCCGGCAAAAAAAACGGCTCCGTAACAATTCGATATAGACTCAGGGAAAGACCAAGTATGGATTTGTACATATTCTGCCGTATACCAGTAGGGCCCTATGTCTTGAACGGTTGTATTACCAATAATTCTGGAGGTAATGGTCGTTGCGTTCATTCCAAGGCATAGGTATCGAACTCCGCCGAATTTCCTCATTATTTTCTCTTTGCGTCGCTGTTACTTAGACAGTACGTTCTGTCCGTCTACGTAAAAACAGGTGGCGCTGCAATTACGGATACCATTGTGCGGATTCCGTTCCCGCCGCCGCCGCCGAGTCCGCCGCCGCCGAGTCCGCCGCCGCCGAGTCCGTTGCCGCCGCGGCCGCCGTCACCGCGGCCGCCGCGGCCACCATCGCCACGACCCCCGCCGCCACGGCCCCCGCCGAGGCCGCCGCCATCGCCGATGTCGAAGAAGCGGTCACCGCCACGGCGTTCGCCGCCGCCTGTCGTACTCCTGCCCACGGTGGCGGGCGAGGATGGCAATCCCGACACGAAGCTGCTTTCGGAGCTGAACGGCATTGTGCAGATTACGAATTTGCAAGATTCGCTTCTTCTTAGAATGACTCCCGGCGTCGTCTTCCCGGCGGCACTACAGGTAAGCATCTAAGCCCGATTGCCGTACTTCACAGCGATACATGGCCTCTAAGAAAATACTTATGTAAAATGTTGCCTTTCAACCGTTGGAGTCCTTCCAAAATAACAAACACGACTGACTTTGAAAATTCTTCTTACCCCCGGGCCAACCGCCATGTTCAGCCAGTATGTTCGTTGGTAGTTGTTGATGTCGGTTGGGTTGCTAAAAAGTTGGTTGGGTATCCCATTGAGGCCGCGTCCATACAGCTGCCATGTGGTGGCTATTTAGGCAACCCCACTCCAAGGCTCAAGCCCACGGTTGTAGATCCACAACTTGTGACGTCGTGATGTCGCCTGCGAAAATTGCTGCAGACGGCATTCACGTCCGCGGTCTCCGCCGAGCTCCGTCGTACAGCCGACGGCGCCGCCACCGTCGCCACATTGAGGGTGTCGGTGCTCTTGTCCATCCGCTCCCATACCAGCAGCTCCTCATCAGCACGCAGCAGCGCCAGCGGCATTGCTGGACCCGGCCAGGTGCTGCTCTACTTGAAGGTACGACAAAGTACAGCACAGATTATGGCACTGTACTGGAAAGCCGAATTGACTTCGATAGTACCGAGCAGCGGAAGAGGAACGCCCCCCGTTGTTACGTGTACGTGAAATGCTGGTGATAGGTCAATCCTGCGTCCTGGTACCCTGTTTGAATTTTTGTCGTACGTGTTTTGAAAGACCCCGGGGCCACGGAGCTGCCGCCATACCGACCCACGGGTCGCTTCCCGACTCCAAGCTTCTTGCTTTATCCAATGCCTGTCCTATTCAGGCAACTGCCCTTTTCCCGGCGCCGTGGTTGAACTCCGCCAATTTGGAGGATGCGATTGCATCTCCGGTAGTAGCTGCCGTACTCCCCAATAACACCGTCGCGCGGCTGGGACCCACGACAACCAGCTCCCGTACCGTACCCAAGTCGTACTTCAACAAAACGGACTCGGCTCCGCCGCAACTGACACTGTACGGCGAGCCGGAGTTGACACTGGATGTTCTTTCATCAGGCTATGAGGTACGTGGCCTATTTTGGACTTTGACTGGAGATGTATTTCCACAGGCTATGTCCAAGGGATAATTGCGTAGAGGGAATGTATTTATTATCCTGCCGTCTTGCCCGGAACATGCACCCGTTAACCATGTTCTGTTTCTCGCTTTCGAGGTTCTGGCCTTGGGTTTGACTGTGGATGTGTCGATGTGTCGATGTTTGAGTGTCGGTGTGTGTGATAGCAAAATATTCCCTATCGGTATTTGTGCGTGGGTTCAACACCAATAAGTTGACATCCTCTCTCTTTCCTTTTTCTTTTTAAGTCTTTTTCTTTTTAAGTCTTTTTCTTTTGAAGTCGTTTTCTTTTGAAGTCGTTTTCAGATTTAAAATCTGCTGATCCCAATCGATCTGTTGGTGCCTTCTTCTTCAACACAGGACGATGGGGCCTCTTGTGTGGATGGCACTGAAGGCCCCCTGCCTGCCTCAGCCGTGGTCACCTTCGGGCTGCCCATCAGTACAGCACAGGCAACACCGCCCGGCGTGCCGACGCTCATTTTTTACGGCTGCGCCGACGCCGCGGGCAATGCTGCTCGTCCAGTTGTACGGCAGATAGTGGTGTACGACCCCTGTCAGGAAAGCGGAGAGGCTACTTGTGCGGACTCCGGTGAATGCAGCGTCGGAAGTAAGTGGCATGAGACTTCTTTTCAGTGTTTTTTAATGTATCTTGGCAATCCACTTTAACTTAGGGTTTTGGTATGCGGCATAACTTTAGGGTATGCTTATTATCGGCTCCAGATGCTGAATGGGCTTGTGACTCGCTCGATCTTAGTTTTATGGTCCACAGAATCCAGAATCCAGAATCCAGAATCCAGATGATTCCTTGTGCAGGGTTTCGTGGATTCTTGAAGGCGAAGGCCGAATATGTCGTGGGATGGCGAGATCAGCCAAAGCCAAAGCAAGGGGAGCATCAACAAAATGTTTCCCAAGTAACTCGTGCTCTCATCCCGCACGGTGCCCTGGACTGCTTCACAATCCCAATCCCAATCCCACATGTCTATAATTCCGCGATTCCTCCGCCACTGCCTCACGGCCAATTTTTTGACATCCCGCACACCTTTTTTGTGGCGACCTGCGTCTACCTGCCCGCCGTATTCAGAGAACTGCAACACAAAGATCACCGCCGCATTTAAGGCCTCCAGTGCTGATGCGTCATTGAGCTCCGCCCCCATGGTACGGAAGTGTCGTACACGGCACCTAGACGTGATCAGCGCGCCAGGGGTTTTATTTTGAAAATTAATTTATACACCTATGCGACTCATGTAAAACTAGCTGTTCGTTTCCCGCGATCCCCACATGCCATCACATGCTTCAAATCCATTCCCGCGCTGTCTTTTTAGCGCTGCGACCCTTTTGCCCCACCTCCACCTCCACCTCCACCTCCACCTCCACCTCCACCTTCGTCTCAACGTCCTCCACGGCTGCCAGTGTCTTGGTACCGTGTTCATCCTCCTCCTCCTCATCGACCTCCACCTCCACATCCGCTTTTCAGTCAGCTGAACAAAGATATCCTCCCAACCCCTCCTTTGCCTGTCCTGTCTCCAGGTGACTCGCTCGGCGGCCGTCGTCGATCGCACACCCCCCGTGATCACTTTGCTTGACCCGCCCTCGACCTATCGCCCCGGCGTCGACTACATGAGCAAAACAGGCACCAACACCATACGAGGCCGAATCACCTTTCTGCTTGCTAATACGCCGTTCACAGATCCAGGTGCAACGTAAGTTATAGCCCCACAAAAGCCTTTTTGATATGTATTTTCTGTTGAGAACTTAAACCCTAAACCGCTCCAGAGTGTAGCATGTCAGAGTACGGCATACCATGCCGTACATTGCATGAAAAATGCGATATTAGCCTCTTTATCTCCTTGACCAACCGCCAAATATTTGAATACCCCCGGAACTCAACTGCTTAATGAACGGATGGATGGTTGGATGGATTCTACTGCTGCTCCAATCTCACTGTACTAGCATGGCAGTTCGTACACCTGTACGGCTACCCGTACACCTGTTCGGTGTTTTCCTTACATCCTGATGCTTCCTGTTATCACAAATGCCGTACAGTGCAATCGATGACGTCGACGGTGACGTCAGCGCCTCCGTGGCGCGCTCCTATCCAGCAGAGGGAGCTCTGGATACCCGGATACCCCGTGCACAATCCGACCCGTATCTCATCACCTACATCGCCACCGACTCCGCGGGAAACCGTGCCGTCGCGTTCCGACGTGTGTACGTCATCTGCGCCGATGGCGAGCGCGTCTGCGGCGCCAATGAGACCGAAGACGGCCTGGCGGCGTGCAGTACGGCAGGGATCTGCGGTGTCAGCGGCGGCGGGGGCGGGGGCGGCAGCAGCGGCGGCGGCAGCTCTACCACAGCCGCCGGCACCAACACACCGCCGCAGATCACCCTGTTGGGAGAGCCCGTGGTCGCCCTCGTGGAGGGTCAGTTCCGCAGCTACGCGCCATGCACACGCCAGTCGGGTTTGCGGGACATCTGCGACCCCGGGGTCGTCGCCACCGATGCCGAGGACGGTAACCTCGGCCCGCTGGTGCGTCTCTGCGGTGGCGGCGTCAGTAGTGGCGTCGGCCTGGCATCGTGCGGCATCGACACCGCCGCGGCGGGGACGTACGTGATTAATTACACGGTGACGGACTCTGGTGGTGCTGCAGCGTGGGTAGCGCGCACACTCCTGATATGCCCTTCTTCGGAGGTGGTGTGTACTGCTGGAGGGGGCCTGAGCTGCTCTTTTGGTAAGTTTTCGGGGTTTTAGGGTAGGACTTCAGCGTTTTGGGGATTTCGCGTACTTCGAATAATGTTACAGGGTTTGGCGGATTTTTGGAAATTTTTTGAAAATTTGTTTTATGATTGTTCTAGAAGGGGGGGGCTTCAAGTGCTTGGAAGGCTTTTGGATTTTGGAGCTATGGAGAGGCTTTTGGAGGGAGGGCTTATTCATCCCCTTGGATGAGGTGGTCAAAGAGGGGAGGGGAGGGAAGGGCAATTTGAATTTCAAAAGGCCATGACAGCTGTTATGTTCTGTAATTTGTGGGAATGGAGCAGAGGGAATACATTTAGCATCGCCGTCATTCTTATCCTCATTAGTACCATTTTTGTAGGTCTCGCCAGCGTCCGCATCATCGGTAATACGGCACAGTGCAATAGCAGTAGCGCTAAGTTTATTACCATGATGGACTGCCCTTTCCAGTTACCACTTGTTTTGAGAAGGCCACCCCCTGTCCTTGCTCCCTCCCCAAGAGCAGGAGGCAAACGGAGCAAGTTAGGGCCCCGTCCTGTAACGTTTTTCCTTTTACCTTTCCTTCCTTCCTTCCTTCCTTCCTTGTCCTACAGACGGAGTCTGTAGCACCTTATCAAGCGGCAACAATGGCAACAGCAGCAGTAGCAGTAGCAGTGGTAGCAGCAGCAGCTCTGTGGATTCCGGATCCGGATCTTCAACACAGACCTCTTCTGAATCCGGATCCAAAGTCGTAATCGCGGACTCTCCGACTCTTGTGCTCCTGGAGAGCGATGCCGTACGTGGTACGGCCGTTTCATTGCCACGTGGCGCGTCGTACAGCTGGTGTGGGCAAGGCTCTGGAGCCTCCCCTGGAGTTCTTTGTGATCCCGGAGTGGCAGCCACGGACCGTTTTGGGACGAACATCACCGGACAGGTATGTATGTATGTATGTATGTATGTATGTATGTATATGTATGTATGTATATGTGTGTATATGTATGTATATATGTGTGTATTTTTGTCTGTATGCGCCTTCGGAGTTGCGTTACTCTCCAATGTACGAATGTCGCGTCATGCGCATGTATGTGCCGTTGCATCGCCATTACACATGTACATGTCGTATACCTCTTTCTTGGACGGAATTCCGTCGTACGTTTGTAGTAAATTTTAGATAGATGTTGCAATCTTGATGTGTTTTCAACACTTGAGCACATTGGTCACATACGCAACCACAACGCTCATTTATGAGCACACCCCAGAAGCACCGGCGCCATCAAAGACCCGCCTTTTCATTCTGCTCATGTCCAAATTACTGCAAAGTCCACATTTGATTACCTCCTACTCACCGTCGCAGGTGTATGTATGTCCGCCCGCCAAGTGCGTGTCAGATGGCATAGCCTGTTCTGGACACGAATTCTGGAAAAAGGGCATCGAGGGCTGCCTCAACCCCAGCGCCAAGGGTACGGCATTCTGCCTCTAAACAAAGCTGGTGTTCATAGCTACGATGGAATAGACATGGATAGCTGGTGCACGATTGTCCATTAATTACCGTCTTTTTCGTCGCACTCACGCAACTGCAGAAGGGGGCAGGGATTGAAGTGAGGTATTTGATAAATTGGCAAACGGGAAATGAAGAGCTCATTTTTGTAGCAAATATATGAGCACCTGATGGCCAAGAGTCAATGAACATTGACAGCTACAATGATATAGATTCTGTTGACAGGCATGTCCATCCCTGGACGCATCGCATCGCATGCCTCCTATAGCTTCAACCCATGTCCATGCCCTGTCCGTACGCATTTTTGGATGGATTTTGACGTTACTGCCGTACTGCTGTTCTGTGTGATCCTGTGCGGTATGTTTGCCGTACAGTTGGCTCCTTGCAAGAGATCTTGTTCGTGGTGTTCGACAAGTGGGCGAAGGTCCCGCGGGCGACGGCAGCACGACAAATCACCATCATCAGCCCCTGTGCCGCGGGTCGATACTACTGCGAGGGCGATAAGACCTGCAGCGATGTCCCTTGTGACACGCGCAACATAATTCCCAGCTCGGTGGCGGCCGCCACAGCCGCAGCGGCAACGGCGCTAGGGCCAGTGCTGTTCCTTGTTGACGGTGCAGCCGCCGCCAGCTCAACTTTGACCGCGGCGGCGCTGAATGCGACGACGCTGGTTAATGCGACCGTTATGGCGTCGGTGCTCAACGGAACCAGTGGGCCGCTTTACGGCCAGGATCATCAGGTTTATGTACCGTACGGCAGGCCTGCGCCGTACTCGTTCCTGCCGTGCGAGTCGATAAGCAGCATCACGTCGTGCGGGGCCGTGGCAGCGGATGCGACCGACGGCGACCTATCACGTTCTATCACGGTTGGTCTGTGTTGGCCTGTGTTTGCTCGCTTTGGTGTGTTATTAATCTGTATGCTTCCATTAAATTAGAAACGAGTCAAGCAACCTGAAACCTTTAGCATGTATCATCATCCCTGAAACCGTGAAAATCCAAAACCCTGAAAATCCAAAACCCTGAAAACCAAAAGCACTTACTCGATTAGAGCTCTTCATCATTCATTTCAGGTGCAATCATGATACGCGGCAGGGCAACCCAGCGCCGTCGATAGAGGTTCAAAACCGGTTGTCGTACCCCCGTACTCCCGGCTTCCCACAGCTACGCGGCCTTTTAGATCCATTGTCGCGCCCGCGCAACAGAGATATCCACTCACACCACTTAACACCACCCAACACGGCCTCGTATGCGCTGTAAGACTCTCTCAACACTAAGCTGCGCTGTAAGACTCTCTCAACACTAACCAACGATAATAACCACCAACCGTCAACTGCCCCCAGGTGGTTCCCATCTGCACAGCCGTGACGGCGCCGCCGGCGCCGCCGGCACCGGATGCTGACTCCTCTGCTGACGGCACCGAAGCGGCCGATGCCAGCGCCACCAATGATGACGTCACTGCCGTACAGCAGCAGTCCTCTGCATGCGCTTTATGTTCAGCGGAGTTTCTGACAGCCGGAGCGTGCGCCCCGGGTATTTACACACTCAGGTACGGCATGTGTACGGAATGAGGGAATCCGACGGGGGAAGCCCCACTGGGGCAGCGATGCCAACCACATTCAAACACTGTATCGGCCAGCCACGACCCAAGCGTGTATCTAAATGACCGTGAAGACCTCCGTAACTGTATGTACGGCATTTTTTACGACAAAGTACGGATAGGGCAAAACGCATGACGGAGTAAATGAACGTTCACCATGTTCACAGTTGCATAATCACAACCTGGCGTCTGCTGTAATGTGATGCTTGTCATCCTCTTCCTCCGCCTCCTCAAAACCTTAGGTACACCGTCACAGACTCCGACTCCTGGAGCGCCTCCATGACACGAGTCGTGATCGTGGAGGAGCGGGCCTCATTGAGCCTCTCCCTCAACTTCACCGCCTCGCTGCCGGCGTTGCCGTTTCCTCCTCCGCCGGCGCCGCCTCTGCCGCCGCCGTCGCCGCCGTCGCCGCCGAGCCCGCCCGCACCCACACAAGTGCCCACGCCCCTGCCGGCACCAGCACCACCAGCGGCGCCGTTACCATCGCCGCCCCCTGATGCCATGGATGGTGGCGACATCAACATTACTGCGATGGCGTACAATGCAGCGGCAATGTTCGTACGGCAGCTGCGCATGGATCCGCAGCTTCAGGCGCAGTTGGTTGCGGAGTATTCGTCGGTGTTCGGTGTTGAACCGGAGACTGTTCGATCGGTAAATGTGACTGCAGCTGAGGTGAGTTGTTCTATGGTCAGGGATTACGGGTGCTGCTGTTGCCCAGTCTCGTCTCTCAGCCCACACTTCATTTCCGGTCTTTCGTCCTTTCAATCTGATGCTACTGATGCTTGTCACCTTTACTAATATTTTAGTAAACAAATCCACATTCACAATCGCATTGCATCTCGCTAGCTGTATCACTCACCGTTTCTCCATGCCGTACTGACGGGACCCTTCTGTCGTACACAACTTCATTAAAAACCGTTCGGGCCCGGCGCGGCGCGACAGATCTTGTCGGCAGAGGCGGCGGCGGGACAGCCAGAGGATGCCGTACTTGCATACCTGTCGTGTGCGCTCATGGTCTCCTTAACAGTGGAGGTTGGTTTGCCGTTGTCGACGTCATCGTATTCATTTAGCTGGCTGTCATCGGTCGCCGCAACATCACAGTTGGTGGCGTCTTCCAGGGAGAGCTTTTCCCTTCAGCTAAAGTCTGCTGCATCGCTCCCGTCAGCGGACTCGGTCTCTGAAGCCAACGGTTCTCAGGGTGGCGGGGATGGCGTCGCCGTCACGAAGCCGCTGCTCGAGGAGTTGCAACAGCTGCGCTTACACCTGCCGACGGAAGAGGCGCTACTGCCGCCGCCGCCGCCATCACTGCCACTTCAACCGCTTTCACAGATGAACCTGGCGGCTGCGGCTATTGTTGAGGACCATGCAGGAAGCGGCGGCTCTGACGTCTCCGTGGATTACGGAATACGCAGGTTGCTGCTGCCATATCGGGAGGATGCTATGCCGTACATGTTATCTGACGGCGGTAGCGGCGTCGTAGCTGCTACCGCCAGCTACCCCATGGTGATGCAGGTAGCGTCTGGACGAGCATTCCGGGGAGTGGGCTCCGAAGCCCCTGTCACATCCACCAGCGCTTCCAGAACGGCCAAACGACCTCCCCAGGATGCTGTCCTGGCGGCAGCGGATGTGCTGGCGGCGGCAGCTGCACGTACAAACTCTTGGCTGGCGGAGATAGTACGGCAAATGTCAGTGTTGCGCAGTGGTGGAGGCGGTGGCGGCCAGCTGCGCCGCGCTAGACGGTCGCTGCTGCAGATTTCAAACTGCACTGCCGCTGCCGCTGCCTTGGCAAATGCCAGTGCAGCATCACTACCTCCGTCGGCACCTGTTACACTTGTCGTAACGGCGTCGCCAGGTGCGCCACCGCCGCCACCGCCGCCACCGCCACCGCCATCTGCACAGTCCGGGTTTACGGCGGTGCTGTCTGTTGGCAACCTAACGGCGTCCTGTGCGACACCAGATCTTGACCCGACGAATATAATGCTGGCGGCGCTGGCGGGTGCTACAGCCGCGATCGTGGACTTACATGACACGATGCTGGAGGCGACGTTGGCGTCAAAAACCACCTTCATGCAAATGGAGGACAAGTACGATCAGTACGACAGTGCAGTACTGCAGGCTTACGAGGAGGCGCATGTAAGTGTGGGTCCACAACCGCCATTTTATATCATGAATGGTGGATGGTGCTGTATTGTATGATAAATCGTAGAAATGACAATGTGTTCAGGTGGCCCAGAAGCCTCCCACTCTGTAACAATCCAATTCAATTCAAGATCAATCGACATCACATGGTTCCGCTTGAATTTTTACGATTCTTGGATTCCCAACGCTGTCCCCAAATCAGGTTCGAAGTTCTAATACTCTATTTGCTAAAACCCTAAAACCTTACCCTAAAACTCTAAAACCAACCCTTATAACCATATTCTGAACATATCCTTGCGCTTGTCATTATGGTTCCTATACCACATGGATTTCAATGCTTCATGAATTTATCCCAACTCGCACGGGGTTTCACCACCTGCAGAGCCTCGCCACCACAGCCCTAACCAACGCCAGCGCTACAGCCCAAGAAATATTGACTCTCCTGGACATGACTTTGGCAGTTCAAGCCGCCAACGATGACGCTCTGTCCGCTATCTCTACGCTAACAGAAGCAGCGCTCGCAGCCGCCACCGGCGCCACTCAGATCGCTGCACTGACGACGGCTGTCGTACTCAGCAGCCTTGAGGCCTACGGGTACGACACGACTAGCGACGATTGGAAACAGATGGAGAATTGTATGGCATTGCGCGGCGTTCGGCAGGGTGCGTGGTTCAAGTTTAATATGGAGCGCTTTACCGAAGTTGGCAGTAGCGGTGGTGGGAACGGGAGTGTCGGGGGAAGCGGTGGTGATGGCAGTAGCAGCCGTCGCCGCCGCCTGCAGCAGCAGCAGCAACAGCAGCAGCGACAGCCGGAACATGTGGGGAGCCTGGTGTCCGCAGTCCACCGGCGGTTGTTCGACATCGTGGCTCGACGTCGAGTACTGAGGACCGTTACGACTAATACCCGTACGGGTTCATTTGGCGGGTACGAGGTTACGAACGCAAACCTTTTGAGGACAGTTTTTATTGACGACGCCGCGTCAGCATCAGCCGTACCGCCGAGGGTATTGGGAACTGGTGGCTCCGCCATTGTCGCTGGCGTCTTCCTGCACCAACGGCGCATCCCAGCAGATGTACTCAGAGAGCGGTACGACACCTGCACGCCGCCAGACGATGATGGCGGCGGGCCCTTCCCTGGCGCGCTGGCTGTCGAGTGCACGCCGTACTACAGCCTAACGTACGGTGGGCCGGCGGTGGACGGCAACAAGGCAGAAACGGTCACAGAAGGCATCGGTGTGGATGCCGTGTTCAACCGAGCGTCCGACCTGTACGACGCGGATCTGGAATCTCGTCCAGGTACGGCATTTGATCAGATACGGACAGTTTCAACAAGGGCTTTGGTTTGAGCTTTCACGATTTTTATCATCTGCTGTACTTAAGGTTTTAGTCTGGACCTAAACAAGCAACCCTCGTAACCGCTGTATAATGTGGTTTTTCCTGTTCTTACCGATATAATAATAAAGAGAGTTCAGTACGCTCACGGCCCCAGAAAATTTCTTATATAAATACACAGAGGTACAGCCATCCTCCGCCTCAACAACAATTCCTTTTTAACTATCTGGTTATTGTTCAAATCTCTGACACCGCTGGCGCTGTGAAGACTCTGCCACGTACACACGCTCTATGTTAACCTTTCGACTAAGGATGAACGTCGGGCTAACAACTAACGACTAACGACTAACAACGACTTCAAACCGCCCTCCACAGAGGACTACTACAACACCTCGTCCCAGGCCGGGTTCCTCAACCGCAATGGCGTGCCGTACGGTTTTCATCCTTCTCCAATTCCCCTGGCGGGGCTGGGTGGGGGCGGTTTTCCGGTACTGTTGGACACGGCCCTCACAGCTACTCGACTTCAGCACGTGTTAGCGGCGCTACGCCAGGGAGGATACCTGAATGCCCATCTTACAGAGAGGTACGGCAAAGTGGGCACCGGGTGGCTTGCCGTTCGTACATTTCGTACATCCGTCGGGAACCGGGAGTCTTATACGATTTGAAGCGGTGTGTACAGATGCTGCAAGTACGGATCATTGTGCCTTAGATGGAGGATCCTCGATCGTGTAGTCATCCCGATGAAAATCCTCAGTTGTAATTCGGCATGGTGCTTTTTAAACGCTTCTGTAGGTCCGCAATAAAAGTTGTGCTGGCCATGGGTATTGAACCTACAACCGCTACACCGCATGTTCAGGGTGGTCAATGATTTTCCATAAAAATGTAAAACTCTTCAAGACCAGAGTTGTGTATTCCAACTTTTCTGCCTAAAGCCCATGCTCCTATCCCGCTATCCCCGCGCATTTTTGAGACCCTTTTCCCTCTACTGCTGCCCACTCTGCCCTGCCCGCTGTTGCCCTACCTGCTTTTATATGACATGATATTGCCCACCGCCATCCTGCCTGCTACTATATTGCCTGTTTTAGCATGACTGCCCAAGTGGTGTCATACAACTCCGACCTACGTATATTTGGCTACTGGCGCGCCGTGTTCCGTTGGGGCTCTCAAGGTCTGGTGGAAGCTTCCTTCAGTGTGACCGGTCTGCCGGCAGTGACGTGGACGCTTTCGAACAAGGTGAGGGGGGTAAGGGGAGTTGAGGTATAGGTGTGTGGTGTTGGGCTCGAAGAAATAGCTATATGTCGCACTCGGTAGGACTTGAAGTGGCCGGGGGCTCACTTGACCTGCAAGTCATTAGCAACGGCTTAGATAGACGTCAGATGTCTGGAACCCTAACACCCTGCGGCAATGGGATTTGAACACGTATGCGTTGAAATCTTACGGGAAATTGGAAAGGGAACTGGAAGGGGCGAAAAGCTGCATGGAACGTCTGTACTTGAGGGTTTCCTTTTCCGAATTGTTCCGGAGCTCGGTGGTCCATGTTGTACATCGATGTCCGGGTCGCCTAAGAAGACAAGACTTAGACCTGGCCAGGCAGGAGAACTAACTATCCATTGGCCGTTTCCGTGGAAGCTACTGGGATCTGCCCCGCCTTCTAACTCTCCCTCAAGACCGACATGCAAACCACCGATAACTAATTTAACCGTTATCAGTTCACCCTTGCTCGCTCTACTACTACCCTCGACCCATGAACGGATAGCCGATTGAAACCTGGTTATTAAGTAAAGCATTGGGAGTGTGATGTGATTTTAGTCATCAAAAAAAAAATCACGTACACGAACCTGCCCGCCATTTCGGCAGGACGGCGGGATCCGGTTCGTAATCCCGGACCTTCTACTCGTGCTGCTGGCGGCCTGGTACTTCGCGTCCACGGTCTACGATATAGTCGTGAGTGTGCAGGAAGATCGCCTCCGCGCGCGTGCATTGAAGCGACTTCTCAAAATGCATGCGCGTCGTGGTATGAGTATGACGGCTGCGGTGGCAGCCACCGCCGCTGCCGGCGGCACGGCCGCAGCCCTGGCGGGACGCTCTAAAAGCTCTTTGTTTGTCCCAAGTACTGGAACCAACAGCATGCGGCGGCAGGACCAGGCGGTTCCGGAGCCCGTTCTTGGTAGTGGTTCTGACCCACGGGTCGCTGGTGATGGTCCCCAGCCGACGGCGGGTTCCTTATCGTTGTCACCACTATCTGGAGTCGGCGCCGCTGCTGCCGGGGCGGCATTGCCTACAGACCGCCAAGGGGACCGCACACCAAGCAGCGGGGGAAGGGAGGACGAGGGCGGACAGCAAGGAGAGGCCGACGAGGACTTGGAACTACGAGACGGGGAGATGTGTATGGAGGCTGAGGCAGAGTTAGAGGCCGCTGTGGAGGCGGAGCTGGAGGCCGCTGTGGAGGCGGAGTTGGAGGCCGCTGTGGAGGCGGAGCTGGAGGCGGAGTTAGAACAGGAGTTGCAGGAAGAGGAGGGCGACGGTGAAGGCACCGCCAGCGGTAGCGGTAACGGCACCGGCGACGGCCTGATTTCCCGGGGCCCGTACGGCATCGGCGAGGCGACCGAGTACGACATGCGGTACTGCGGCGAAAACGGAGCGAAGGAATGGCGCGAACTGCAGCCGTTGAGGCCGGGGTGTAAAGCCACTGAGCAGTCATGCGCGTCAAATATCATTGACGACCTATACCGCAACAACTCGTCGTACCGTGGCTTGTACGGCAGGGAAGGCAGCCTTGGCAATGACCCTGCAGCAAAAGCACGTCCCGCTGGCACGGCGAGCGGGTATTTCAGTAGGGTGCATATGAACACTGGTGGTCGCGTCGGCGTCCGCGGTGGTGATGGCCCCAATCAATATGCTCGATCCAGGCTTCTTCCTGGCAGCCGTACGACGTCGTATTCGCAGAAGTCCTTCAACTCCAAGCTGTCATTTGGAGGAGCTTCACTATCCCGGAACTCATCCAAGGTCGTGAGCAGGGGGTTAGCAGTTGGGTACGACAAGTCCATCATGATGACATCCAATCCAAGCTACAGCTTCCAGGACGATGGGAAACGTCCAAGGGGGCCGCAACTTACGATGCCGTTGGGGATGCCTAGTCGTGTGCCGGAGGATCCCAAGGCGGCAGCAGTACGACTGATGGGGCAGGAACAAGAGGTCGTGGCGATAAGGAGCAAAAAGGTAGGTTTTTGTCATCTTTTTTCCGTTTTTTCTGTTGGGGAGATTCGATTGGGTACACCACATCGTCATTTCCCTTCCACCCCGCATATGTGGGCGGGCTGTACCCTGTAAGCATAAGTCCTTATGCCCTCTAAACATTGAAACCCTTGAACACTAAAACCCACAAACATTGAAACCCTTGAACACTAAAACCCACAAACATTGAAACCCTTGAACACTAAAACCCACAAACATTGAAACCCTTGAACACTAAAACCCACAAACATTGGAACCCTTGAACACTAAAACCCTTAAATCCCTCCCCCTCCTCAGGGCGTGAAAGCGGTTCGGAAATATCGAGCGCGTATGACTCCATTTTGGGCAGCATACGAGCTTATGGTGTGCGGGTTCATGGCGGCTTGCCTTGCCATCCTGTTTATCTACTCTCTGCAGCTCTCCAGGGATGGTCCACAGCGGCTGAGGTACGTCGCTGGGGCCCGCTAAGAGCGATGTAGCTAATTTGGCTGGGTGTGGCGCGCCACGCGTGTCCCTAAAGAAAGGTTTTTGGTGTTTTGGAAAACCCTCCTCTGACTTGGATTGGCAGCTTCCGTGGATGGGTTTAGCTTTTTGTTGGTCTGCGGTTGGGAAGGGTTGATTCATATTGGCGGTTGAGGCGTTTCGGAAGGTTCGCATGATTCGATGCGGCAGCTGTGCGGAGTAGGTGTGTGTGGGGTAAATTTCGTTTTGCTTGGGCTGCGGTATTTTATTGTGTTTTATGACATTTCATAATATGTAATGTGACATCAGACAGGTAACACATGGGCCCTGCCTTGTTTCTGTATTTTACTCCAAAAAGGTACGACGTGTACGACTCGCTAAGCGGAGCGCCAGCGCATATTTTCATGCTTCGGCGTTTGACTGCGGGACGAGACAATGCAACGTTGCCGGCGCCAGGTGACCCATTGCGCTGGACATTGCCAGAGGATACCAGCGGCCTGGAAGGGGTCGCTATCCTGTACGACAAGGTACGGCAGCATGCCATGAAAGATTTTTCGTCGGGGACTTTCAGTACATTTCTTCAGCTTGCCTAGTCGCCGGGCTGTGTCTCTGAAGCTCATGCATGGTCATCTCCTTGCTCATTTTTGCTCTAATGGATTAACTAATTAATAAAAACAACATCTTTTTGCGCGCCACTGGTTCTGTCTTCTAAGAGCTTAAGTGAGGCTGCACAAAATTGGATACCCAACCGACCTCCGCCAACACCAGTTAACCAACCAGTTTGAAATGCTTTCCGCCGCTATCACGCACCTCTCAGGTCCTGCACATGCGCGACATGTGGATGCTGTACAACTTCTTCCAGGTGTGGCATAGTGTGATAAGGAAATGCGCCCACATACATTAAATATACGCTCGTCTTAAATATGTATGCGCGCCTATGCGGATTTGTATACGTATATACCCCTTGAGAAAAGCGATAATGGATTTGTCGGTGGCAAAAATCACCTATATTTTATTAGCTACATATGCACACATACACACATACACACATACACACATACATACATACACACATACACACATACACACATACATACATACATACACATATACACACACCAGCTATTACCACCACGACTGAGACTCACAACCTCCCACGCAACCCAACAAACCATTTCCTGCTCTTCCTTCTCCCTCTCTGCCTTCCCCCTTCCCTTTTGCAGCCTCTTCTCTTCCCCATGGTTTTCGTTTTCTGATGCCCCATTTTGTTTTTGTCCAAGGCATTAGCTACCTTACTCCTCCCTCCTAAAGCCCTCATCACACCTTCCTATCTGCTCCCCACGTATCCAGGGTCTCGTGCTCGTGCTGTTGATCATGCGGCTGGTTCATCGTCTGTCATTCCAGCCGCGCCTCTCCATTATCTCTGGTACTCTCGCGCGAATGGTCCCCGACCTGGCGGGCTTCGTGCTGGTTCTCGTTATCATCCTGGTCATGTTTGCGATGATGCTGGTGGTGCTTTGGGGCGATACGATAGAGCAGCTGAGCCGCGCGGCAGATGGCGTTGTGTGGACCATCACGTACTTCATTACCGCGCTGGATTCAAGCAAAGCACTCGATGTCGTACATGCCATCCATGACGTAAGTAGCTTGTACGGGAGGAATGTGCCAGAAGCGCTCTATCGTGAATGGGACGTGACCCAGAAGCCCTGAGAAAGAAAATTGTGTAATAAAAAATTATAAAAAGGAAATTATATGCTTTCATGTATGCATCGGACCATGATCGGAAACCAAATCCTTTTTCATTGTGATATTTGAATATTCAAATGGGCAATGAATTGCCCATATATTGACCGTATGGCGCCTGACGCTCGTTCTCCTCGCAGCCGAACAACCAAGCAAACGGCGCCTACATGTTTATGAGCTGGGTCGTGACGATCTGCGGCCCTCTTTTCTTTATCTTCACGCTTCAGCACTTCGTGATGGCCCTGTTGGCATGGCCCTTCAGCGAACTGAAGGTGGGAGGTCCGTTTGCACACGGTTCTAAGAATCATCGGTGACACCCGCGGCACGCCGTACAAAAATGCGTTCCTGAAAGTGCACCTTGCATAACCGCAATAAGATTAGCTAGTAACTAGCATCATTTACCCTTTTTACCCGATCCTCATTTACCCATTGCCAAGGTTAGTGTGTTCATGCACATTGTCGTTCTTCAACACTGGCAGCAGGTCTCCCCCTGCACCTCTCTCGCTCTTATTCTCTCCTTACTGCCCTTATCCGCACCTTGATGACCTCCGCAACCGATGTTTTTTCCTCTGCCGCCTGATCATCATCCTGGCTGCTGAAAACCCCCCCAGATGGCGAACAAAAATGAGCCGCTCGCATCCACTGAGATTGCCCAAATTACCTGGTGGTGGTGGCAGGTAACGAAACTAAAAATTATGATAATTAAACAAAATATTTTTAGTCCAGAAAATTTTATCAAAAGATAGTTCATGTTGTGTAAACATCCTTGCAAGGCTGAACGTGCGCCTTCAAAGAAATGAAAAAAATGTTAGGCTTTAGGGTTTTAGAGTTTTAGAGATTGTCGAAATCCGGATTTCGACAGGATCCTACACCTGTCTCTCAGACATCCTTTCCTCCACTCCCTTCCGCCGCAGAGGTCTTCCTACATTCACCGCTCTTCCCTCCTTTTTTTCCCGTTTTCCGCTTTCACACTCTTTCGTTCTCCCTCTTCTTCCTCCGGGCCCCCTTTCCACCCTCCCCCTTTTCGAAACTGCAGCGCATCTTCAGTAGCGCCCCGAAAAACAAGTCCATCATGAAGACGGTGAGCAACACGGTGCCCCCACGCCGACAGCGCCGCAAGAGCGGCGGCCACTCGCACACCTCAACGATGGATTCCCTATTAGCTAAGGCAAGCCAGCTGCGCCATAAGCTGGCGGTCAGTCTAGCTGCGGCTCGGCGACCGGATGTGGGTTGCAGGTGAGGGGCGTTCCCAGGGCTATGGCCTGTTTAGGCAATGCTGCGGGGTTCCTTCATTCCATGCGACAAAGGTGTTGTGTAAGGCGTAAAGTTAGCTCCAGTGCCCGTGTTAATTATTGGCACCTGCGCCGTCAATAAGTTATGTTCATAGGGTATTATTGCTCGGTGGCGGCACTGCCTGGAAGCAGCACTGCCTTTGCGGGCATTCGGCACATGGTTCGGGACGCTAGCTCGGGAGAGACATATCGTATATATGCATACATAGCATGTACCGCATGAACATGTGCACGTGATTGCTGACATGTTGTCGTATACGTGTACGTATACGTACAGGAGCACAAACATCAATACAGGAATACGGAGAATGATCCTTAAGTGTGCAGTAAATAAAGCATTCGCAATGTAGCGCTTTACTTCGCTACCCTGCGAATGCTTTCATGGGGATTCGCACAACCTGACCTGTCAGATTTGGAACTCACACGTATTCACACTTGCATGAAATTAATGAGATACACGTCACCAGTTCCGGACGAATGCGTGGGGGGAGGAGGGGAAGGCGTCCGTAAAAGCTTGAGGGGTGGCCATGGACGATCAATAACCATTATTGTGGCACTATTTAAGGATGCTGGTGGATATAACACACTTGCACATGTGCTCATTGCCGCACGCAAGGACTCTGGAGGTCGCGGTAGACGACGACTGGCTCAGTGCCGGGGAGCTGGAGCAGCTGCTCGCGCAGCTGCTGCTGCGGAGGGGGCGACGGGTGCCGCAGCTGCGGGATAATGATGCGGGTAAGGTGGTACACGCAGGGCAGGTGCAGCGCGATACATTGACCCATGGGTCTGCCGCGTCCAAGCAGCCGCAGCGTACCTCCTCCCGAGGAAGCGTCATGCCGGAGCCGGGGCCGCATGTTGAGGTGGAGCTTGAATGTGCGTTGTGGCGCGTCGGCGGGTCCGACGGGCCGGAGGTTGTGGTGGACGAGGCCAGCGGTAGAGGCGGTGATGGAAGGGGCAGCAGGCGGGGCTGCAGCTCGCCGGCGCTGGCCTGGCCTGGGAATGCCGAGGCATCGACATCGTTGTCATTGGAGGCGGCAGTGGCCGCTGTTGCAATGAACCTCGTACAGCGCATGGGGCAGCTACGGAACAGCGTGGTCAGGCCGTCCCATAGCAGTATGGAGACCGTTGGCAATAACCGTCCTGCTTCCATAACGGCCTCCGCCACCAACGGTCGCAACGGTGACAACGGCAACGGTGGCGACCAATTTGACGCCAACAACACGGGGAACAGCAACAGCAGGATCGCGGTGCCGACACCGTCTTTGGCAGCACCAGCGCTTGAGGTGTTGGCGGGCAACAACCTGGCTGCGACGGCGATGGGATCGGCGGCAGTCGCAACTGCCATCAGCGACATCGACGGTGTTGGCAGTGGCGGCGGAGGCATGGCGCCCCTCGGCCGGGCCGCAACCCAGGTGTCATTGCGTGTACGGCAAAGCGAAATAGCGCCTGACCAAGGCCTAATCAGTGCCGGCCCTGTTATCACCCGTGCGGAACCTCCTGGTGTTGTGGAGGGCAACAATCAAGCTTGCACTGCCTCTGCCCCGGCGGCTGTGGCCGCTGTAGTCCAGGGTCTGGCGGCAACAGCCTCGGCCATGCACGCCGGCCCTTCAGCCGCCTCGACCAGCCGGAAGAATCTTCGTACCGGAAGCCGTGTCAAATTTGACAGCAGTGTCAACGCAGATCCGGAGATATGTGTGGCCAGCGCAACATCACCCTTCACCTCCACTTTTGCACAGGCTAACACGGCGGCCACCGCCACCACCACTGCCGCCGGTGGCACTGGACTGCGGCGACAGCCCGAGGGCTCCTGGGATTCCCGGTTGCATCAGCTTCTTTCCGAGCTTAACAGAGAACTGACGATGGTGCAAGGAAACGCCACAAGTGCAGATGGAGCCACGGGGATGGCGACATCAGTGGCGGCACCGGCACCGGCACCGGCGGTGTCCATGGTGCGCACCGGTAGTACCGGTATACGGAGCGGACCTAGCCTCTTGAAGGCTAGCGAGCAGCCGCCGGCAAGCCTTTCGACACCGCCGCCAATGCCAAAGACGCCGCTGCAGCTACAGGCGCAGTCGCAGGTGCCTCCGGCCCTCGAACCGTCACCTTTTAGAACTGCGGGGAAAGAGCTGCGCAGTCCACGCTACGGATTGGAGCTTTCGCTGTCAATCAAAGTTACCAGACAATGGTCGGCGGTGCCCGCGGCTCCTGACTTGCAAGAGCAACAGGAGCCAGTATTCTCACCGAAACAGCAACAGCAGCAGCAACAACAGCAGCAGCAACAACAACAACAACAACAGCAGCAGCAGCAGCATTTGGAGGTTGAGACACGGAGCGGCGGTAACTCTTCACAGAAACAGCACGACCAAGACCGTACTGCAGGCGGCGGCAGCTGTTGCGGCACGGTGGTACGGCATAACGGTTTATTTCCGGACGAGCTATCTGATGGGGAGCAGTTCCGCCGGCTTGTACTGTCCGTCATGAATGCCTTGATAAGGCAAACTGCGGCGATGCTGACCGTGCTCCAGTCCCAACGGCAGGAACAGCAAAGACTCTTTGCAAATCTGGAAGGCATCCTGGAGTCGACACCGCGCACTCAAGAGCTTAGGGAGCGTCTTGTGGCCGCTAGGGTGGTCAGCGGCGTGGAAATCTACGCCAGCAGCGGTGGTGCCAGAGGCAGCATTGGCCACGGTGGTGCCGCCGAACCATTGCGCTCGAAGTCTTGGATAGAGCTGATTCGCGGGATCCGGAACTCCGGCGGCAGTGGTGACGGGGCCAAAGCGGGCACACCACGGAGCGGTGGCGGCGGCGGCGGCGGCGGCAGCGCTACCGCCGCGTCCCCCCAACCGGCTGCTGTGGGCCGTTGGCGCGCTGCTGCTGCACGTGTCACCGGGCTGGCCCGAATCAAGGCCGCCGCCAGCACCACCAACTCGTCCGCTGCACCTTCAACTCGTAGCCGCGGCTGGGGCGCCCGACGACGTACCGCCGCCGTCGCCGTGGCGCAGTCTCAGCAGCAACAACAACAGCAGCAGCAGCAGCAACAGCGGCCGCAACAGGCTCCGGGCAAACGCCATGGGCAGCTCCGCAGCCGTCGTCGATCCGCAGGGGACGTGCCGCAGCCCTGGGACTTTGCGGGGGCGGCAGCGGCCGATCCTGTACTCGCCGCGGCAGTGGCAGCTCGCCATGGGACAATACAGCCGCGTACCCCTCCGCTGCCGTACGGTGCTGGCGTGCTGCACCAGGGGATGACTCCGACGACCCCGCCAGTTCAAAGGGCCTTCAGCTTCACGAGTGCCGGCCCCAGCAGAGGCCCAAGCAATATATCTTTCCCGGTTTACAGCCGCCAACTGCCATCGCTTGCTCTGCCTTCGGAGCTGAAAAAGGAGCAGCAGCAAATGCAGCAGCACAACGCGGTGCAGATTCCGAACTTGGCTGCGGCTATGCCACCCATTCCTGCTTCCGTGTCTGCGGTGGAGGGATCCTTGGATGTGGAGGCGCCGCCGCCGGTGCCGGTGCCGCTGGTTGTGCCGGTGCCGCCGGTGCTGCTGCCACCGGTGCAGGTGCCGTCCCTGCTGCCAGTGCCGCTGTCGCAGCCACTGCCACTGCCGCTACCGCCGCTGTCACCGACCAGGCGTATTGCGGACGGGGATCCTGGAGGAGACTGCAATCGATAGCAACTCAGAACATCTGCTGCCACCGCTAACATCTGCAGGCCTCGAACCGCAGACTCTGATACTCGGTGGATACTTTAGTGCAACTGAGATGCAGCTACAGAGGACTTTTAAGTATCCTTGCTATTACCGAGGTTATTGAAGTGAAGGGACTTAGGCCTTGCATACGTGCGTTACCACAGGCCAGTATTGCCCGAATATTACCAGAATATGGCATTATTGCGGCTCTGACAACAAGGCAAGCAGAACGAGTTCCCAGTAGTGCGTGCGTGTGTGCGGTGGTGTGTACGCACATACACACATGCAAACGTACACCCCTTCCTGTTGCCGTACCCGTACATCTGTAAATGTTTTGGTCGCCTATAGGCAGCACCTTCGTATAATGGATCGGGACCGTGGCCTATATATGCGATCAAACATTTTACAGACGTACCTACCTACACACTTTCCTCTTTACTTTCAACCTAAGCGTATCACACTGCTTGTATTGGGGAGCGTTAGAAATATGACTTTGTTTGTATGTCTGTATATATGTGTCTCGTAGGACACTGTAGCCATTGCCGGGGACCCATCCCGAGCAGGCTGAAGCACTCCATGCTTGGTATGTGCGTATGCATATTGACGACGGAACAGATGAAAACGAGCGTCGGAGCTAAAGGTCGCCTTGGTGTTGCGGTATATGCATATGAATAAAGCGTGCAGTTTAATCTTGGCAGGAAAGTTAGGTTTAGGTAGGGGGGGTAAGCACTACTGCTCTTACTTAAACAGCGTGGACAGGCACATATAGCACATGCACAACAACATTTTTGCTTCCTTTGAACTGCTGAAGCAATGAGGTGTATTCAGGTTCGCATTAGCATAAATTTCAGGCAGAGACCTTGATATAACCCGATTCGTACTATCTTGAGAACGATGTACGGATGTACGATCGCATCGGCATACATCAGGCAGAGCGGAACTAACAACAGAGCATCTGTGTGTTCGATCACTCATCCATTCATATTCATGTTTAAGTGTACTAAAAAGTGGCCAGACATGGCCGAGTCGGATCTAATCCCACTGGAAGAAGCTGCTGGTCAGGTCGAATGTCTAGTAGCTGGCCGCCGCTGAAAAGGCCTCTCGAGATGCTAGTGGTCGCGCTTAGCGCGTATTTGTAGTTGTTATGTGTGCCGTACTGTGTACCAGCTACTATCGGATGAGGCTGCCTGGCATGCAGGGTTCGGGTCGGGACAGAGAGCAAGAGCCGCAAGGGGGCGAATATTGCGTCAGAAGCCTGCTTATATTGCCTAGTTTATTACCCAAACTCTATTCAAAACCAAGCACAGTCTGACGTTGAGTAGTTTGATGGGTGATACATGGATTGAACGAGCTGCAGTAGTATAATAGTAGTACAAGCACCGTCGGTTCAAACTTATGGGCTGCTGCGTGCTTTTACCTTTGTTTGCGCTGCTGGGCTTTAGGGTTTATTTGACGTCTTGTTGTTTTGTAGGTCATCCAACGTGCATGTGTGGGCATGCGAGTAGGTGTGTTACAACGCAGTGCGTGCATGTAGGACAAAGAAAGCAGAGCCGCAGACGCGTGTGCTTCACATCATCTAACCGGGCCCGACGCTGGTCGGTCAGATGAATGGCGATCGCTGAACTTGGCAGTGGAAAACGTTGGATGTCGTTCAGCCCAAAGGAAAGGCCGTCGGGGCCATGAAAGAGTTGTAAGTAAATCTAATACATGGAGGGCCGCGGTCCCCGCTTTCTTAGTGCCTGTGCTGTGCATGCTGAGAACCGAAGCAGGACGTATGGCAGGTATTACACGGGGCATGATGCCCCCGCGATGTCGTGTCTGGCTAGGTGCTCCGAGACCTAGCCAGACAAAGGAATCCTCGTTAGGAGCACGCCTCGGAAGCTTCCCGGCCTGGAGCCATTGCGACACCCGGTACCCCTGAAGTCTCGTGGTCTTTGTCACCGTCCCGAGATGCGCAAGGCAAGCCGCACCGGCGCGTAGTGAGACCACTGGTCCCGCAAGGCGCGAGTCCATATGATGCACATAGCCAGTGCTGTGTGCTTGCAGCGCCCTGTGAGGTGCGGCAGAGGCTGCTGTAGAAGTAAATATCCCTATCTGTTGCTGCTTGCAGTGCTTTTCCAGGTAGGTGCGGGAAGTGCAACTGTTTGTTGCTGCGCATTATGTAGTTGTATGATTTGCTGATGAGAAATTCAATCGAGTCGACGACGCGAGCTATCAGCGGGCTTTGCTACTGTGCTTTTATGTAAACCACGTGGGCCAAGGAGTGCGTGATGATACAGTTTGCATCGTCATGTATGTTACTACGGTGTACGTTGCCAGTTGCAAGGAGTGGAGTGATTCTGTGAGCAGCAGCATCGGCATCGGCGGCATCTTGAGTAGAGGGATAGCTAAGCGTATGCTGAGAAGAGGCCATGCCCGCAGATGCATACGTTATCATAACTGAGTTTACCTTTAATCATTAGCACAATTTGCAATTATGATCCTAATGTGTATAAACAATTATTTCTGGTCAGCTTTCCAGCTCTCTTCTGCAGCTGGACGCAACAGGTCCAACGCCTCCAGCACGTCTCCAGCCCGACTCGCTGCTGCCGCCTCGCCAACGTTCTCTGTGGATACGACGGCTTTATTCTTCGCAAAATTTTTAATTAATATTATACGTATATAATACCTTCAACTTATGCGGTGCTGAACACAAAGCTTTCGGCCTTCACTTGCTACAGGACGTACTCCTCAGCGATACGAACGCCGACCATCTTTTTATCATCTAAGCTGGCGCAGTCAGATTATGTAAAATAGTTATTGGGTACTTTCAGTTTGGAGATGATAAGGAGGCAATATGGAAGACAGCTTCACCGTTGTTTCGTGCCCCTTAACTTGAACGTTCCGTACAAGCGGAATGTCAGAGCCCAGGGGAGAATTATTGCAGTTCACTAGCATCTGAAACCCGCCAACTGTATGCTAGCAAACATAGTATCATGACCTGATACTACAGCCCTTGTTCTACTGGGCTCTCTATTCTCGTACGAATACCAAGCGCCTGAAGGCATAACCCGGCTACGAAATGCCAAAACTGCAAAAGGAATTTACAATACGATGCCCCAGGTGCTTATTGCTTTTAAGCTCGCTAATGCTTGCTGGAGTCTTGTTACATAGTGGAGGTCATGCGGCATTGGCGACTGCATCAAGACTTTATGACGGCGAAGGTGTAAAATTGGTTAAAGCTTCATGCTTTTCCGTCACCACCGCAAGCGTTTTAGAATGCGACGTGCAGCCCTGTACGACCCATGCATCGGCAGTTTCCATCGCCTTCGTGGCCCGCCATGACCAGTACTGTCGATTAATCAAACGGTACCGTTGCCATGCCGACAATCCCTGCCCTACGCATTCTACTAGGTCGTGTGATGTTCTCCGTGTGCTCTTTCAAAAAAGGTTTTTTGGGTCTCTGCATTCGTAATTGCCTGTCTGCATCGCCCAAGCAGGGGAGCAAGCTGCAGGACTGGAACGTCTTGCCGCCATTCGAAAGCAGCAGCAGCCGTTGCAGCTTTCGCCACCGGCCGCAGGCAAACCGCCGTCTCGGCCCCCGCCCTTTCTGGCGGTCCGCAATACTGAGTCCGCCAGCAGCGACGAGGCCCAACGATTATATGGCCAGGCCAGCAGCGTGTCGTACATTGCGTACCTTCTTTTCGGTGCAGCAGAGCCCATGTCGGAAGCTGAAGGTGCGTATATGCACTCCATCATATATTATATATATGTACACGTGTCTATCTGCTAGCATGAATATGCGGACAATGACGAGCAGTGTTAGTTCACGCCATATCCATGCAAGGGTGGATGCCCTGATGATGACGCGTCCTTGAAATGCAAAGCGTGTGGGGCATCCCTGATATGCATGAAGCACAGATGTTCTTACGGCATGATATGCTATGGTTTGGCATTCGTTAGCTGGAAAGCTTGTTCGATGCTATTACTCCTTGCCTTGGTCGAGGTTGCGCCGTGAGCTCGTCAAGCATTGGGAATTGTGATAGGATGACTGGCGGCGAGTGTCAGGAGTATGGGTGTGTTACATATTGATCCGGGCCTGACACTGGCCAACGCCACATAACCGCACCCCAACGGGGTATGCATGTTTTGAGGAAGATTCGAGTGCATGTATGTGGCTGCTTTTGTATTACAGGTTCATCCAGCATCCTGCTTCCGTACCTGACACCAACCGTACTTCGGGTGTATGCATCTCAGCCCGGGCTGTGCAGCTCCGCCGTGGTGGAGCAGATGTACGGATTGTCTGTGAGCTTGTATTCCACGCCAGCACTTCAGGTAGTCACAAATAGAAACGTGTGGCATAAGTGTGACATAAATGTATGTGTGACATAAGTTACGTCAGAAGTGGAGCTGCTGTATGTGTGGGATATAAGTCATATCAGCGATAGGTCACCAACGAATGTGGAACGCATGCCCTCCCGAAAGGATGTATGACAAGTTGACCAATACATAAAAATGTGACGAGCTGCTTGTCACGACATTTTTGCGTCACGTTCATTTTCTGCCGTACGTGCATGTTTGGTCGATGCTGCAGTCGTATGACGCGACATGCTCTCATGGTTTGCATCACTTAGCCATTAGCACAGATACACGTACACATACCGCTACTATGCGCAGAAAGCTATGTTATGCACGCACTGCCGTATGCTTTATCACAAAACGGCGCCGCCGCAGCACAGAGTGCATGCATGAAACCCCTAGCAACTCTACCCTGTCTATCGTATGCTTGCGACTCATGGCCGCTCCTGTGAATCGCTATTTTTATGCGTCATGAAGACTCTTGGCTGGAAAAGCATAGAGCCTACCCTCAAATATCAGCCAACAGCGATGGAACATAATCAATCACTTCTTCTTTCTGTTTCTCACAGGCCTGCCATTATGGTCTGCTCAAGGCTCTCCGCACCACATTCTCCTGGGTCCGTAACAACATCCCGCTGCTGCTGCAAGAGGTGCCAGGACAGCCACAGGCCACAGCCGCCTGGCCCGACCTATCTGCTCTCTCTGAAGCTGACTTCACTGCAGCAGTCCGTGATGCGCTGCTGCTGAGGGGCAGTGGGGGCGACCAGCTGGCTGAGGCCGCCGCGACCGTATCAGGGCCCTGTGGACTGAGCATAACCGATTTTGCTGCTCTGGTACCCCGCATATCCTCCGTCTTGATTCAGCTCCATGCGAATTTGCCTGAGCTGCAGCATATCGGTGACTCCCTGGACAGGCCAGTCGCAGTAGCTCACACCCCAGCAGCAGCAGCAGCAGCAGCAGCAGTAGCAGTAGCAGTAGCAAGAACAGTGCAGGGTGTTGGCGTTTCCAGCAGTAATGGGGGCCCCTACAGCAGCAGCAGCAACAGTCGCCGGCGGCGTACTTCAGCTCTTCATGGAGTGGAAGCAGAAGCCGCCAAGACGGCACAGCAGTACACGCCCCTTCATCGTGCTGCCATTCGTCCACTGCAGCATGACGCTGCCTCCCGCCTTCACATTTTCGCCTCCCGAGATGCAAAGCTCGGTGAGTTGAGTTGAGCAGCCATGTCACACCACGTAATGCATCTTCATATGTTGCGAATGTCAGTACTGGGATTCGATGCAGGCCAACATCAACGACGACATCGCCGCCAGCTACCCGCGGTGCCTGCCAATTATATTTCCTCCTTACCACCGGAGAACTTCGCAGTCCAGCCACCGTCCGCCATTCCGAAATTGCTCATCCCGCTGGTTTTCCACGTAATGCTGTACATGGATGGAAACACCACGGGCCCAGCCAAGTATGAACTCTCGGCATTCTACGTACAGCGCCTTGTACAAATTACGAATTATATGTCCCGTCCAACCAACATTGAGTTTTTTGTCAAGGTGAGCGTGGAGTACGGGTCTTTCAATGGTAGCGAGGTAAACAATACACGTCTGTAAAGCTTTATATCGCCTATAGGTCTTGCCCTGATATAATATACGTGTGTGTATGTGTTTTACATCTCGGTTGCGTTACCCAGAGAGGTGTAACGAGCACACACGTGCCAGAGTCCCAAGAGCTCCCTTAGAGCCGCAAGTTAGGTACAATTCATAATACAACGCTAAAAGCTATAGTAACTTGACCAGGTCGCACCCATTTTGCAGATTCTCTTGGAGTTTATTGTTTGGTTGTTTGGTTGGAGTTTATTAGTTGGTTGAACCTCCGGTCTGCGATACGATTTGTCAGCATTGGGGGGTTGGAGTCTCCTTGCATACCTGTAGAATTCAGTAACCCTTTCTCTGCGAACAGCCTTCCCATTCGGCAAGTTCTCAACCGCTTGTACCATTTCAGCCAAAAAGAAAATGGTGTTATGGACAAAATATCTCGCATCTGTACACATCGACCTATAACTGACTAGGTGGTGCGCCACATACCTCAGCACTAAACCCTTCCCGATCACATCCATTGATATAGCTCATAATAGTTAGGGACGGTCCCTATCTCGTATACCAGGGGACGATCTATCGACAATAAAGAATTTTACAGACGTATGCACATGCAGACCGCTGAGCGAGGTCGAACATTTTACAGTGTAACACCAGACGTAGAGTACACTTAAGGAAGATGCAGCGGGAGCTGAATTCAGGAGGGTTCGAACCCTCCGTACAACACGGGTTCTAGTGCAGTATCATGTAGGGCTTATTATCACCACGGGATCTGCATCCGCCGATCGGTGTACTTTTCTGAAGTAAGTCGTCGTAGTCGTGAATCATCCCCTGAGTGCACATCATGCACACCTTATATATTACCTACATTACCCATAGGTAGCTACCTGCCCGATCGCAGGAAGTCCGCAACAATGCGACCGCCTATCCGTACCTATTGCTCAAGGATCGGAAGACATGGCTTCAGGTTCCAAACTTGGATTGCGTCCCTGTAAAAGTTGATTGTTTCCTAAGCACCGATTTCGTACCAAGGTTGGACTTCGTGGTTATGTTAGCTTGTGTACTTTGCCCTTTCGTTTGTTTTTGCTCCTGTCAACATAATTGGACCACGTTACATAGCTCTTCAAGCGTGTCGCTTGTGTCTCCACTCCGTAATATTAGTAAATATTACACTATGAATAGTTGGGCCGCGGCCCATGGGAAGTTGGCTGCACTCATTACACGAGTGAATAAGCCCTTCATATGTAGTAGCTGGCCGCTGAAAAGGCCTCTCGAGATGCTGGCAGACGCGCTTAGCGCGTATTTGTAGTTGTCATGTGTGCCGTACAGTGTACCGGCTACTACATCATACCACATGTATGCACATGACTGGTATATGCTTGACTTGCTACTGACTGATTTCGACCGTGGGCAAGATAGACCCCTCACATTGTAGCACCTGGCCGCTGAAAAGGCCACCGCATACCCGCCTCCCGTCCATACCGCCTTCCTACGCACCTCCTAATACTTGCTCGGTTACCTCGCCATCTGCCTGCCCTCTACTGCACTGCACTGCACTGCGTGCTGCACGCCGGCGAAGGACGGCGTCGGACTTCCCCCGAAGCATCAACGTGTATGTGGCAAACGACCTGACACTCAGAATTGGGGTCATGGGCTACGCCTTTGTGCCCGGGTGCGTCTGTCGGGAAGCTGCTGTTTTACTTATCCTTGGCGCTATCTGTGCATTGATTTTGGTTCCGGAACAGCGGACAATTTGCTTACCTGCCGTCTAGACGGAGATCTCCTGCGATATGCGCTCATCACCTACATATCTATCCGCACGCACACACACCAAGCCAGCTCTCATCCGCGCTTGCTCTCAACGTTGAGTTAACTCGACACCAAAATGCACACATGCAGCTCTGACACGCTGGCGTCCCAGGGCTTCGTTTTCATCTCATGGGACCAACTCGCTGCCGAAGGCGCCAACTCGCTTGCACTGTACAACGACGGCTCCAACACACTCTTGCACGAGCTTTTTCACCATATGGGCCTTCAGCACCCTTTTTACCGGCAACCTTCATTGAATCTTTCTAGCTGTGATGACGGGGATGCGGTTGTTGACACCCCTTCAGCAAAAGGCAAGTGCAAGTACACGACTACCACGCGGGAGGTACCGGTGCTGCTGCGTTGTGCTGATTCCTAATTCCCGGCTGCTGTGTCAGTTATACGTGTGTAGGTAATTGGAAAGACGCGAAAAAATAGTAGTTGGTTGAAGGTTGCCGGTACTGCCGTACAATTGAACCTTCGACCAACTACTATTTTCAACACCTCTGCACGTTGAACATGCGCATGTTCAACATGCAGAGGTGTTGTAAAGGCAAAAAGCGACCATCCTTCAAATGAGTGCGTGTATGATTAATTGTATATGTGTGCTGCTGTACTACTTGCTCGTTTCGACATCTCCATATCCACAAACCATGTGTAGTCCTTTGTATACGTAGGGCTATAGATTGATATGGACAAATACAAAAGATCGGAAATGCACGCAGGTTCCATTCGTGACAGCAAGTTCTTCACAATGGCAACGAAGTACTGTCTTGATCTGTTCTGGGGCCGGTACGGCGGTGATTGGGAGGCGACTTACATGCGGTGGAGCAGCACCCTGGGGATTCCCGACCTGGACAAGAACGCCTGGGCGGACTCCTGCCCCAAGGATCCCGGATACGATGAGCTGGGCAACTATATGACGTACAACACGCCAGTCTGCTTTGCAGCTCTTGGTCACTTCACTGTTGAACAAGCACAGCGAGCGCATTACCTGGCGTCAGAATACAACCCTATCATGTACGCATGGGGGCAATATTACTACTATCTGGCTCATCATCAGGTTGATGCGGATTCCGCGCCTCAGCAGCAGCAACAATCTGTGCACGTGAAGTCACTGCTGTCGCCTGAGGGCGCCAACGATATCAGCTGCAGGGTACGTATACATATACATATACATAGATATATGCTTGCACTTCGGCCATGTTTGCACTTCGGCCAAGTAGCCAAGTAATAGCCCAGGATAAGACTAAGCGTGAATGGCGTCGGTTGGGTGGTATGATACTACTGTTAGGTGCTCACCTGCTGCTGCTGTGTCTATCCCTGCGTGATATAATAATGATGATGTCCATTGCGTTTAGTTTTTTGGGGGGGATTACATATATCATTCTCGTCTGTCTAACAGCGCACGAACGTATGCGATATTGCAATAACTATCTTCATCGTTGCTGCACTTTTTTCGTTCATATGACCAAACCTGGTAAATGGAACCACGGAAAGGCGGCCTACTGCATAGAGACGAGGTTCAGGGTGCTTGCTTTGCGTCATAACGAGCGCCAAGCTCCTACTCCATGTCGGCATTCCGTACAGTCCATGTGCGCTTTCTGTACCCTGTTTGCCTCTGATATGCATGTGCAGGAGACGGCGAACAGTGCATGCGGCTGCAAAGAGGCCTGGCAATACAAAGGCAAATCGTATTCGTTCTGTGATATCATCAAGAGCGATGATGTCATTTTGAGGTGCGCGCCTCCTTATGTGTCGTTGCGGGAGGGCCCTATGCAGGCGCTTCTGCTGATCTGGTTGGGAGTCCCGCCTCACCTGACATGCAGAGGACGCTACCAGTAGCCAGCAGCTATACTTAAGGCCTTTGGAGAGGGCCGAACTCAAATAATCCTCGTAAATAAAATTTTTTAATCGTTACGCAAAGACCCGGTCTTTCTTTGTGAAACTTAATTTTGTAATAGGTAAGGACCGTCCCTACCTATTTTACGAGAGCGTCGCCTATAGGTGACCGAAATTTTTTCTGACCTAAAAAGAGATGGGCCATCTCTTTTTAGGTCTGTCTGTTATACCATGGACGGTCCATAGACCAACCTATGCCATGAATCTGTATGCGATCTATTTCTTGATCCTATACATAGTTTTCTTTTCGTTTAGGATGGGTCTCAATTTATTCCAACCTAAGTAACAAAGCTGCTAGGGTTGGATTTAATTTATTCCTTAATTGTGATGCGCTGGGGGGGGGCTCCGCCCCCACCAGACCCCCCCCCAATATGTTACATCTTCCCTCGTAGACCAAGAATTATGCACTGAGTTGGCGCGTTTGCTATGTGAGGACCGGTCATACATGCTGCAATGCCGCGTTGACTCACGGGCGTGACCTTTTTACGGCCCCTCACAACTATTCTATAATTGCAACTACTAAATTCTGCAAACTAGGGAGCAATCTGGCAGCAATGGACGTTTTTGGCTGGAGGAATGATAATGTACGGGTCGGCCTCAATTTATTCCCTTTTTCCAAAGGCCCAAATGCCTGTTTATTCCTTTTAAGTAATATATTACTTAAAAAGAACCTGCCTATACATCCATTGTTCGGTGACTCTGTCTGTAGACGATAAAAAATTTATCGATGTTTTTGGCCAAGCAAGTTTAAGGATAAGAATAATATCAGGCGCGCCATTTCCCTATCACGGCGGAAGATAGCCACACTGGTTATGTATCCTATTTATCGCAAAGCATTATTACAACAGTACGGCCAACTGTTACGAGCCACAGGTGCGAGGTCGCAAACCCCTGGACCTGCCCAGAATGCAGCGCCCTGCCTAAGGGCCAACAGTGCATCCTGACATGTACCGGTGAGCCATGTGTAATGCCGTGCATGTACGGGTGAGCCATGGGTAATGCCGTGCGTGTACGGGTAAGCCATGTGTAATGCCGTGGGTGTACGGGTAAGCCACGTGTAATGCCGTGCGTGTACGGGTAAGCCATGTGTAATGCCGTGCGTGTACGAGTAAGCCACGTGTAATGCCGTGCGTGTACGAGTAAGCCACGTGTAATGCCGTGCGTGTACGAGTAAGCCACGTATACTGTCGTGCGTGTACGAGTAAGCCACGTGTAATGCCGTGCGTGTACGGGTAAGCCACGTATACTGTCGTGCGTGTACGAGTAAGCCACGTGTAATGCCGTGCGTGTACGGGTAAGCCATGTGTAATGCCGTGCACGGCTTATTATTGGGATGAGGACTGCCGCACAGCTAGGATGCGTGCAAGTTGTTGTGCGCCATATTGGGTGTTGTATGTTCTCTATGTGTAAGTTCTGCACCTATATGCATTTACGCATTTTATGTCGCGTGCTATTCATTTGAATGTTACCCCAGCTAACGTATATGGATAGCTAGCGTGCTTGAAACGTGCTGTGGCTGGGAGCACATGCGACTAGGCAGAGGATGAGCGAGGATGGGTATGTACAGCCTTGTACACCACCCCGTACACATGGGGAGAAGTTGAAGTGCAGCTGCCCAGCGACTCACACACTCGATTGACATGGCGGTATAATTAGATGGCTAATAACATCACGCGACTTGAGGCGTGCACTGCTGGGTGTTAGCTACCTACCAATCATGATAGGTGCTGATCTCACTCCTGCACGCGTACGTACCGGGTCGCCCACTCTGCTGCTGCTGCTGCTGTGGATGCATGATGAACACATACAACACGGGTACATTATCCGTACTCACAGGCGATCCCCGGGTTTGCAAGGCGCCACCCCCGCCACAAGCATCTCTAGCTTCGACAGGCACCAACAGCAGCAAGGCACCACTGCTACCACGGCCACCACCACCGCGCCCACCGTTGCCACCCCCTCGCCCGCCGCCGCCACCTCCAGATCAAGTTCCCTCGCAATGCAAGGTACGTCACCTAAAGGTCACATCATCTTTGCCATGCGATATTGGTGCCGCCGTCGCCGGTAAGTTTATGATCTATATATAGACAGGGTTATCATCGTACAATAAGTAGGATCAAGAATTGGATCGTCTAGAGGTTCATGGATTGTCCTATAAATCGTGCTATGGCATAATGGATAGGCCTGAAAATACTTGCACGCATAACACACACACATATGCTACACACCCAATAGCATTTATTTTATGTATACATATTACATACACACACATTCTCAATACATACATTGTACATATAATACTAGGGTTTAACTATGCTACTTAATGTTTTAATGTATATAACTCGCTCGACGTTTTTACACCCTTCTTATATCATAAGGTATCTGTGAAGAACTGCACATGCCGAAGTCGCTGGGTCTACAACAGCGTGCTAGGGACATACTGCTCGCCGTATCCGAAGAATGGCCTTATGTAAGTCACCTTCCAATATGTACCAACGAATGTGCGCACATGCGCCATCATACATGCACCACTCCGCAGGCTACGAGGTCTCGTACTACGTAGGTACGTGAACATGTCAGTGCGTGGTACATACATGACAGGATTACAACTACACACGGTCTTGTTTCATAAGCGCCATGTGCGTGAATATCGCATTAAGGCGAAGTAGACTGCCAATTCATCATCTACTCGCAATGTACAAGCGTGTGCGTGTGCGTGTGTGGGGGGAGGGGGCCCCCTACCCTGCTCAATCAGTATAAATGCTTGGCGCCAGAATTAGCTGCTGGCTGGAGTTAATCGCCGAGTTATGTTTGCGTGCCGCTGTGTAGTAGCTGGCCCCGCTGAAAAGGCCTCCCGAGATGCTGGTGAAGCGCATCGCGCGTATTTGTAGTTTATACGTGTGCCGTACTGTGTACGACAGCTACTACACGCTGACTAGCGTGACTGGAACAACCCTGAATGTCATAATTCCCTGTTGTGTTACAACATCAATGCCATATAAACGGCTTTGCCTGGTTAGCTGCTTAACTGGCCAGCACTTGCTATTGCGTCTCTAATAAGTCTCGTGTACACCACGCATGTGCAGGTGCCTGGTGAACCCATCATGTCCTGGCTTTAGGGATGCACCACTCCAAGCTTGCGACCCTGAGCTGAACGCGGGCTTCTGTACATCGTCACAAACAGCAGGTGATTGGACCCTGAACCTTTGTTGTTCGTCAAATGCCCGTGTGTATCAAGCTGCAGCTTATGCAGCAGAATCAATAGTGTTGCCGTGCAGGGCCTCAGCAAGTCGTACATTTTTTCGCCCACCCACTTGAGGGTATACAACTAAGCATGAAGTCTAAAAGGAATTATCCTAAAGGATACATGTGTGAAGCTAACCAAGTGAAACCTGCTTACCGGTCTTTTCCCATTCATTTTGGTACACCACACCAACAGGTGCTCAAGGTGCGCAGTCGGTGATGCCAGCGCCCCCTCAACCTTCACCATCGAAGCCTCTTATCGGCAGGAAGAAGTCAAGGCCGCTACTATTGCCAGCGGGCGCCCTTCCCCCCCCAAGACTAAAAGCGAAGCCACCGAAGTCTTCAGCTACGACACGCTCTCCGACTCAACCAGTTCAGCCGCGACAGGCTCCCAAGCTACTACGCAAACAGCCTAAGCAGCAGTAGCAAGTCTATGTTGCCAGACCCAGCTGCTTCGTTATGGTGCCCGGAACCCTAAGGTTATGCTTGTGTGTGTACGGCACGCGTGCCTGGTTCAGGAACCTAAGCACCAGACAGATAAACGACATCGAGTATTTGACAAAACTGTCAACACCGTCAGAAGGTCGTACACGACTTCTTAAATATTAGGCAAGCACGCTACTGGATTTTGGAATTTCCTGAGCCGCGCCTGTTCTCTGGGAAGGTGCATGGCCGTGGAAATGGAGATCACCAACATCAACGAAGACTACTTTGTGGGCGAAGGACTTCAGCCATCAAGCCGCCTGCAGGCCTCCGTCCACCGAGTTTCAGTGAAACGCGGTGGACAAAGACGGAGGCCTGCAGGCGACGCGGTTGGGGCCCCTGCACTGTGGACGTGGACGTCAGTCCACTGGCACATGCCAGATACATCCGGAGTCGGCTAGCTGGCGGCTCTGGTGCAGCGGGAGATGGTCGCCCCGGCATAACTTGCAAGTCATACATTCAATCAGTACTCAATTGTTTCCCGAAACAGCTTGTAAATAATGAACTGGTGAAGGACTTGGCCGACTCACAGGCGAGCGTGCTGGGGCTGCTTAGGTTAGCGCGGTGGCAACGGGCATGCCGTCGTGGGCAGTGCCCACGTGGGCAGTGCCCACTGGGCAGTGCCCACTGGGCACAACGGTTATGGGGCGCCGACGGTTGGCACAACGGTGGGCACAACGGTGGGCACAACGGTTATGGGGCGCCGACGGTTGGCACAACGGTGGGCACAACGGTTATGGGGCGCCGACGGTTGTCACAACGGTGGGCACAACGGTGGGCACAACGGTTATGGGGCGCCGATGGTTGGCACAACGGTGGGCACAACGGTGGGCACAACGGTTATGGGGCGCCGACGATGCCACCCGCAGAGGTTATGGAGACAGTGAGCATAAAGCTCGCTCAGCGGGGTTACAGGCGATGGATAGCATGCATGTCACTGAGAACGGCTAGCGGGTATAAATGATAGCGTTTATATCAGGCAATGTGCCGGGAGCGCAATTGTGTTGTGAGGGAGCTCCCAAGGGCGGGCAAGCCTACCTGGGCCCTTGATTAGCACATGTACCGAGCATGCAGGCCTAGCTAGGCAGATATCTTGGTGGGTGAAGACTCATCAGCCGGGGGATGACACAGCGCAAGGTATAAATAGGTGTCGCTGGTTATTTCTGTAGTAGCTGGCCGCTGAAAAGGCCTCTCGAGATGCTGGTGGAGCGCTTAGCGCGTATTTGTAGTTGTTACGTGTGCTGTACTGTGTACGGCAGCTACTACAATTTCGGTGTGAACCGCCAGAAGAGGCAGTCGGCAAATAGTCGGGGGCCCTGCAGATGGTCATGTGTCGGCCAAAGCTGATGGACACAGGCGTGCACATTGGAACAGACGCGGATGCTGGTCAGGGACAACTTGCGTCAATAGGCGTGCTTGGCTGTCGGGCTAACGGTGAAAGACAAGCATACACAGCGGTTTGGGCTAGCATAGTACAATGGAAGGAATCGGCGGGGCAACCCAACGCACACTCGATCACCCCCCAATGCATTTCCGTGGTGTATTTCCAGGTCGGGGTCATTTGAGCGCCACTTTAACACGCATGAGCTGAGAATTTGTACATCTCTGCATCTAACATATGTGTGCGTGCTACATGGTTGGGGGTGCGTGAACCCATACCTGTAAAACTACCCTTGCGAGCCGAAGGCCCAAGGGCAATACCTAAACGCCTGTGTCCTGAGTCCTCTCTTCCGCATCTCAACCAGACTGGGCCTCGAGGATAGCAGCCTTCCACGAGGTGTTTACAACCTCAAGTGTCAAGCTCTGTGGATGTCGGGCAGCTTTTTAGGGAATTGTCCCTGATTGTTAGGGATCGTCCCTGACCTCGTGGTGAAAATCCTCCATTTCTCCCCACGTGCGCGCACATGCTACACTCCACGCACTACACAGCACACAGCACATATCGTCTTCTTACAGCGCTTTGTTCACCAGCATCTACGACGAACGATTCTTGGGCGTACCGCGTTTACGGACGGTCGGACTACTTCCTTAGCCTCGAAAAAGTTGGGTGTCGTCCCTCGCCGCGCGCGCGCACGACAAGTTAGCCAGGACTCGCTCTGACCTTATTGTGGTTTGCCCAACCCTTACCGTTGGCACTGCAGTCAATTTTTACCGATTAAGTATCTTTACGGACTTAACACGGCTTCTTGTAAACAGCATAAACACGGCATCGACCAATGGGCGGGCTGTTGGGCAACCATCAGCAGCAGCCCGCCCATGAGTACGGTCTGAGTAAACCTTCTGTTGGTGATTATTGTTAAGATGACATTTATATGTTATTGTATTTCGCAGCACCCTAGCTATATGCTTGAAATCTATCTTCTTACGTGTTCGTGTTCCTCTCCCACTTCCTACTGAGAAGCCCGTCCTACAGCCGAATCTGCTTAGGCGTTGCTGAATTGAAAACTCATTCTCTATACATTCCTGATTTTATTCTCATAGAGGCCTCTGGGCTTCAATATTGGGAAAAGCGTGCGCAGTGCAATTCTGATGCAATGCCAATTCAAATCAAGCTCTTCACAAGCGTTTTGAGGCCGACCCTGGCTTTTTTGCTAGTCACAACATTACCAGCAAATGGTCAATACGACAAAGCCGTTACACAGCAAGATGGGAGCACGATTGGTTTAAGTAAGTACCTTGGAACTTTTATGTCTTTGGTGGTCTTGAAAGCATGTTTACTGGCCACTATGGCACATAGATGTAAGGCTGGAAGGTTGTGTAAATTGAGCTAGTTAGTCGTTGTAACTTAAATTTCGCTCGCTATTATATTTTGCTTGTAGGCTTCGTTGAAGCAGCTACCTATACGAAACGTTTGGAACGTATATCACGGTCTTTCCAGCGGATAAGAGAACCCGAAACAGCGAACAACGAGGAGGTGCAGCGGTTATACGACCAGGCCGGCATTGTGTCATCCATCGCCTACCTTCTGTTTGCCGCAGCGGAGCCGCTGTCGATGGCTAACGGTGTGTGTTTGGATCAAGCTTGAGAAAAAGGGCGACAGGACACGGTCGTAGATGGGCGAAGGCGCAAATTAGTACGGCCTGCAATCTTCTGCGCCACTGAGTTGCCTAGCCAGGGGCTGAGAGAGCGCCCCGGCTGGCGTGAGTGAGGGAATGAGGCGCGCGCAGAGGAACAGACGGACGCAGAGCCGTGCACCCGGCCCTGCGCTGTCTTTCAGTCCGATCAGGGACCCTGCAGCGCTGGTGCTCGTCCTTTCTCAGGGCGAGCCACCCACAGTGCAACACCCCGTCAACAGCACCAACGGTAACAGCAGTAGCAGCATCAAATGCAAGCTACAGCACCAATTTCTGTAACCAGCGATGAGTAACAAGGGCTGCCTTGGGCAAGCTGTTGCTATAGCGGCTTGCAGCTAAATCTAGCAGCGGTGGGGGAACTCACTGCGACCGTAGCAACAACGGCAGCCTGTGATGGCCACGATGGCACCTCAGAGAGCGAAGGCAACATCAGAACCGCCATGGATGGATGCTGGCGCGCTATCTCAGAGCGCAGGCTGCTGTGTGCTGACGGGACGAGGCGAAGATAACTTAGGACAGATCTGCAACTCATGAACCACCCATGTATGTGCAACCAACATGTATGTGCAACCCACCCATGATGAGCATCTTAGAGCATGCCACTGACTCCTTTTTTCCCTTGCATCTGCTGTGTTGTTGCGTTCATACAGGCTCATCGGGTGCCCTTCTCCCTTATCTGACAACATCTATTTTGTATACGTATGCATCTCAGCCCAGGATGTGCAGCACCTCCCTGGTCGAGAATTTATATGAGCTATCGCAGGGGTTGTACGGCACATCGACATTGCAGGTAAGGAACAAGTTCATGCATGACATGTATGTACGATACATGTACACATGACGGCAAATAGCTTGGTAGGCTTACCTTGCTTACCATATAAGTTCAGTATTTTGTAATGATTAATAACCTTCAGCGTCTCAGAATAGATTGTAGTTGTATAGCGAAGACAGGCTCAGTATAGTAGCTGGCCGCTGTAAAGGCCTCTCGGTCAAGCACTTCGCGCTGTAGTTGATATGTGTGCCGTACTGTGTACCAGCTACTATACTTAGCAGGTAGGCTTCGTTTGATGTGACCGTCTGAATCTTTGTCTAGTGTAATTATTGTGTATGCATCCTTGCTAAAGCTGGCCTGTGTCATCAGCTCACAGTCGGGTTTCTTACAAGGCAGTACATACATAACACTTTGCCTGCGTCGGTCTACAATGCTGCCTGGCAAACATCTGCAATTTTAACTGATGGTACACTACCTTGTAAAACCAGACCACCTACATACCTGCACTATGTATTATCGCATGTCGGCCTAGGTCGGCAGGAGCAGGAAAGGTACAAGGGCCTAAAAGATGTACATTTATTACACGCAGGCCTGCCATTATGGGCTGCTCAAGGCTCTCCGCACCACATTCTCCTGGGTCCGTGACAACATCCCGCTGCTGCTGCAAGAGGTGCCAGGACAGCCACAGGCCACAGCCGCCTGGCCCGACCTAACTGCTCTCTCTGAAGCTGACTTCACTGCAGCAGTCCGTGATGCGCTGCTGCTGAGGGGCAGTGGGGGCGCCCAGCTGGCCGACGCAGCCGCGACCGTATCAGGGCCCTGTGGACTGAGCATAACCGATTTTGCTGGACTAGTACCCCGCATATCCTCTGCCCTTAAACAGCTACACGCAGACCTGGTCGAGTTGCAAAGTATTGCACAGCAGCGACTAACATTCTCACAGCGATTGCGCCCTCGGTCATTTTTTGCTGCCACTGCACGGACCCGGCGGCGGGTTAATGGAGAGGCACGATCATTGCTGGGGCATAATGACAGGCACCTTGCCGCTGGCAAGAAGGTAGCTATTATAGGGCATGCATGAAGATAGCTTGTTTGCCTAGTAGCCATCGTACAGCATGTACAGCACATACTAAAACGCGTATATGTCTGTACATAGGGAAGCACTGACCAGCGAGGTTGGTGAAGCTTCACCATCAAACGGATCATATAATAAATAATACATACATGCGTAACTGAGAAGCTACTGTGCCTAGAAAAGCTTAAGATGGTTAGGTGCATGTCAGCTACCCACATGGCATGACATGGACTTGCGACCCAATGCCCGCGAGTATAGTAGCTGGCCGGTGAAAAGTCCTCCCGAGATACTGGTGAAGCGCATCGCGCGTATTTGTAGTTGATACATGTGCCGTACTGTGCACCAGCTACTACAGTGGGTAGGAGAGGGTAAGCACAGGCTGCTGCTGCTGCTGTGCGGCTGGGGCCGGGGAGGACCTGAGATGGTTTCCTTCGAATGGTGTGTGGTAGCTTTGGTATAGTAAGCATGCGCCATTAATACATGTATACATACACACTAAAACGCGACCCTAGCAGTACGAGGGCCTTTTCGGCGGCCAGCTACTACAGTACGTCTCAGGGTCACGCTAGCTTTCCATTATTGGTGATGCATCATGCATGCAGGACATGGAGACAGCAGAGGCTGCACTACGTCGTTCACTACAGGCCTCAGCTTCCAACCGTATATATTCGATGCCCCCAGATGATTTCACAATACAGCCGCCGTCAAGCACACCCAAGGTCCTTGTTGGAATGGTGTTTCACATTCTGCAGTACACGGGCTCTGATGGCGCTATTGGGCCCCCGAAGTACACTCTGGCACCCCAGTATGTGGAGCGTGCACTACGGCTTGTTAACTACATGGCCGCACCAACCAATTTCTCCTTCTTTGCCCAGGTGCGCCGAGATGCTCAGGAAATGCTCAGCACTATACTTTATGCCCTTGCATATGTGCACTTGCTGGCCGGTTGTGGGCCAAGGCCGGGCACATAGCCGGCTTTGGTGAACAAGGTGGCGTGCATTCATTCATAAGACAGCATGCATGTTCCCTACTTGTAGCAGCTGTTGTGCAGCAATATGGCACAGACATCGTATGTAAGTACGTCTCTATAGTAGCTGGCCGCGGAAAAGGCCTCTCGAGATGCTGGTAGACGCGCTTAGCGCGTATTTGTAGTTGTTATGTGTGCATTTGTAGTTGTTATGTGTACAGTGTACCGGCTACTACAGTCTCTCCCAGCATCTTGAGAGGCCAGTGTATGTGTGGCTAACCATCCATGTACGCAAATGTAAAGTAACTGATTGCCATTCCGATCAGTGGGCGCATGCACCACGCATACACCTAAGCACTGCATCGATACTTCATTCAAAACACATAGGCACGCACTCGCTGCCACGCTCGCTATCCATGCATGCATCCTGCCATGTGTGCATATGTGTTTGCATTTTTGCTTGAATAACACACCAATGCAGTGCTTAGGTGTATGCATGATGCATGCGCCCACTGAAAAAGGAATGAAGCTGCTGGGATCGACTCATCACCGTAACTACCCATAAACGAAGCCTTGGATAGCAGCAGCACAATGGATAGCAGCAGCACAATGGATAGCAGCAGCACAATGGATAGCAGCACGGAGCTTGGCTGCCGTCATATCATATCTAGCGGGATGTCAGATTGTGTAGATTCTGTTATACCACGACTTCAGAAAAGTATCGATCGGCGGATGCAGATCTGTAGTATCCTGGATATCACGGGATCTGTCATCCACCGAATCGTTTCTTTTCTGCAAAAAGACATGATACAACAAGATCCCGGGATATACCCAGGATACTCCAGATTCGCTGAGAAGCAGAAATTCTCCGTGTTGTAATCTGCAGGAAGTCCGCACCGATGCAGAAAAGTATCCGTACTTGTTGCTCAAGACGCGGAAATCCTGGCTCTCGATTGTGCTTGCGAACTGCAATGGAAAAGGCTGCCTTCGAAGCTCAGACTTTGTGAACAGGTAAGAGTTAACATCCATTACATTTTTGTTGCTGCGTATCTTACATACTGCTCTGTGCGTGGATGCCATGCTATGCATAAGTACATGCATGCAGGAGCATGCCCCCTATAGTAAGCTTCCGTAGAATACATTTCATGATTATCCTGTGCACACACGAAGGCTAAGCATGCACGCGATGCCTGTTGCAGGACTGTGTCGGACTTCCCAAGAAGCATTAATATCTACGTCGGCAGTGATTCCACTGCACCCATACACCGCATCATGGGGTACTCTTACTATCCTTTGTAAGTTAAGCATTGCAATACTGGTACAAAGCACGCATGCAAGGCAAGCGCTTGCCTTGCGAGTGTCCTGTGAGCAGAGCACTCGTTTGTAATTTTTATATGTCCATAGACGTAGGTGGGCGCCTGTCGGTGGCACATATCAGATCATTTGGCATCTAATCGAGTCAAAACCCCACATATAGACCTGCTAGATCGGCAACACTGAGCTAAATAGGTAACGAGGAAGGGACTTGTAGGATAAGGAGAAGAAAACACCTTGCCCAAAACCAGTGCAGTTTCGCCAAACACCTGCATGAGAGAGCATGCAAGCTGAGTTTTTACGTAAGAGTTAGCTTGAGGCATTCATCACGTGGAGGGAGCCTTGTCGTCACTCGGCTGATGGGCGACACCATGTAATTTGCGCAGATTTCAAAAGGCTTCAGGAAATGCGTGCAATCTGGCCTTCTGGGTGTGTGAGAGGGGGTATGATGAATGCATTAATACAGTTTACGGGGGGGCCGACGATGAAAAGGTTGGGAGCCAACATTATTGGCACCAGTATACATTATTGGCCCCATGTATAAGGGCGTGGGCCGACGGCCCCTAGACATGTTGCCTGTCTATCTTCCAAATGAAGCCGTCCTCTGCCACGTGGTTGAATGTTCAATCTGGCAGCCCTTAAGATGCTCGCGAGCGCGTCTGAGGCCTCAGATGTCTTCACAAGCATCTTACGGCGCACATCTCGGGCGATGCATCAAACCGCGTTGTATATCTGCTGTACTCAGCTGTAAGAGGGATCAGCTCCCCTGGCATCTCCCAACTGAGTACTCTTTGCCTGGTGTTACATCAGCTGGGCGCGATCGACTCGGACCCTGCTGAAGAGCTAGGGATACTGAAACTGTTCTCCCTTAATCTTTATGCCCTGGCCCAGGTTTGAAATTGTGACCTTCATCATCTTCCTTAGGAAAAGTGTTTTCGACAATATGTATGCATTTTACTCGACCATCCAGGCAGACTTCTCTGGATATCTGAAAAGGCACCCAGGATGCTAATGGCTCAGAGGGGATAACTTCTGTGTGCAGTCAGACACCGCTTTCCGGGTGTAGTGTCTTGGGTATTTTGTGTACCATCCGTGATTTCCTGAAAAAGGCGTGATGTACAGGTAATAGTATCGAACAAATGTTCAGTTTTGACCTAGGTTCGAATCTCAGCTGAAGCGGTTTCTTCGCGGGAGGTAGACCTGCGGCCGCTGGTTATCCTGCGGATGCTGCTGCCACTCCGGGACCCTGAGATAGACAAAAGGCCGACAAAGGACGCCCTCTACAGTTAGAGGGAGGATAATTGTAGTACCCTGAGTATACCACGGGATCTGCATCCACCGTTCCGTTCTTTTCTGAAAAAGTCGTGATATAACACCGGGTCTACCCTGCCCACGCATGACGACGTGCTTGTGAGTTTGGTGCATAAATATCCTTAAATACCTCTTCAGCTTCCGTTTACGCTCACATATGCCTGGGCGTGCTAATAATAGCCTTGCCCATTTGGAATTACCATCCTATTTTTCACCTAGCTAATAATTTTGTACAAACCAATTACCTAAACGTGCATTCCCCTAACATGTGTACTTTGTGAGACACGCACAGATCGGACTTGCAGCCTGACAACGGGTATATGTTCATCGCCTGGGACCAGCTGTCGGTTGACGGTGCCAACTCGCCGGCGGCGTACAATGACGGGGCCGTGACCATCCTGCACGAGGCCTTTCATGCACTTGGATTGTGGCATACCTTCTCTGATGCTTCACCTGGCTGTACAGATGGAGACCTCATAAGCGACACACCCACCGTTAAAAGTGCGTGATTTTATTTTGATCCCTGCTTGCTTGGTTATCATTGAGCCGTGCACGTGCAATGCTGTGCGAAGCCTGGTGATTTCATCTATGTCAGCAAAAGTTTTTATCGTCTGCAAGCTGTCCTAGTAGTATAATGAATAGAGAAGGACCACATCTAATAGGCAAAGCCCATCCAGATCTTTCGATGATGAAAATATGAAAACACTATAGGTTCAATAAGTTACAATAAACCGAATCCTTTAATCCTCATTAAGAGACGGAGGCCTGGAGGCTGATGATGAGTTCGAAGAGGGCGTTACAGTGGGCTGGCCATGGCCGCTGGAAAGGCCTCTCGAGATGCTAGTCGAGCGCTTTGCTTGTAATTGATATGTGTGCCGTACTGTGTAACAGCTACTACAGGCGGGAACAGGCTAAATGTATTTACTTCGTCAATGCACATTGATGATCGGCGATCGGATCAGATTGGATCGCCAGCCACAAACTCATGTGATAGCAGCTGATCCTTATCCAATGAGGACGCGCTATCATGTTCCTTCGATGGCCCCTTGTTGCTGATTGCTGCTCGCAGGAAACATTTTTATGACGGACTTTAGGGGAAAGGCAGCAAGCTATTGTCTTGATCTGTTCTGGGGCCGGTACGGCGGTGATTGGGAGGCGACGTACATGCGGTGGAGCAGCACCCTGGGGATTCCCGACCTGGACAAGAACGCCTGGGCGGACTCCTGCCCCAATGATCCCGGATACGATGAGCTGGGCAACTATATGACGTACAACACGCCAGTCTGCTTTGCAGCTCTTGGTCACTTCACTGTAGGGCAAATGCAGTATGCACATGAAATGACCTACAATTTTAACCCCGTAATGTACGCGTGGGGCCAATACTATGCTGCACACGCTGCGGCAGAGCAGCAGCAGCAGCAGCAGCCACCGCCACCTTCTGAAGCACCGAGACATCCGTGCCAGGTGCGTGTGCAAATTGGACGTTTACACGGCCATGCATTCAGCCTTGTTACTCTAGACAGGTCTGTCCCTGTGTATGCAGCTTTACTTTATCCCCTTCAGTGATGACTTTGGTTCCCCTTTTACCAGTCAACTGATGATGATACGCACTCCCGTCTGAAATTTTATATGCATATGGTCTATAGACCGTGCCACGGCACAATAGATACGCCTGAAAAATGGATGGTCTAAAGGCACATGTCCATTTTACAAACAACATTTTGTCTCTCTGTCGCCAATACGGACGTACAATTGTAGCAAGCAAGGCTGCGGCGAGCTGGGCGATGCCCTGTTCGCGAGCAGCAGGATAGGCTTACGAAAGGTTTTCCTCCAAAACTTTTGCGTGATCATGAAGCTCACCACAGCAGACGACTACACCCGCCTGCACATACTAATGATTATCCTACTATGGCGAGCTAACTAACTAACTAACTGCGTGTTTATATCAGTGGGCTTCTTGATTGCTTATTGCCTTTCCAGGCAACCAGAAAGGGTTCGTGTCCTTGCAAGAGGTTCTGGAGCATTGGCAGGCGAAAGTACGAGTACTGTGGACGCACGGACCTGAAAGGCAACTCTTGGTAATAAAACACTGATAGCATGCAAAGATACATTTTTTGGTCTGGACGAGAAGCCGCGCCGGTCGGGAAGCCGCGCTCATTTATGCATGTTTGCAGTAACAAACAAACCAGTTCTTGTTCATTCGCTTGTATTTGCCCGCGTATTTGCTCTTATGCCGAATGCGAAACATGTAATAGTACAGGAACAACGGCGTGCATGTATGGCATGCAGAGATATGCATGGCATATCTCTATCTCTGCGCATGCATATGGCCACTGGTCAGTAGAATTCTCGATCACCTATAGGCGACGCTCTCGTATGATAGGTAGGGAACGTCCTGGCTGGTAGCTAGCTGGCAGCTAGGGCTGGCCGCATGGCACGTCTAATACACGTATGTCCCCATGTACCCGCCTGCATGTATGCCGTGTCTGTGTGTGTGCGTGTGTGCGCGCGCGCGTGTGTATGTGCGCGCGTATGTGTGTGTGTGCGTGTGTGTGTGCGTGCGTGTGTGTGTATGTGTGTGTGCCTGGGAAACAACAACAATTATAGCAGTGGTTACATCATCAATTATGCGTGCATGCTTGTTACATACTTAAAAGTAAGCCATCGCCGCCACAGCATGGCTTCTGCTGTCCACCCTATCCTGTAGTTAGCCCACCATACTAGCTAGACGGGTTTTAGCTCTGACGGATGTATGTCTGTGATCATGATTCATCCTTCCTGCGTGCACATCCTGTTGGTGCGAGGTGTGTTACATCCTGTAGGGAGTATCCCGATATTATCCCGGGATTATCCCGGGATCTGACATCCGCCGACCTATACTTTTCTGTAGTCGTGGTACGACAAGGTGGAAGATCCCCCATCCTGTGTGTGGCTGTGTGGCTGTAGGTGCGAGGTGGAAGATCCCCCATCCTGCTCTGCTTGCGGCACCAGCAACACCACCACATGCCTCTTGATTTGCCAAGGTACATATGTGCATGTGTAAGGGTGATCAGGGACAACATGAAGGGGGCTGCCAGCACACTACTCTAGTCCAGTACAAATACAAGTGTGTACATCATACCTCCATCCGTATCATGTATGCTTTCGGCCAATAGCGCATGTATTTGTAATAGCTGGCCGCTGAGAATAAAGGGCTCTCAAGTCGCCAGCAGAATACCTTATTAGCACGTACTTGTAGACGATATGTGTGCCGTACTATCTACAGCTACTCCAAATTATTGCTCACTCCTTTAATATAATGTTGTCGCAGTAATTCCTGCACGTGCTTACATTTGCAGGTACACCAGATATATGTGGCCGGCAGGCGTCACCTGCCCAAGGACCCAATGGGGCGTCGTCATCACCGCCTCCGCCACCCATGCCACCCTCACCACCACCCATGCCGCCGCCCCCGCCGCCAGCCATCGTGCCTGCAGTTTGCCAGGTAACAATTTTGTACTTTCATACACTAAAAGCAAGCGCTTTTCAAATGGAATAATCGAAATTAATGAATGAATTATAACCAGCAATGTACAGATGGTTCTTTCAGTGCATGAGAGTCCACGCGTCCATTGCAACGGTAGCATGGATGCATGGCGGCGGGCGGTCAACAGACTTGCCCCAGCAGCAAGTAGGCAAGAAAGCTAGACACTGCTAGCCCACATACTCATTTAACGTTATATATGGTGATAAATCGTAGAACTGACAATGTGATAAAGCGGCCTAGAAGCCTCCCACTCTGTAACATTACATTACATATATGTGTGCAGGCCTTACTGGTATCACATACACCGGCTGCGACAGGATAGCTGAAAGTGTGCGAGTGTGTTTGTGCATGTGCACGCTGCATTCGTCTGTAAAATTTTTAATTATCCCTAGATCTCACCCCAGTATGTATCAGATAGGGACTGTTCCTTTCTATTATAACAGGGTGCCATCTATGTATATGCAATCAAAGAGTTTACATCAATAATTTAATTAAGATGGCATGTGTATAACAATGGCCCTGGCGTGTTCGTGTATGTGTTTCCCCCGCACGCTCACTGTACAGGTGTCTGTAAACAACTGCACCTGTCGCAGAGTTTGGATGTTTAACGGCACGATAGGTAGTTACTGCGGCACAATCACCTTGGCGTCCCAGAAGCTCTGGTAAGCGTGCGTGGCGAAGGGAATGTTGACACCGGTGCGTATGTATCGGTTATTACTGGCCTATGGTAATATTATTAATAACATGTACAATATATTGTACATGCATGGTGCGTCTTAGTAGCTGTTTGTGGTGCGTGGTTTGTTACAAGTTATAGGTTACTTATACCTATTATTTATTACTATACTTATTATTCGTTGCGCCATGATGTGCGACACATTCGTTGTCGCACATTACGGCGCAAGTCTGCACCCGGCATCATATGCATTCACCGTGAATGGTGGCCATGCAGCAGTATAAGCTTCTATCTGCTGCCGTCTACCGTACCCCACTACATGAGCCACCGGATCGCATCTTAACCCACATTACAGGGGTGGCGTGTGTACAACGTGTTTGTATGTGTGTACACGTGTATGTATGTGTGATGCAAGTGGTGGATGTATGTTATGCTCTCCACACCCTAGCTTCTGGCGCTAACTAATAACTTACGTGTGCAGGTGTGTTGTCACCCCGGATTGTCCATCCTTCGTGGCTGGACCTCTGCAGCCCTGCGGCCCTGCGGCAACCCCCGAGGCCTGCCTTGGTAAGACTTGGAGACAAAGAAGTCTGCTGACGAACACATGTATTTTATACGCACAAATGCATATATGCACAAATGCAACGAATGCATTGACTACGCAATCATGTAGCTTATTAGGTTTGCCCAACACGCACTTCCATACACATATGTATGGATGTATGGATGGTCTTGTGGGGCCCTAAAGCCAGCGGTGCTCAAACCGACCTCTGGGAGTTCCTTCGCTAGCGGCAGCTGTTGCCACTGATGAGGTAGACACCTAGACACCTAGACACCTAGACACCTAGACACACGACAGAGAGAGAGAGAGAGAGAGCAGCGGCTGTGGCGCTCGCTGTACAGTAGGTGCTGTGAGCAAGGGGGTCCTAGTCATAGCGCGGTGACAGAGCGGCGCCAGTTAGTAACCACAGCTGACATTGTGGTCTACCTGTTACGTGCGTCCTATCTGCCGCCACATGGTATCGGCGAGCGGGACTACTAGTAAAGGGGGAAGTAAGAGTGAACACAGATCTAGAGCCCCTGATAGTTAGATAGGTAGAATGCCGAACTCCAGGTAGATGAGAGCAGCTAAAAAGAATTGTGTGATGTCCGGATGTGATTGGCGGTGTCATCAGGACCAGCTAACTGATAATTGACCATGCGACAGGCTACCGTTTAGAACCGAACTTAGAAGCTCGAGCCGCTTCTCCCCTGCTGCGTCTAAGAAACAAACACTAGGTGCATTGTAATAAGGTCTGGGCCCTTCGCCGGCTGCTGCTGTGCTCAGGAGGTCCAGTTAGCAACTACGGGATGCCGCTGCAACCCCTGCTCTACAATTTTAACGCACGGACGACATTTTGTCTATCGGTTTTCCTCCGCCTACAGACATTGATTGTAACACAGCCAAGAAGATGGGCCTCGCATCGTTACATTGATGTATATACATGGAGACACAACCAGACGGTATTCCTGAATGTGTGCTGTGTCGCCCCTGATGTGTATGTGTATAAATGCATTTATGTATGTATGTGCAGGAATGAAGGGCGGTTCGTCGTCCATGCCGAGCCCTCCGCCAGCGGCGCCGCCGTCCATGCCGGCCTCCAAAGCCACCCAGCCACCAAGCCAAAGTAATTGAACGTGCGCGCAATCATTTGCCTCGCATTATCCATCACCACCGCCGATGATGGAGCGCGACATACATACATATATATATATACATTTTGGGGAGCAACGTTGTCGGTTAGTCAGTTTTGTCAGTTAACATCGATACGATGAAGCTCCTCTTTTGTACCAGCTGCGGCTAATTATGCTAGTAAAACGCAGCAACGTGCTAGTGAAGCGTAGCGTAGAGCACGTATTTGTAGGCATATCCATTCTTATAAGAAGTGATGCCGTGCTTAAGCGCCATTATAAAGCGTCATAATGATAAGCGAATTATCTGAAGCACCTGCTTAAGGGCCCAGCAGCAGCAGCAACCAGAAGCCCGTATCGGGTAGATTCTCAGGTACGCTCGCCGGGCTATCTTACACATGCGACTCATGAGTGTTGATCAGCCATGTAACACAAATACGTGTGCATGTCTTGTGGTGACATCCAGCTGGAGTCAGTCGACGTGCGTCTACAACACATGCAGCAACAATATCACATGCAAGCATGTGATGCGCATTAACTGAGCTCTCACGAAATGAGAGAATTGTAATTAGAACTGCAGCGATGGCAGTCAGCAGAGAGGTCGAGTGAATGAATGGATGGATGGCACATCATCATCAGCATATGCACTTGCGGGCCATGCGTGCACTGCCTGGCAGAAGTGAGGGATGAGCTGCCAGTGGTGCGTATGTTACTGTATAGGTACGTGGTTATTCTATTATTTCGTACCGTGCCTAGCTAATGTTTTTCCTGGTGTAATGGAATGTACGTGCCAGCTCGCTACCGGTAACTACTAATTGTCAATAGCTAGTCGCGGCCGCCGGGCACGCATGGGGTGTGGTATGTAACCTAAATTGGCTCGCATGTGCTTATTAAGTCATTCGTTGCTCGAGCGGATGCACAGTCGTCCTTGCGTGGTGTAAAGCGGAGTAGTGCCGAACCACGTCCCTACGTGACGATGTATCTGTATGTGTACCGGTGAATGATTTTGTGGATGTGTATCCGCTGGTCGATGTGGGTGTGGGCGCCCCCACATGTATACGTGCACTTTCATTATTACGTACTCGCAACGGAGGTCGTACGACGTACACACGGAGCCTAAGGACCGGTTTCAATTCTGGCTTGATGCGATGCGTTCGTGAACAGCAGCTGCAGTTCTGAAGCCAACTTTGAGATAAGGTGGGTAGCTGCGGGTTTTTGACTTGTAATTTTTAACCAGCGGTACTGCGGCTGCTATACAGCTAGAGGACAAAGCAACGCCTTCCGTTATACCTGCTGTGCCGTCGAGAGTTTGAAACCGCTGCAATTAACAAAGCAGCGCCGTACGTTATTAGGCGATGCTCTCTAATAGGATGCTGTTACGTCATGCGTTTGCTAAGGTGGGTAGGTACGCAGCCAGGTCCGCTTGTGTGCGCGCTGAGGCATTGAGGAAATATGTAATATTATGGGGTTTCATGGATGGACCTGCTGTATAAGAGGATGTCGCCAGGGAAGTAGGCGTTATATAGAGCACAGGAGATATGATGGATGCACAGGACAGGGCGGGCAAGATGAAGCTAGGATGGATGGCAAGGGTGACGGTTACGGTTACGGTAAGCGAAGTGGTGGAATATTGTGCAAATCAGAAGAGGGTAGTGCTGATCTGATGCTGTGGTTTAAGGCAATCCACTAGTAGTGTACACCTGTATGCATTTTCGCTGCAGGATTTGCGCGGGCCCAGGTGGCAGCTTTCGCGTGGGCCTATATCTTGGTATCAGTTTGGCTTGCTGGATATACGTCTTGACTTCGCAGATACGCTGCGAAATTTATGAGCGCTGTCTGCTGCTGTCAGGAGGCACCATGGAAAATTTGGATCTGGATTACGGCTTGCGTCGCATTTCACAGCCTTGCGCTTCTGTATCCCTGAGGAGCCCTTGTATTGCATGAGGCTCAATAAGTACTGACACGCAATTCCTGTAACTCATCTGCTTTTTACCAGCATGATTCGACACTGCTTTTTCTTTTGACCAATGCAGTACTAGACTATTGCCATCATAAGCGTTTGCGATATCCTAACAGCGTTTTAGGGATGGCTGATGCAATTAGCGATGGTGAACTTCGACGCGAGGCTCAAGAATTATTGGATGGCAAAGCGAAGACCCTGCTCGACAACAAGTGAGGGAGCTTTGCACTTTGCAAACGTGATCAAGGCAAACACTAAGCTGTGCCGCTTCTGCATCTGTGTTGCTTGGGCCCGACGACAGCCAACTCACATTGCGTGTTATGCGCAAGCTGCTTGAGGAGAAACTTGGTTTTCCCGAGGGAAGCCTTGACGCAAGGAAGAAGACGATCTCAACCATTGTCAAAGAGGTGAGGCCAGGTGAAACCGCTTCAATATCGAAACCGCTCTGGGCTTTCCGCGCTGCCTTCGTCATGCTCCCTATCGTTGCAGTCTGCTTCGCTCCCCCCTTCTCCAAAAACGCCTCCATCCTCTCTGTGCTGAACGATGAACGCAGCTGCAGAGCTCCCTGCTGATGCGCAGCATCCACGGCTGGTCCCTGCTGCCTTCAGCCCCACACGCGTATCGCACCAGTGATTGGTGCAACATGCTGATGCGCATCGTGATTATGTTCCTAATCTTCCCCCTTTCAACACTTTCTCTGTGCCTTGAACTTTCTCTCCAAACACCACTGCCAGGCACTCAGCCTGGAGCCCGTGACGGCGGAGGTTGCCGCGGCCGCCACTGCCCCAGCCGCAGACAAAGGGGCAGCAGCCGCAGCTGCGAGAGAAGGCAGCGGCGGGGCACCTCGTGAGAAGGAAAACAGAAAACCAGCTGCAGGAGGAGGCGAACTGAAGGCCAAAGTCGCCAAATTGGGTAGCGGCAAAGGGGGCAAGCATGCCGATGCGGATGGTGGTGGTGGTGGCAAGGACAATGGTAAAGCCAAGGCAGGCGCAGTGGAGAAGGCCGCTAAGGCTCGAGACAGCCTTAAGGGAACTAAGCGACCGGCAAAGCGGGACGAGGACGAGGAGGAGGACGGTGCGGGGGGTACTGGCGACAGAGGTAGCGAGGAGGTTGAGGAGGAAGAGGGCGGCGGCAGGCAGCGGCAGAAGAAGCGGGCCAAGAAGAGCCATCAGCTCTCGTCAGGTCTGTGGTGGGTTACTGTTAATGCTACATTATAAAGTTGGAAAGTCAGTTAAGGAAAGTGCATTGCAGAAAGCGGGGGGGGGGAGAAAGAAACGGCGGAAAAGCTTCTGAGCAGGGAAAGAGGGACCGGCAACGGGGATCTTCGGGTTATTCGCGGACACGCGGGCCCACAGCTCGCTACACGTGGTGACCCTTTCTTCCCCTTTTGCTAAAGCCTGACTTCTGAACACCGTAAGTTAGCAGTAACTGTCCCAGCCCCTACAGCCTCAACGCACTTCATCCTGTCTTGCACGTTGGGAGGGGATGAGGAGATTACGATCCCGCACGCGCGAGCGTGTCAAGGCCCCAAATGCGCCCCTCCTAACAACATGCGAAAGTGTTATTTGGGGCACATATGGCGCTAAGTGTCCTTGCCGATTGCGATAACAATTACCTGTCCGTGGCGCAGGTCCTGCCACCGCCGTCGCGGATGGGAGTGCTGCCGGGGGCCCTGCCAAGGGCAAGTCCGTCACCAGCCGTACCATCGAGCTCATGAAGGAAGTGTGCAAGAAGGCGACCATCAAGTAAGCGGAGGGGGGGGGCCTGTCAAGGGGGCCTGTCAAGGTGGGAGAGTTGAGAAACCCGGGAGAGAGGCAAAAGTTGCGATGGGAGTAACAGAGGCATAATGGCCCTAGGCGCCGTAGAATGTAGTTTGAGATTTGTCCTTTCTCTTTCTCTTTCACACTTGCTGCCCTAGGCGGCGCGTGGCTGCTTGAACACATCATCAGAGCGGTTGCCGACCCCTTCCCGCGTGTGTCAATTTTCCCTTGCTTTCAACAAGAAAGACAGCAATTTAGCAGAAATCACTATGAGTATCGAAAAAGACACATTCATGGTAATGGTAAATTGCATGTCATTTCACTCGTCCATATTCTTCCCTTTTCGTAGTCCCTTCCACATCCATCATCCGCCTGTTTGAGCGGATCTGCCTGGTGCTGTTCGCAGGATTGCCCCCACCTTGTACACTCGTAACAAGACGGTTTCGGAGCTTGAGGAGGCTCTGTCGGAGCTTCTGGCACGACATGGCCTCAACGCTCGCAGCGGCGATAGGGAAATTGGGGTGAGTAGAGAGGGATGCTCAGCTCCCCTTCCCCTCCCTCTCTCCCCCCCGTGGGGGGTCCGGGGGTTCATAGTTGGATTGCAGATGAGTGGGGTGTGCGGGGCGAGGTAGTGAAGCGATGTCTCAGATGGTAACCTCGCTGCGGCCACACGGAAAGAACTTTCGCAGGGCGGCTTTTTCCTCCTTTCCATTTTCAGTGCTGTCCTCTCAGTATCCTCCCAGTATGGGGCAGATCCGACTTCCGTGCCTGCCTGCCTGCCCGAACATGCATGTCGCGCTGCGTGGATTCGCGGGATGAGGGACAAGCGATACCCACTCTGCACGTCTCTCACTGCCTTCCGCTCTTTCCTTTCTGTCCCGTCAAGCTTCATCATGGCCAATGAATGCCCTCACGACCAGCAACAGCGTTTTTTTTCCAATAGCTAAATGACTACGATCTAGAATAACACAACCATTCGTAAGCCATGGGGCTGAATCCGTTCCGTCCCGAGCTCCTGCTTCGTCGTAATTGTCTTGGCCCTGGGGTCCTGCTGCAAGCCGCCTGGCATTGTTAGTCTCGCCACTTCCAGACTTGTCCTGGCCCAGCCCTGGCTAGTTCGTTCCTGACCTCTTCTTGCCCGTCCTAATGGTGTCTGACCTGCCTCCTAACCCCTCTCTTGACCGGTGCTGTAGCAAGTCCGGAAGCAGCTAGAGCGCAGTCGCGACCTGGAGGGCATCGATACCTCCAACATCATCTCGTTAGGAGGAGGTAGGCCGCGGCGAGCAGCAGCGGCTTCCATCAACTTTAGGTGCGTCTTCCTGTGAGTGCAACGAAGTCAGGGGTGCATAGATCTCTACGGCTTAATGAGCGCTATGGCAAGGCGCTGCTAAGGTTGCGTGCCTTCACTGCTATTTGCTTGGCAGCCGGTTGCCGAAGTGGTTCCTTTGTGGGGGTTGAAAAGGATATGGCTTTCGGATGCCTAGAACGGGTGTATTATTTATTGGGCGCTTGTCTACGTGTGTTGCCCTCGCCGCTACGACAGCGCATTTGCGATGAGGATCAGATGTACCCTTCTCTAGTCGAGGCATATCTAGGCAGTCCGAGTGCCGTATCTAGGCTTTCCTCGCAAATGATGGCGGGGTTTGAAGCGGGGGGCCGCCCTCAGGAAAGTCATCTTCGTTTGCGGAACAGCCACAGCTTGCAGCGGAACAACTTTCCAGAATGCTGGCCAACTCAAATGCCTTGTGATTGTTACGCCGTTGACATCCTCCTGCCGGTGGACACTGCTGTTGCCACCGTTGCTGTAGATCAATCATCCTGAACCAAGCACTACTTAATCTCCCATCCATGCGCCACGTTATGCCTTAGCCAGAGACCACAGCGGTCCACCTGCGCGCCCATCCATCGCTCATGCTCTGCCCCCTGGCCGAATGTAGGGAAATGTTCAAACAGCCAAAGGTAGATTCCGAGGACGACGACGACGACGAGGAGGAGGAGGAAAACTGCAAAGGGGCGAAGAAGGACAGACGCCAGTCCGCGGCCCAAGGGCGCTCCAAGGCTGGCGGAAAGGGCAAGAAGGCCAAGGCCAGCGATGGTGAAGATGAGGACGAGCGGGATGAAGATGAGGACAGCGACGAGAGCGGTGATGGGGAAGCGGATTCCGAGGCAGGCAGTGATGGCAGCGAGGAGGACGAGGGGGGTCGTGGCGGCAGTGGGCAAGGGACGGCAAAGGCAGGTGGTGGTGGTGGTGCCGGGCGACGGCTGCGGCCTGCTGGGACAAAGGATGGCATCGAGGATGGTGGGGCGTCGTCCTCTGGGTCGGAGTCCAAGGACTTGGTGGAAGTTGCCCATGGTGGGTCGGAGAACGCCCGCAGACGTACTGCTGCTGGGCCGGGAGCGAGGACGGAGGCTCGACGTGCGGCTCCACGACATGATGATGAGGATGGCAGTCCTGGCAGCAGCGGAGACGAGGATGGCGAGGGACGCGGAAAGCAGGGCACCTTGGAGGACGTAGAGGAAGAGGAGGGTGGTAAGCCAGCACCAGGAAAGAAGGCGGCGGCTGGCGCAGCAAAGGGCAGGTCCAAGGCGCGGCGCGTAGTTGTGGAGGAGGAAGAAGAAGAAGGTGCGAAGGGCTTTCCGGGTGCCGGTTTCCCGAGCTGACGGGCGCCACCTAGGAAGGCTGTTGGCATGGATACATTGTGCTTGAAGCCCACGATGGAAGTCGCCCTGTCCTGCGTGATGATGTGAACCTTACGGTGATTTGTACATGTATTCTGGAAGCTAACGGGAGTTTGTCTTCATATCGATCCTTCCCAATGCAGAGGAGAGCGCAGACAGTGAGGAGGACCAAGAGCTTGAGGATGACGATAGCGACTTCGAGGCGGATGATGATGACGACGAATGACTCAAAACGGTTGAGCGTGATAATCTCTTAGGTGTTTGTTAGGATTGGCGTGAATGGTTTTATCAACGCTTCCTTCTCCGGTAACTGCAACGTCACATGGTCACGTTCGTAGAGCGTTGGTGTCAACAGGAGGTGTGTAGGTCCTCGATAGGCCTTAGCAGTTGGGTGCGGTGGACGGTGCCCAGCGGTATAATCAATGTGGATTTGTTCGTGTGGGAAACCTGCCTGGTGTCGTTGCCATGGGTCCGCGTCTAGCGCCTAACACTGAAATGGTAAAGTGCGTGATTCGTTACCCTTTAGTGTTGATTACTCCGCATCGGATAATGGTATACATGAAGTACACTCCCCAATTAAGTACCTAAAACTGTGTAGCAAATTGCAACGGACCGATATACCCCTGATGGTGCCGACGTGGTTACACACCGGGCGCGCGACGGGCATTCCTTCCATGATGCCAAGTCAAATACCATTAGCAAGTACTGACGTGTGTGGCATAAGGTAGTAGCAACAACAGCCGAAGATCGATGAGACTACTTGCAGTCAAATTGCAGTTTTAAAATCTCGGCGGCCTCTAGGTCCTCCTACCATGTCATCCAAGCGGGATCCCGGGGTGCCAACAATGCTGCACCACGACTGTTGGTTGACGTCAGTGCCTAAAACGCCCGTGTGTGCACGGTCGCCAGTCCTCAGCCTAACAGAACTTCCATGGCTAGTCACAACTCCAACGAGAATCCTGCGTGTCTTCTAGTACCGGAAAAGCATAAGGCGAGGCGCCATGGCGAGGGCTGTGATCCACCAATCCCGCGGGGTCCTCCACGCCACGCGCTGTTACCCCTGCTGCCGACAAACCTCAAGACATAGGTCGCAATCAACACTGCACCATCCTTGGATTATGCACCTACTACTTTATCTTTAACGTTAGAAATCCTCCACGTTATTGCTTTCGAAATCCTCGTCCGACCCACAAAAGGATAAGGCCACAAGTTAATCTCTAACCAATATCCGCCTGCTTCCTTCTAGTACCCTACATCCTCAGCTGCGAACACGTCCGGCTAGACCCTTTACATTGCATTCAACGCGAGCGTAGTACCTTTTAGTACCCTACGCTGTGCCAACTGAAACAGGGGAAAGATCTCCACCCGACACCTTGAGACGCCCTCCCTTCCAGGGATGGATTCGCCCGCACGAGAACAGCTGAATCCTCCCCTCGTTTTGCACCAGATTGCAACCTTTGTAACAGGGGGACGGAGAAACACCTAGGCTAAAGGTACGAACGCTGTGTCTTCCGAAGGGGGATGTAACAGGTTAAGGGGGTGTGACACCTAGGGAGAGGACGATAAACCCACAGTCCTCCAGCCCACAAGCCCCTACCTGGCAGCGCCCGGGCTGGCGCCAGAAGGCACCCAACACCAACCAAAAACACATGACGCACACAGCTGGAATACATTACAATTCCCCTCTGTTATTCCCTGTTATTCCTTTTAGTCAAGGCGCCGAGGCCAAGGACAGGGACAAGTTCTCCCCAAATTTTCTTCACCCCGCACCATTCCACCAATACCGACCAACAACTCATGCCGCGCACGACCTCACACTCGCACACACCACACACACACACAGAACCCTGTGGAACCTTGATCCCCACATTACCCTGACTCCACTTTACTCAAGTTCACCGCGATCCGATAAGAAGTACTACGGTACTACGCAGCCTGCCCCGCACCGCCGCCTTTCACAGCAAAGCGTGTGCCTAAGTTGCCTGCCACCCTTTTCTTAACACAACCCAGGTTCTGCAAATAGTGCATCGTACCATTATTAGTCTTCACTTACCGCCGCGTCCGCTTAGACGGCCGATCCCCTCCACGCTGTGCACCCTCCTCCTCGCCCTCCTCTCCTACTGTCTGGCATGCTCCGACGCGCTTGGCAGCAGCTGGCCGTCGGGTGCTAGGCGTCGCGTCGTCGCTCTCCGACGGTGCAGCTGCTGCCTGCCGCCTTGCAGCCCCTCGAGTGCTCACGCTCGAAACCGGCACCGCGGCCACCGGCCCCATGGACGCGCCAGCTTGCGCACCGGCCCGGTTATGAGACCGCGTGGTTTTCGATGGCGCTGCCGCCACAGCCGCCGCCGATACCGGTGGCGGCTGGACACTGACACCCGGTCGCAGTCGCTCGCTTCGGCGAATGTGCAATACGGGCGACAAGTTGCCTCCGGCCCCGTCCCTTACCGGGCCGTCTTTTTTCAAGGCTAGGCCGTGTTCTTGAGCCGCCTCCTTCTGATCCTCACACTCCTCACCAGTACTGTCATGACATACGGCATCACCGACGGTGTCTGCTTCCTGTTTCCGCTGCTGCTTTCGCCCCTGACCAGTGCCTCCGGCTCTCCCGCCCTTCTTTCTGCCCTGTCTGCTGCACAAGCGCGCAGCCCGCTCGTCCCCGCATGCACCTTCGTCAGTCGCATGACCATCAGCAGCGCCATCCGGAAGCTGCTCTCCCGCTGCTGCAGCTGTCGTAGTAGCATCTCCGTGGCGGAGCTGGGGCTGCTGCACATGATCCCCAGCAAGATTCCCGCCGGCTGCGGATAACCCCCGGGCCCCTTTACCGGCCTGAGGAACAGCATTATCACCTTCACCGCCATCGTCTGCTGTCCCTCTGCAGCCCTCTTTTGGAGACAATCCTGGTTGCTCCTGCTGCTGCAGGTGCTCCTGTTGCGGCGTGCGCTTCACCAGCCGCCTATCCGGGCTGATGAGCGAGTGGGCTGGAGATGGGGGCGCAGCAGCGGACTCAGTACAAATGTGGACTTGGGGCGCATCTGCAGGACCACCCTCCATACGGCACCCTTCGTCTTGAGGGCCATGTGCAGCGCTAGCTTGGCCAGCGCGAGGGGCTTCTGATCCCTCCTCCTGTTCCTCAAGCGCCGCCCCATGCGTCTCCCCTTTGTCCTCCACCTCCCGTTCCGTTCTGCCTCCCTCCTCGGCGCTGCGAGCTTCCGCCTCCTCCTCCCCTTGCTCTTCCTCCATTATCGTGTCAACTTCCCACAGCCGCATCTCGTCTTCTGCAACGCTCGGGGTAACAGCAGCAGACCCGTGGGTCATGGTCACGGATGTGCCACCACCGTGCCCCTTGGCCCTGCCGCTGTCGGTTCCACCCTGACCATGCAGCTCTGTAGCGCAGCAACTGTCCCCACCCATCGCATCCACAGCAGCCGCCTCCGCCAGCGCATCTGCGATGCCCCGCACTTGCGAGTACACAGCATAGTCCGTGGCCGCCGCCTCAGCAGCTTCTCCCTCTCCCTCTGCGACCTCCGCCTCAGCCGCCGCCGCTGTTGGCCCCTCAGCCGCCCCTGGAGCGGGGGAGACGCGTTGGGCTCTCTGTGCCTCGGCTTCCGTCTCCGCAAGGCCTGGACGCTGCTCCATGTCATCGGCTGCCATAGCGTCCACCGACGCTGCTCCATCTACTTGCGAAGACCTACCCCCTAATCCCGCCGCCTCTTGCACAGCGCCGCCTGTCGCTGCCGCCGCCGCCTCTGCTGCCGCCGGCGGTGCCGTCACTGCTGCAGCTAATTCTGCCTGCACCGTCCCGACGGCCATCACACTTGCGCCCTCCGAAACTCCAATAAGCACAAAAGCATCGCCCTTTCGGCGGCGCTTGTTCTGCGGTGGCAATGGCATGTGGTCCTGGCGAGAAGCATTCTCGCCAGCGGCTGCGACGGCGCCGGTTGCAGCGGTGGTGACCGCAGTGGCGGCCGTCGTCGTTGTCGTACTGTGTGGGCCCCCCGGCGCACCACCCGCGGTTTCCTCCTGTGGTGCCTCCTCCTCCCTAGCATCATCACACGCCCGCCGCTTTCTCGGCAGGCGGTTGACTTGCTGCGGCCGTTGAGGCTGCGGCGGCTGCCGGCGCGGCTGGCCCGGGGCTGCCGTATATGCGCGGCCGACCAAGGGCTCTGCACGGGAGGAGGTCCTGACGCCATGAGCAGGCGTGCTCGCAGCGGGCGTACGCTGGGGCCTCAAAGGGGTAGCGGCTGCAGCCGCAGCGGCTGCCCCGTAATGAGCCTTGGAGGGAGTGACAGCGGCCGCTGGCGGCGCTCGTCCCTGCGTTCTGGAGCTGGTGCGCATCGCCATACCCGTGCCCAGATTAGCCGCAGCGGAGGCAGTGGCGGCAGGCGCGGTGGCCTGAGTCCTCCCAGTACGGCTGGTTGTACCGAACGGCGGATTCTTCCTGGCGCTGTCCCGGACGTTTGCTGCAGGCAGCGTTGCCAGCGGCGCGGCCGCGGCGGTTCCCTTGGCGGCCGACAGAGGGGCGCCACCGGCTCCCTTGCTGCTGGTTTGCGGCACACGGGGCGGCGGCGTAAGCTTGCACCCAAGCGGCGTGTTCATAGCTGAGCTCTGTCGCCGCAGCTTGGCTGCCTCGGCTATGGAAATGCCGAAGCCACCGGGCGTTGTATCCTGCGCCGCCGCGTCAAGGTCCACACGCGAAACCGATCGGTGGGGCGGTTCCCGACGACCCACGGGTCGCGAGGTCGGCGGTGTATGAGACGGCTGTGCCGTTGCCGCTGCTGCTGCTGCGCCGGCGGCTGCTGCTGCGGGGACGGGGTCTTGCGTTGCATCATCGACAGCAGGTGCGGTAGCGGATGTACCAGCGAGCGCAACAGCAGCGGCCTCATCAACGTCCAGCATTTCTGCGTCCAGAGCCGCCTTTACAGTCGTTGTGATGGCCGCTGCCTTCGCTTCATTGGCTGCATTCGCTCCGCAGCCTGCTGCCCCCACGTTTTCATACGGACCCGGCGGAGATAGCAGAGCTAGGGCCGTTGACCCATGGCATGTCGCAGGCAGCCCCAGGTATGGCTCGGCGTCGACACAGGGCCCGGCAGCGCCTGCACCCTCCCTTACAGGCGGTGCTGCATTAAATCCTGGCCCCGCCACTTCCAAGACGACATGCATATCCCCGGCAGCGGCAAGCGAGGCCGCTGACGGGCCTTGCTCATCCGTCGCATCAACATCAGCTACGCCGCCGCCGCCGCTGCTACCGCCGCATGGCGCTTCCGCCACCGCAGTAGCATTGGCGGCCGTCGACGTGCCGCCGTCTTCCGCCAGAGGAGTGTGCTGCATCACTGGCTCCTCGTACAGCCGCTGAACCCGTCGCCGCCCCGCTTGCTTTCCCCCACGCCCCCGGACCCCGCATTCAATGCCCACCGTAGCGGGTGTTGGCGCATCTACATCCTTTAGCAGCGCAGCCGCCTGCTGCTCGGGTGCCCCCTCCTGCTGCTGACCATGCATGGCGCCTTGTCCGTTATCATCCTCCTGATCCTCCTGCCTTTGCTGTTGTTGCTGTTGCTGCTGCTGCAAACGGCGGGCTGGGTCCTGACCCTCAGGAAGGCAGCGCTCAATCGACGGCTCCTGGACTGCACCGCCGGCGGTTCTGGCGGCGGCGGCGGCAGCGGACACCTTGTCCAACGCGGTACAACTGGCGTCCACGACTTTTGCACCGTCAATAATGGCTTCTGCCGCAGCTTCTAGTTGCGTCGCTGCCAGTGGAGCTGAAGATATCACGTCGCGCGATTGCAGCGATGCCATGGGCCTATTTCCATCGCAACCGCCACCAGCACCGCCACCAGCAACAGGCTCCTCGAGCTCCTCGGCAATCCGCGGCAAAGCTCCTGGGCCGTCCGCTAGCGCATTTCCGGCGCGCGTGCCCTTCTCAGCCAATCGCAACGCCGGCGCCCTGCTGCCGCAGGCGCCCCGCATACCGCGGGGATACGGCGTCAACCCGTGCGCGGTGCGGCATGGAATAGGACCGGCTGATGTAGGTGTACCTTGTTCAGGCTCCAGTGCCACTCCTGTGCCGCCAGCGGCACTTACTTCGCCAGTAGTGCGTATCGCCGTTGGTCCCCCCTGGCCGCGCATCGGCGTAGAGGCCAGCGATGGACGAAGCTGCGGGCACAGGGCACCGGCGCCGCCGCTGAGCACAGGCGCCAGCGGTGGTACCTGTGGCCGGGTGGACGCGTGTGCGACTGCCGCCGCCGCCGCCGCCGTTACGGACACTGCGGCAACAGTTGCCGCTGGGGAAGCAACGCCGGCGTCAGCATCGATGCCATCTCGCTGCAGCTCCCGGTGCTTGTCTGTGCCACTGTCCATAGCCTCACCTCCTACTGCGGCTGCTGCTGCTCCTACTGGAGCTCCTGCCGCACCCCGCACTCTCATATCCGGAGCGTCGGGCTCATTGCATGTGCTGGGCGGGACGAGAGTTACAGGCGGCTCAGGTGGGCTTTCGGCCACGTCGTCCATTTCTACGTCCCCATGGATGCTGACGCTCCCAGCAGCGGCAGCAACGGCGGTGAGGAACCCCGGGCCTGTAGAGTTCTGCTCATGTGGCAGCTGACCTGCCAGGGACCCTTCTTGACATGGCTGCTGAGCCGCCGCCTCAACCGGAAGAGTAGTAGCTTGGAGCAACAACTCCTGAGGCGCCTGGGGCTGCGGCTGCGGCGGTGGTGGATGCCGCGCAAGTTCGCCTGGCTGAGTAGGGTGAGCCCCCGGGGGTTCACTGCCGCCGCCGGCGCAGCTGTCCAAGGACCGCCGCAGCTGTGCAGTCCCGCCGTCGATAGGCTCCATCAAATCATCACGCAACCCACCATCAATAGACATAGGAGCACAGCCATCGTCAGTTCGTCCAGAGGCCTCGGTGGCGGTCGGGAGCGGTTCAACAAAGGCAATGGCTGCAGCAGCAACAGCAGCGGCAGCCTCTGGAACTGTTGCTGCTGCTGCTGCTGTCGCCGCAGGCGCTGTGGCCGTCCCGGCGACTGCAGGGACCGCAGCAGGGCTGATGACCTTCGCGCTACCGGGGGGCCGAGCGCAACGAACATCTCCATGCAGACGCGCAGGTGTCTTTGCACCCTGGGCTTGCCGGCCCTTCTCCACCTCCACCGGTGCGAAGCGCGGCGGAGGGGGCTTCGTCGCTGCTGAACGCAAGCCGCCGCGCTTTGCCGCTGTAGTAGCCGAAGACGGGCCCGCAGCTGCTGCCGCAGCTGCCGCTTTGGCTGCAGCGGCAGCTGCTGCTGCTGCCGCCGCCGCTGGCGGCGCCTTCCGGGAGCGCGGCGGCACGATGCCGGGACCCGGTGCACATACCGGAATGCGGCTGCTGTTTCCAGCAACGGCCGCAGCAAGCCGGGACGGTGGGCCGCCGTTACTGCCGGCGGCAGCACCAGCACCCGCGGCACGCCGCGCAGAATTCATGCACGGCGAGCAAGCATCTGGCACAGGCGCTCGCGGCGGCCGTTTGCGGACCACTGGGGACATGGGATCGGGGCCCCCAAAGCTGTCGTCTTCGCTGTCGCTATCGTCATCGTCGTCCCCGTGGCGCGGGCACATCAGACTGTCCTCGGAGTGCTCCTCTCCCTGCAAGCGACAGCCCGACGGCGGCCCGTCCTCTCGCTCCTCACTCACTGGGCATTCATCCGCTGCCGCTTCCTCATCCCCAGCAGCTCCAGCCCCAGCTCCGCCACCTCCACCGCCATCGTCCATCGGGTCGAAGGGAACGGGATTGAAGCCAGAGAGGCGCCGGACGCCCAGCTCAGCGGCTGCCTCGCCCGCCCCGGCCATGCCGGCGTCAGGATCAACAGGGTCACTTCCGTCAGGTGAGGTGCCAGGCTCCGGCGGCGGTGCCGCGGCGGCGCCGGCGCCGCCGCCTGTTACCGGGGCCGGGATGCCAGCGCCGAACACGAATAAAGGAGGAGCTGCGGCAGCAGCAGGTGGCGGCAGTGGAGCCGCAGCTGCTGTTGCCGTTTGGGAGGAGGGAAGCATTGCGGCTGGCTGGCTGCCTGCGGCGACGGGAGCCTGTGCCGCTGCGCGCGGCTTGTTGACAATCTGACAGCGGCGAAAGGAAAGGACAAAAACAAGGTTGGTGCGTCGTCACAGGAAATCGGCAACAGGGAAAAAGCTCATCTGCGCTCATGCAAAACAGGTAAATCGTCCGTTTCTTAAGTGAACGGTTGCGCGGGTGGCAAAAAAACTCGTTTTGGTGGACTGTAGAGCAGTTCAGTAAATTTATGGCAAAGTAAGGAAGGCACTAGCTTCTCCGATGCAAACCGATCTGAGTTGAGCAGGCCAGTGCACGATTAACACATAGCATGGGGTGCCCAGGGTTTAAAAAGACACGCGAGAACGAGACACGCTATGGCCCTTAACCCGCAGCACCCCACACTTCACCCCCTCTCCGCCCTCGCTGCCTTCTGTTCATCGTTTCGCCTCCAGGGCGGGGCGCACCTGGAAAGTGGCGACTTGGCTGAACACTCCATCGCCGCCGGGATTGAACTTGACCTCAGGAACTGAGGGAACGGGGAAACGCGGGGAAGAGGGTGGTGGTAAGACGAACCACAGACGAATGAAGCTGGGTTTGATGCCAGGAGGGGGGAATAACACATGCACGAAGTAAAGGGTTAACTGTCGGTGTCCCAAGCCGCTGAGGGAGACTGGCTCCCCCTCCGCCGTAAACCTGGGTGCCTCAGAAGGGGTCTCAATCCGACTTCTTCACGCTCATGGGTTCGCATGCGCATGGATGCCGTGAAGGACCCCCCCTCGTCCCTGAGGCCCTTCCCCCGCTCGTCCATGGCTATCCCTCCTTGCCTCCAATCGCAACAACGCCCTGGCGGACCCTTCACACCACTGCAAGAACCAGGTCACGTAGACGGACTTCTTACCTCCCAAGCTAGTGTTTGGATCCCTACACCTAAAGGGCCTGGGCCCGAGTTCGGAAATCCATACATAGGGACTCGTATACGCGGCGGCTCTTAGACCCTGGCCCTTGCTTACCTTCGCCTGCGTCTGCATCCGTGAAGAGCCCTCGCGCCAGGCCCAATGCGCCGCCACCATCGTCGCCGCCACCGCCCCGCCCATTCAGGCCAGGAATCCGCGACCGGTGTTTGCCGCCGCCGCCGTCATCCATCGGCGTCGGGCCCACCTCCGTTGACGAGTCCGACGCCGCGGGAGCCCCACATGGGCTTCCGACGCCCGCCGCACCGGCGGCTGCGGTGGCGCCGGGTGGAGAGGCAACCGCGCCTGCGCCAGGTGCTACACCTCCGGGACCTCGGGCATGCGAAGCAGGCACAAGTGGCAGCGCCGCCGCCGCCGGTTCCTTTCCGCCCTTTCTTTCCGTGGTCGCTGCCGTCGGCGCGTCCGCCATTCCAGCCGGTGCTGCCATTGGCGTTGGCGCTTCCTTGTCGAATAGGTCCGCCAGGTTGGCGGCTGCGGTGCCGCAGCGCTGCTTCAGGCGGTGCTCCTCCCGCAGAGCCGCCAGCCGTTCCGGCGGCGGCTCGGGCGCCATTTGGATGATGGGCCGGGCGATGATGGCGGGCATCCTGGCGCATTCCACATGCAAAGAAAAACAAGACGTGGTAAGGTTCGCAGTCCGAATGCACATCAAGGACAGGACAAGGCGAAGCGCCATGCAATGCTAGTGGCGCTGCGGCGGCTTATGCTGAGATGCGTGGAAAGGGCCACGGGCCAGGCGATCGGCGTATCCCTCCCTCCCCTTTCTTTAACGAACCTAGTCCAGTCCTAGTCGCGGAGACACCGCGCACGGCTCAACCGCGTGATTTCAGCACGATGACCGACCCATGGGCCACTTCTACGGGTCAAGGTTCCCAAGGAAGCTCCTTTTCCTTTCGTCCTCCTGTAAAGGCTGCTTCCGCTTGCTCTTTCTTACCATTTAAATATGAACTATGGACAGACTTACATGTGAGCCGGCCGGACGGGGTCCAGTCGCGCGACGTGTTTGGCCATGCGGCTGGGGCCCACTGCGGGCCGCTGACTTCCCGCGACCACCACCCCACGCAGGCTGTCCACCTCCATCACCTGGGGCATCCAGAGGCAACCACTAGACAGTTAGGCATTCCTTAAAGTTTTCAAACTGAATGTCAAAAGCGGTAGCCAGGTAGCCAGGCCCCAGACGGCTAAGCCGCCCTGAGGTCAAAACCTAAAGGAGGTGCAATTTAATAGGTATATGTGCAGACTTCGGAATGGCCGTCCAGTCACCGTTACAGTGCAGCGCACGGCACCATGTAACGTCCGGGAAAACTGGGAGAAAGGAAAGGAAACCAGAAGGCCAGGCCCGACAAGCTTGATAACAAGAGAAGGCAACAGGTAGGCAGAGTACCCCAGAGCCGTCACCGGACATACCTGAGGCTGTGAAGCACCGGCCTTGCCCCCATTCGGAGCTGCGGAGCCGGTCCCACCGCCGCCGGGTCCACTGCCGCCTCCGGGACGACCGGATCCGGTGGCCTGGCGGAGGATGCGCCCGGCGGCGCCGGGTCCGCCAGCGCCTCCGCCGCCGCCGCCGCTGGCAGATGCATTCCGCCCTGTGCCCTGCCTCCCGAGGGAAACCGACGTGCCGCGACCGGATGCCCTGGCCGGGGAAGGGGAAGGAAGACACAAGGCAAACTCGCAGACTTGCGGATTTAGGGATGCGACAAAGGGGACATGCATTAATTACATTCGGTCGTGGGATGCTGACAACAGGTGCCCCAAAAACGTTTGGGGCGAAAGACGCTACCATGGGTTGGAAGGGAGAAGGCAGGCACGGCAGGCAGCGCAAAGGCTTTCCGTTCTTTCACAGTAATGCTGATGAAGGCTGGGGAAGAGGTAGCGTTTACGGTATACGGATCCGGAGTCAAGGCGCTCGATCGGCACTGTAGTACCAACCGCAAAACCAACCGCCCCAGCTCCCCCTCTGTACCATCCACTCCATCCACTCCTCATCTTTAAAGTACATCCCGCACCGCACCACGTACCGCAGGTCTGAGGGCCCCAGCTCCGAAACCTGCTGCTGCTGCTGGGCTGCTGCTACCGCCGCTGCTGTCCGTTGGAGCTCCTCCAGGGCGTCCGTGGCAGCCTCCACACCACCCGCCTCCTCCATGCCCGCCTCCCAATCCTCATCGGAGTCCCTTGGGACGATAACCAACGCACGCACATACATACATGGATACATACATGCGTACGTACATATATACATACACACATACTACATATCTACATACGTACATACAAACAGATATTAAAACATTTAGATACATACATGCAGACACACAGACACGTGGGCGTCGCCGCCTTGTAAAATAGTCGCACACAGAGTCGAGCTTTTTCATCATGGGGACGATGCAGGTCCTCGCCCAAGAGGAGGCCATGTCTCGTGCGCAGGGAAATTCGCCAATAAGGCAGGTACTCATTCCAGCGGTGCATCCGGGCGGGCAGCTTTACACGCGAGCTTTACGCTACATAGTCAACCACAGACAGGACAGGCTACAATAAATGCACCCACCATCGCGCAACGAACTCCATCTCGTTGTTGCCCTCGCGGTCCTCTCCCGCGTACGACACCGCCAGCAGGTCCAACAGGGTCGCGACCCAGGTGTTAGCTGCGGAAGAAAGGCACGAGGAGGGCACCGGGCGGTGTGGATGTCATAATAGGGAAAAATAGGGAGAGAAAAAGGAGATGAAGGGAAGACGATCCATGAGATCATACAGCAATCCGACCGCAACGTTTCCCAGAGCCCAAGTCCGACACCCAAGCCCAATATGCCGCACATGTCATCCTGTGAAAAGATACTCACGCAGACACACAAACGCACACACATACACACGCGCGCACGCCCGGGGCCTAACCCACCCGGCGACCAGCGCTACACAACACGGACCGTCGCACCCACCCCATGCCGGCTTGAGTCGCTCGGCCACCAAGGCCGCCATGGACGGCCCGCCCTCCACATGACACAGCAGCGGCACCGCCCAGTCCAACTGCTCTCTCAGCAAGTCCACCAGCACGCGGGGACTACGGCGGCGGTAACCTAGGAAGAGGCAGCCGCAGCGACGGCAGCAGAAACGACAGTCAGGTCAGTAGGACGTGGCTGCAGCAAAGCCGCGATAAGCCATCGACTTCGCAAAAGTCGGCACACGTGGGTGATGAAAAGGATAGTAAGGGTGGTGCCCCCAAACATTGGGAAAGTAAAGACTACCAGGCAAGTGGGGGCGGGTGAAACTGTACACCCTCCCCTGCTTCGCACAATCATATATTGCGGCAGCAGCAGCAGCAGCAGCAGCAAGAATCCCCATCTCGCTGTCCTCATGCCACATCAAAATACATTATTGTGTAAGCACCCAAAAGTAAAAGTGACAGCCCTAAATTATTGCAGCTCAAGCTAGACCGCCCCCCCCCCCGCACCGCACCCACAGGCCTTACCGAGCATCTCCACAGCGTACACCACTCTGTCGGTTCGGACAGAGGAGGCGTGCAGGCGGGAACACACACAGGGAAGTGCGTGAGTGTCATGGAAAAGGCACGGATGGGATGGATGGCACGGATGGGATGAGATGGCACATGGGAAAGGCACGAAAAGGCACGCAGGATGCGTGACGTGATGTCCAAATATGTGATAATATTGGAATAAAAGCGGTAGGGAAGTACCCAGGAACTCCGTACGTGCAACCTCTCACCCACTGACCGGCTTGCTGTATAGATGAGCGCACACAGCTGTAGCCGAGGCCGTCCGCGGACCGCGCCCCGCTCACGCAGTATCGCCATAACGTCCCCAGCCCAGGCCTCCTGGAGCAGCGCAAACACCTGCGGAGCGACGACACGGTGTGCACATATGCGCACATGTGCGTGACACACTGACAGCAAACAGGACGTGGCACACTGACAGCAAACAGGACGTGACACACTGACAGCAAACAGGACGTGGCACACTGACAGCAAACAGGACGTGGCACACTGACAGCAAACAGGACGTGACACACTGACAGCAAACAGGACGTGGCACACTGACAGCAAACAGGACGTGGCACACTGACAGCAAACAGGACGCGACAGGTACACTTTATGGCACAGGGAACACCAGGTAGCAACATGGTAGCAACATGGTAGCAACATGGTAGCAACATGGTAGCGACATGGTAGCAACATGGTAGCGACATGGTAGCGACATGGTAGCGACATGGTAGCCAGTTCCGTGGAGCCGTCGAACAGAAAGGCCAGTGCTGTGGACCATAGAGGAAATCCACATCAGGTCGTCGTTGAGGTCCAGGTACCAGAACACCGGTGGTGCAAACTCAAAACGTCAGGTTGTCAAGTTGTCATAGTACCGGGGTTTCCGTACAGATGGTCGTACCTGGTCAATAGCAGCTGCATACACCCCGTCCTGGTCGACGTCCGCTGCCGCCTGGCGCTCAGCGCTGCCGACTCCGCCACCAATACCACCACCGCCGCCTCGGCCAGCAGCTAGGCCCTTGCGACAGGCGTCCCCACCGCCTCGGCCATCGACACCGCCGACGGCCACATCTGGGTCCACCTCACCGCACTGCTCTCCCACCTCTGCGCCAGCACCCTATTGAACCCACCATCAACAGCCACCCAAAGATCGCAGATATCACATGTTCGGTTCGGTACGAAGTGGCTTCATACCGTAAAAGTGCCTTACAAGTGAAGCTAGGAGTGCAGTTCCTTTGGTTCTATGTATGTACAAAATGCGACAGGCAAGGGCGGCGGCATCCTGGCCATCCCTCGCATGCGACGGATGCAAGGAGCCAGCCGCAAGCCAACCCGCGCGCATCCCTTACATGTGCTGTGCTGTGCCGTGCCGTGTGCTGTGTGCCCTGCTTTACTTTAGACACACTCAACGTGATGCGCCCCATTCAAATACGCCCATCATATCGCACTACTCGCTGTGCTATACGGAAATAGCTTACACGTTTTGGACAATGAATTGTCAATGAATGACAATCAAAATGACAACGAAACGTGTAAAAGCTATTTGCGCACGGCTTGGCGCGCTTGGTGGTGACCGGACGCTCACCCCGTTGGGTCCTCTGAGGCGAGTCCTCCGCTCCGCAGCTTGCTTCCGTACCCCTCGCATGGCGATTGAGACGGCCCGCTCCGAAGCCCTAGGGGTTAAGAAGGGGAAAGGGGAGATTAATTGTGCAAGAAGCCAAGGAAACGACAGGGGGTTGACAAGGAGGTGCGCGAATGCACGAGAGCTGGATGCATGTGCGCATGCATGCATGCATGTATGTACAATATATATGTATGCACATGCATATAGAAATGCGTGGATGAACTTATGGATGGTCTACGACAAGGATGCCGCAGCAGCCCGCACTAAGCAAACTAAAAGGAAGGGGCAAGGACAGACGAAGATGCCGGACGAGGTGGTGTTGGCTCTTCTCCTACACAGGAGGCTAAAACGACGTAACCAAAAGCTGGGGGACGAGGGGAATCACGGCGGGGGAGCGGCATCACGGCTATAGCGGAATCATCGCCGTCCGTACCTCAACAGCGCATCCACCACCTCGCGGGTGTGTGCCCGGGCTCGCTCCAGAACCAGCTCCAGGGGGGGTTCCCAACCGGGCAGCCGCTCCTCGTGGCGGGACAGCTTCGCTGGGGGTACCAAAACTAAGGGGGTAGGGTGGAGTGGGGCAGAGTCGCATGAAGTGAGAAAGGGTCATATGGAAAAACCCCAGACCATGGCGATATGCCCTTTTGGTTCTACCGATCTATGCGCCTTGCAGCTCCATCATACGACATCAACATGATGTCGTATGTCCTTTCTGCAATTGTGGACTTAACAAGCCTCGCCGACCCATGGGACTTACGCTTGCTCCGCAGGCGACTGCGTGCGTCTCCTAGAATGGGCTGCAATGACTCCAGGGGTGTGACGCGCTGCCGCTTCGCACTACGACCATCTGCCGTGTCCTGCGGATGCGGCTGCTGCTGCTGCAGGTTGTCGTCACGTCCCGGCTGCTGTAGGCCACCTTCCTGCTCGCCCGCTCCTCCTTCTCGTTGTTGCTTCTGATGTTGCCCCTGCGGCCTGTTCTGGCGCCGCAGCTGTTTCTCGTCTTTGCGAATCGCGGCCTTGAGGTCACCCGAAATGAACTCGTGCATCTGCCTGCGCGGAACGGAACCAAATGCAGGGAAACGTGAGTAAGGCTACACGACACCCTGGAGGTTCAAACCTCTTTCCAACTCGCAGTCATACTGTAGCTACTCAAGGAGGAATATTAATTCATCTAAAACTTCTAAAAGGCAAAGCTGAACGGGGTGGAAGACCATCCTGTGGGGGAAAGGGGGTTATTGCCCGTAATGGCTTTTGCCGTGTGCCGCTTTTGGTACGCATGGAAGATGGGATGGGCAAAGGGACGATACAAATGCAAAAACGTGTCTACTAAGCTGCGGGCACCAACGCCCCTATACTACGCTGCTATCCTACCAGTTCGCCCCTTTCCATCCCTCCTTTAAAACCTGTCAACCCTTCACGCACTAACCATACCATACCCCGTTTTGCAAATACAATCGATTCTACATGTTTTTCGGCACATTTTTCCAATCGTGCACTTCCTCATTCGCGTTCGATACATCCGTTCGGGGGTCCCGTTAGGACTCCTTTGCCTTTTCCCGTTCGGGCTCTCTCCCCGCCCCTCCCCTTCCAGCGCTTCCGGCCGGCTACCACGCACTCGTCTGCACGCCGTAAAAGCTCCCCAACGTCCAGGTCATCATCCACGGCCACCATGCCACCCTCCCTCGCCGCATGGGCAGCCAGCTCCTCAGCGCTCAAGGGAGGCCAAACCCAGCGGCTACCTCCGCCTCCGCCGACAGCGGCGGTGCCTGCGGCCGCGGCCCCTGCGGCAGCAGCCACGCCGCCGCCGCCGGCAGCGCCACTTTGCAAGTCGTTGCCTGGCTTGCCATTGGCGCCACCGGCGGTTCCAGCACCGGAAAGGACTCCCTGCTCCAAGGCCTGTAGGAGAAGCAAATGCCACGTAATGCAAACACACCGTGACTACAGTATGCTACACGGCATGCGGGTGCCATTCTCACCCGCATGGTGGATCTGATGGATCTCTTGCTTACATTTTTCCTGCATTGGCCAGAGGGAGAACTTCCCATGGCATTCGCTGTATTCCTCCCTCCCCTTTTTCCTCCGCTCCCTCATTTCCACCCTTTCCTCCCACTTTCCGACCCTCCTCCTGCAGCGGTGCGAAGTCCCGTGCTTTTGAGGTCTTTACACGCGACTACAACGTGGGTTTCCGCAACGTTGGGTTTGCGCAGGGGTACGGCCCGTTTGCTGCATTTCAAGGGAGCTGCGACGTGGTTGGTGGGCCCCCGCTGAGCTGAGGGGTGAGGGACCTCAGGGGTGGACCAACAGCACCAGCTGCTGCTGCAACAGGTGCCGTCCGACCCTGCATGGAAGAGTTCGTGGAAATACCCCTAGTTCTCAGCTTGCACAAAACACTTTCCTCCCTCCAACAACAGGTGCAGGGGAGAAGCCGACCGTGAAGAGTAGAAGCAGAAAGGAAAAGGAACATACGCATCTTCTTGGGCGTACCTGGGCAATGCGCTTGCCCGCTGCGCGACCGAGCGTGTAGTTGCTGGCGGGTGCGCCAGCAGCGACGGTGTTGGGGTCCACGACCAGCGGCCGAACGAGCGGCTTGCTTGCCTGGGAATAATCACGATGACGTGGCAGATGGGACGCGGAGGGGGTAAGACGAACCACACGACCCGAAGGGAAGCTGGGTCCGCAACGCTGTTTTTAACATAGCAGTTACAGCAGTTTCTGCTATGGGACTTTCAGAATAATTGGAAAGCCCTAGGGTTAAGGTCGAGACCCGAGGTGGGACGGGAGCCCATGCTGTTGCGGAAATGCGACACACAAAGCATGGCGGCGGAGTGCTTGGCGCCACGGCGATCCGGTGCCGTATCCCTCATTATAAAACACAACCAAATGTAACAAACGCACGACAACAGCGACACCCGGGGCGCTTTTGCTTGCGCCAATCACTGACAGCGCACTTTTGTCCTGTTATGGCAGTGACTGTCCTTAACCTGTCCCATTCCCTTTTCCCCTGTCCCGCCACCTCATATGATCTTCTGCGCCCTATTCTGCTCAAAACACTCCGACGGCTCCGCGAGCCACATAGGCAGAGTCTTACCTTCTGCGCGCCCTTCTGGGGCTTGCTTGCACCTCCAGGCCCGGCAGAGCCGGCGGCGAGGCGGCCGCCCAGCGGACCTGACCCGTGACCCGGCTTGCCCATCAGCCCTGGGGCCCCCTTGAGCGGCTGCCGAGCGCTGCTCCCCCCCGACACGTTCATCTGGTCGAACAAAGTAACGGTTAGGGGCCCATTAATTGGAGGTAATACTTGGGGGAGATAAGAACTTGGGGGTAGTAACGGAAGCGGTAAATCCCTTGACCAGTGGACACTACACAGCCGGAATGAACGCGACAAAAAGCCCGTTACAGAGCAAGAGGAGCTCTACCGGCGACGGAACCCAACTGGGCGACCGCTGATCATCGGACCCCATCGGAACCCCCATTCAAAGAACTCCGCATGGCCCTTGTACGGGAAAAGAGACTGCACGCCCGAAAGTGTCCCTCCAGAGGAAGGAAAGGAGCCCGAACTGGATTGCCGGAACATGGGCGCCCGACCTACCTGAGCGCTTGCTGTCAGGGGAACGGGCCCGGGCCTGCCTGCCACCGACCCAGGGACAACGGGCCGCAGTCCCGCGCCCGTGACAAGCGCCGGCGGAGCCATGGGTGGCCTGGCGTGCGGGTTTTGGCTCCCTGGGAGGGGCCCCCGTTTATGCCAGGCGCCCTTGATCGCCACGGCCGGCGCGGCCTTTGCTGCAGCGGCGGCCTTGTGGGGCTCTGCAGGTGGGCCAGATGTAGGGCCGCAAAAACATGTGCTATTCGACGTCCTCAACGTCTACAGCTGTGGGTGAAAGAACACGTGCTGCTGTACTCGGTGCGTTATGACATCCCACGCAAGACATTTCTTGGACTCGTGCCTAACGTTAGAGAGACATTTCTCTAAGGATTCCATGGAGTACATTTTGTATCGATGACTTGGCGCTATTACGCATGGTCGGTGAAAGGCGCTCTCGCTGACCGGGCCTGATCGCGTCCTTACCTGCTCTGACCCGGAGAGTTGGCAGCTTCAGGTGCCGATTGCTGTTCATGGCCCCAAGGTAGCTGAGGGAAACAGGAATATAATAATGGGTTTTGTTATTAAGAGTAACGGACGGCAGAGGTGCTGAAGAGGAGTTGTTGCAGAGATGCGATGAGCCTATTCCCTTTCCCCGAGAAGCAGCAAAAAAGACGAAGGGAAGGCAAGGCCGGGGAGCCGTCCTGCGTGGCCTGGTGTAGAGTTCCCCCTTGACTTCCAGAACCCTGTACGCAATCCCTTTCCCGCCCTCGCCTTGACGCGGCCTGCCCTGTCCAGCCCTTCAGCCGGGTTCAGCCCTCATGCATGCTGCCCTGTCCAGCCCCCCCTCACATATCCAGCCTGCGTGCCCCTCCTTTGTCCCCCACGTACTCGGCCGCGGTGAGCTTCGTGGTCTCCACCCAGACCCGATAAAACCACTTGAGCCCAGTGAAATGGTTCTTGAAGCCGTAATACTCGCTCAGGTAGAAGCTGGAGGGGAGCGGTGCGTACGGACCCGGCGGCGGTAGCGCAACCATCCGGCGGACCATGGCCTCCAGCACAGCTGCGAGCGCCCATGCGAACGTGCAGAGCCACACATGGGTGGAAAAGTGGAAAGAAGACATAAAAGAGAGGAAGGGGGGAAAACTCCACAAAGCACCACAAGGCAACAACATGCAGCTGGCTTCTTTCGTACCTTTGGAGTGGAAAATGTCTGCCACGGGCAGCCAGGCCACCGGAAGGAGCGGTAGGCCCAGTCCAGGCTGCACGGCCATGCATTCCTCTGGTGCACCCTCAAGCCGCCAATGCGAACTGCGTCCATGCGCGTGTCAGGAGCAGCATTGATCACCGTCACCACACGACCATTACCACCAGCTGCAGCCGCTCTTCACGTTCATGCCACCGCCACAGGAGTTAGATCCTTCCAGTGCCCAAATCCGTTACGTTCACGAATATTGCCACCCACCCCGGGCCCCACATTCTCTTTCACACCTCCTACGGAGAGCGTGTGCCCTTGGTAACTTTGCCCTCGTGGAATGCGTATCGCAGAATGGGATCCCACCAACGGTAGAACAACAGATATTGATTGCTTTTTTAAACCCGGTGGTGGTGTTTCTACCCGGTAATAGCGCGTACCTCAGCAGTAACCCGAGCTGTACTTCCGGGGAGCCGGACCTGCTGTCGGGCAAAGGCGGCAGTGGCGCCTGAGACTGCTGAGCCCCTGCCTGCTCCCTCGCTACGGCCGCTGCGGCCGCTTCCACAGCCGCCTCCATCTGGGCCCTATGGCTGACGTCCGCGCCACCTGTTGTCACAACGAGCAGCCGATGGCACGTGTTTTAACAGTTTCTCACACCATGAACGGTGGATACGGGTGGATAGAGAGATGCGTGTACGCGGGTATGGATGGGAAGGACGAGGAGGATGCCGGTGTGTATTATGCCCGTCAGTCCAGACCGCGTGAAGGCGCTTCAACGTGTCCTCCAGTAAGCCCCCATCTGCAGCCCGTATTTATTGGCCCCCCCATCCAGGGCTCCCCGCCTGCTTGGGTTCCATGTGTTTAGTTGATCCAGGCCCCCGAGCCCATTGGCTCGCCTGTCCTCCTCCATGCAACCTAGCTTTACAAGACTCGCACATACGCGCCTGCCCGCGTCTCATATCATGAAAACACGCGTCCGCACGTATGCGAGCCACACGCGCACATGCACGCATATGCGCTATTCCCTTCTAACATATGCACCTGTCGCGCCCGCCGCTGCGACCTGCCCGTCTTGCGTCCTTTAAATCTAGACCGCCGAAGATCCCGACATCTCCATCTCCCAGCCATTTGCCTTTGCTCTGCCTCAGCCGACAACACAAAATTGCCTGTCTGCCTCTCTCTCTAACGCAAAGTTCCCTTCCGGCACACGCACCTGCAGGATCGAGCCACATGAAGCGAGCATTGACCTGCCGCAGCGCCGCCAGCAGCTCCGGGCTCAGAGCTTCGATTGGCTTCACCTGACGACCTGCGCGCCGGTTATTGTATTGTCCTCCTTGCATTTGCACCATGTCAAGTGAAACAGGCCCTTCTCGTTCTCTCAACCCCAACCCGGCAGCAGCTACTGCAGGACAGCAAGGACACACGACTACTAGCTGCCCGTCTGCTTTCCCAGATTTGCAGAGAGTTTCAGACCGCAACGCCGTTGCCATGGATACCACTTGTCCTACCTACGCATACCTGCACCCTTCCGACGATAACCTAACCGCCCACCTGCTTGCGGCGCCGGCGCCACGAGGACAAAGGTTGCCGCCTTCACTTGTGTACCTACGGATGCATCCGACAACATGCATCCAAACGTTTGCACGCGCAAGCCCATGCAGCAACGAGTCAGTAACATCTATGGTCATAAGGTAATGATTATGGTGACCATTGATTCAAGGGGTAAGTGATGACATTTTGGGGGTTTTACTTTGCGCCTCCCTTGGCCCAGCGAGCCGAGAAGAACCAAAGTAGATCCAGATCATAAGACACGCCTTAGGCCCTTAGATCCATGCCGTCCGTACATATCCCCTATTTTGTTGCGCAGGACAGGGGTCATACAGTCAATAGCCCCGTGACGAATCGATTTAGTAACGCCAGCACTGTAAGCCAAACCGTGCCAATGGAAACGACTGCACACAACGAAGAGTTGACAGAACGATCTACCCCGCAGGCATTCCCCCCGAACCATGTTCCCAGCCCACCGCGGGGCGCCCCGTGCGACCCGCGGTTTGCAATATTGACCAGCCGGTCCTCATCCACATCGCCGCACTTGCATGAACAACCCGCCCTACTTCGCTGCCGTGGCCAGCCCTGACCCACCTCGCTGCGCCGCAGCAGCATTCATCGCCGCCACAAACCGCGAAGTGGTCTGCTGCACATGATAAGTCATGTTCTCCAGCCACGTGCTGCTGCCCGGACCCGCAGATGCTGAAGCAGCAGAAGGACAAGCGGGGAAGGAAACGATGGTAAACAATTGAAAGAGGAGCACATCGCGCGTGCCGTGTATGGGTAATTCACAACAGCAGAAAATGAAGTGACTGATGGGCTTGCTGATGGTTTGCGGTGAGAAGAAGGGATGTAGGCTGTTTGACGTAGTGCTTTTTGGAGGTAGAGCTTTTTTGACGCCGATTGTTCAAGGAGGAAAGGGGAAGAGAAAAAGGAGAGAGGAGCACATGCGAGAGCGCCTACCCTCTGGTGCTGGCTCCCCTAGCGCCTTCAGCAACGCATACATCTCCGTGTGCACGTTGACGGGTGTGCGGGTTTCTGGCCCTTTCGGGCCATGACCACCACCACCACCACCCCTCGCGCTCTGTAGGCCTGCGGAATGAGTGCATAGCAAAAAGGTTTTCCTCAGCACAACGCCATGGAGAATCCTATCCGGGGATTGATGGCGAATTCTAGGCATGGAACGGGCAGGATGTGGGCGAAAGGAATGGTTCAAGGTGATGCCGCACTAGCAACGGTCGAGATGACGCCAACACTGCAGGCACCTGGCAAGGGCTGGTTGCCACAGACGGGGAAGTGTCCGAAGTGCGCTGTGCTGCGCGTGGCGTGGATGGCGTCGCAAAAAAGCTGTCGATGAAACCCCACCTGCACCAAATTCCGCGAGTGCCGGATTGCTTGCAATTTTTGCCTTCAGCATTGTGATCTTCTCTTGCGTAAATCTGCTCCTGTTGGGGGTTGTGGCAGGCATTCCAGGAGGACTTCAACTATCTCGCTCAATACGTCACCGACTGTTAGAACCACTTGCTGATTGATCTTACTTTGTACTTATCATGTGATAGGAAACTGCAGTCTGCAAGCCGAAGAGCTGGGTATAGACATGCGATATGCGCGTCAACACTTCAGCCATTCTATCCGGCGCAAAGCCACCGTCGCCTTCGCGGCCGCTGGGTGCATCTGAAAATGCTGGCGGGCCTGTCTGATCTCGAGGCGAGAATGCGCCTCCATTGTTCCTGATAAAGCCTGACAATCCGTCCACATCCAAAAGGAAGACGATGTGCTGCTCCAGGATTCCAGCTTGAGAGCCAGAGTCACCATCATATCCTCCCGATGGCTGGAATATGTGGTCAGCCATGTCGTGGACTACAGGGACTACGTCGGCAGCGAAGGAAGTCCTATGACATTCAAATTGACAGCGCGGTGGAGAGGCAAAATGCCCAATTGAAACAGGACACCCATGCTTCACCTGACATGCAGAAATGTCAAACACCAACGTATGAGTCTAGCTGAACAGGCTTTGTGACATGGAACTTTTGTTCCCGCGTGCAACGTACCGGCCGTACCAGGGTTGAGACTACAATGTAAAACCATACATCCTTCGGCAATTCAGAAGCTGAACAGGGTTAACCACATCTAAACAGGCCAGCTTTAACAATGCACAGACGCAAATATAGCCCTGCAAGTATAGCCCAGTGATGCTGCAGTGACGGGGTGCATGACAAAACGAAAAAGCACTCCAAATAAGGACAAGGGGTGTCTCTTCAAAGCACAAGAACGGGACGTACAAGTGATACGCGAACGGCAGGAAATGGCTGCCCCAGAACACTAGTACGCTTAGCGGATGGTGAAATGGAGGATCTCAGAATAACATAGCCGAGTTCAAGAACTGATTGGCACCTTTTCCTGAGGTGATGCCTCAGATCCTACAGGTTTTGCCGCTCCTTCGGCAACTCGTCGCTGGACTACCTGAAATACTGGCGGTCATCAAAGCATGGCCCAAGCTACAGGATCTTGTCCAGCGCCCCAGTACAGCAGAGGAGAGCGCACACGACCACAGCCGAAAACCATTATCTTCCACCGGCTTCTCGAGGTGCACGAGGACCGCGTTGCCACGACTGCAGGCATTTTGGAGGATACACTTCAGGCCTCCACTCCTATCAGGCCTCCCCCCTATCCCCCCTCATCCTTCGAAGTGCTGGCTCCCCAAAGCCGGGGACTGCCCCGGTGAACGGTCACAGGGGCAGGGACCCACTTGGCTGGTCGACGTACACGTCAAGCGCTGGCAACTCGGGACGGTACCCTTTACCGCACATATAACATTGCGGTGAAGGATGCCCTGACCCGTGCTGGGGTGGAGATGTGGCGGTTGTGCTACCCCATGTACACCCAGCTCTGTGAGCAGAACAAGCGGGCCTGATGGGAAAACGGGGTAAACATAAGCTACACAAACGCGAACGGCATGCGTGTTCTGTACATGGGATGCAGAGGTGTGAGATCTGTGGCCATAATCGTGCAGTAGAAGGTGAGTTTCGCGTGTTGCTAGAGTGTCGCGCCTACAGGGACCTACGAGAACGCCTCCTCAACCTATAGGTGTATGTCAGGATGATATCGAGCCCCCGTGCCTAACATGAGGTCTGTCATGGAGATAGATAATCAGCGCGGACTTGCGCAGATTGTACGCAGCATCTGGATGAGGCGACGCATGCTGATAGCCGAGTAGTAAGCCTGAGGTCGCTTACTGTTGGGGTGTTACACTGTGGGTGGCTCGCCCCGAGAAAAGGACGAGCAAAGGACGAGCACCGGGGGCCCTGACCGGGGGCCGAAACACAGCGCAGGGGCAGGCGCGCGGCTCTACGTCCGTCTACTGTAGTTACTGTTTTCCCTCACAGATGGGGCTCATAACCCTTTTTTCTTTTTTGTTTCTTTCTTCTTTTTGTCTACGCTAGACTCCCAGTGCATGAGCCTCCTGCCTCGAGTGTGTCTGGCCTTACGAGCTCTCGGGAGCTTACCTGTAACATAACAGGTAACATAACAGATGTCAAACGATGCCATGACACGATTTTACATAATGAAATCATTTTACAAAAGCCAACTGCTTCATGCATGGTAAGTGGCACGTTGCATTCTTCTTGGTTGACCCTGACAGGAATTCATGTCTGTAAGCACATTCGTGGCATGTGTGTTTTCAAGGACACATCTTGATCTTTTAGTTTTAGGGGCCTGGGTAATCGAGTAGAGAGTACGAAAAATAACCTAATGCAGTCATCGCCAACAGAAAACGTAAGCCTCCAGCCTCACGCCATCCGCCTTCTACCTACCACTCATATTTCCCAGCTCGTTAACAGGTCTCGGCCGCGTTACCTTTAGTTCGGCTCGTCCCTCAGGTAAACTGCGCTCGCCGCTACTTTTGCCCTTCCCATTCGCCTCCACCCCACCTCTGCTTCTACACAGAAGCGGCGTTCTCCTTCACCGCTGTTACGTCTCCTCTATGTGGCACCTCACTCTCCTCTATGTGGCACCTCACTCGACCGGGTCCTCTGTCTACCCGGTACACACCCCCCATCTCCCTGCGCACCGCTTCCTCCTGCCCTTTCTTACGCCTGCCTACCTGGGCCCCAGGACCCACACCTTGCCTGTCCGGTGCCGGGTCGGCCTTCCTTGCCTTCCCCGGCCCTACCTGGGGCGCGTCTCCTTGGCGCGTCATCTTCCTTACTTCCGTCCTTTCCTGTCCCTCGGGGGCCCTACCCCCTCGCCTCCTCCGTGGGCCCGGTCCCCACTCTGGACTTGTCTCAAGCTCCCGGCCTCTCTGACGCTGCCGACCCGGTAGGCTTGCCCCCCGCGCCTAGGTCCTGTCTCCTCGTCCCGTCACCCCTACCTCCCCAATCCTCTTCTGCCCTCCAGGCACTGCCGGAGCCTACCCTGCCCCAGATCCTGGCCGCGCGCGTCCGCCCCACTTCCGTACCCTCCACCGTACTGGATCCGCCTTCCAGCCGCCAGATCTACACTCTCGTGAAACCATTGCCCGCCAGGAGGCTGCCGGTCGTGAGCTCTCTGCCTGGCTTGCCACCCTGCCCCATGGCCGTACCCTGCTGACCTGCACTGATGACGACCTGCTCGTCTACTTGGAGGCCCACTGGCTTCCCAACCGTCGGGTGGACGATCCGAGTCCCAACACCGTCAACAATCATCTGGGTCTGCTCTCCGGACTGTTTAACCGCTTGGGCCGTGGCAGCACTTATGACCGTGGAACCGGCATCGGCAACCCCTGCTGCTCCAGCGCCTTGTCCTCCTACAAAACTGGCTATAGCCGCCTCGCCGCCGACTGTGGCTACGAGGAGCAAGCCGCCGTGCCCCTTAGCCCTCGCGATTTCACCACCCTCACGGATCACCTCTGGACCGGATTCCAGGCTTCCACCACCTCCCTAGCCCGCCTGCTGTTGCTACGCGATATGTTGTGCTGCCAATTTATGTGGCACACCAGCTACCGCGGCCATGACACCGGCAAGCTACGGCTACGTGACTTCCGTGACCCGCGGGGTGGTGGCCCCTAAAGGCTTGCATTTGCCCTTGTTGGATACAGCTTCCAATGTCTTTCTGGCCGACCGTCGGTTTGCTTAATAATCAACCCCCTTACGTGGCGATGATGTTGTGGCCCGCTCATGCCTGCCTTCATCTCTGGGCGCTGTTGATTTATTGGCTTATGTGAACATCATAAATCGAACACTTTTGGACTCCCTGAATGATTCATGAGCGGCATAATTGTTGGATGGAGGTACTTGGCTGACCCCGCATTTGAGTTGGCAGAGAGGAATTGCTTTTGACTGTGCACAACGCCAGCAAATAAAATATTTGGAAACTAAATGACGTCTTGCGTGTTGGGTCCCCCGTCTGCAAACCTACCGGAGACCAGGCCAACTTCTAACGTGCCAAATGCTGGCCTTTAGACTATGACACTGCACTTGTCGGATAAGATGGCCTTATGTGTTTCCTAACGCCTCAGGTTCATCGCCGATGTCCTGTGGCGGTTGGGAGCGGTTGCCTCGATTGGGGCCTAGGCATTGTTTACATCGTCTAGGCAAGTCATCATCACACATTCGCCCAAGGTGAATCTCATAAGATGGTAAATATACAGATTTCCTCCTCAAATAGGGGATGCCTCCTTGCGTTCTGGGCTGTTTCGACGTCCACCTCGCAGTGCCTTTCTAGGAGAAGACCACGGCAGAGTTATAGCGCTAAGTGCCACCGAGCTACCTTTTTACTTGAGTTTGCAGATGTGTTGAGGCAGACGCGTCGAGACGTTGGTGCCGCATCGCCGAAAGGTGAATTGCTACGACGAACGGTGGTCCGTCGTTAGCCAGGAAAAATCAGCTGCTGGCTCCCCTTCTATGCGTTGCGTTATCTGTATTGACGCATATCTGGCCCTGTTAGGATATGGCCTTGGTTTTTGTGTTTCCGAACCTCCCAATCACAATGCAGTGGACTGGCATTCTGTTTCCTTTTTTATTCCAGGAAGCTAGGAAAAGGACAGTTACAGATGTAGCAAAGCAAGAGCGCTACCGATCAGGGAAAACATATCCTAATCGGGAGCGAATCGCGAAAGCTCCTGCACCTATCCGCCTGCGCCCTTACCTTCTCACAGGTATCCATCCTGCCCGGAAGTCCCACGCACAAGCAGCTTGAACTTCCAGCCGTCCTGCCAAAGGTGTTATCGCTGAAAGGTGACCGCGACCAACAATGCCCAACGACCCACCATTTCATATTCCTGCCGCCGCCACCCCTAACGACGGGGCAGAGTCACCACCCGCGCTGTCACATATCTGCCTTCCCATCGGCACATCGGCAGCGGCGCCGGCAGCATCGGCGGTGAAGCTTCAGGCTGGCGAAGCCGGTGCTGCCGCTGTTTTACCAGGTAGCGGCTGTAGCAGCACCAGCAGCAGCATCAGCCAGAAGAACAGCAAGCGGAGGGAAGTGCTGCTTGCGCCGCCGCGGCCACAGCCAATCAGGGCGAAGCAGCAGCAACCTTGGGCGAAGGCGAAGGCGAAGGAGGCGCCAAAGATCGGCTGCTCCGTGGGTCCTGCGGTTGTCATGATCATGGTGGTACTGTACCTGCTTATGCTGCTGGTAAACCGTTAATTTAGCGAATTGAGTTACAGGATTAAGAACCGTGTATGAGACCTTGTTTTTAGTGCAAACGAAATCATCTGTGCGACAAATTCCCAAGAGGATAAAATTAATGCTGCGCGGTCGTGGCCAAGTTGCCCTCGGATATCGGGATGCGCATTCCGAGCAGGATTGGCGGCCAGACTGATCCAAAACGCGGCGCTTGTATTGTATATTTAAGCCAATATTCCGAAAAGGAAAGACAACCTCTAGGATGTGCTGCTTGTCTTTTGCAAGGTCTCGCCCTGGACGCAAACCACTAAGCATCATTCGTCATTTGTTATCCAGTCAACCCAGAAGTCACGTTAGCAATTCGTTGTACGGTAAAGATTTGAACCGTAAATCATGCGACAAATTCGTTCTCAAACGTGCATGACCATTCATGCATTGCAATAGTGCTGCCATTTTCATGCTTTCATGCATAGCAGCGCGATTATTTTCTCGAGACCTGTTCGTGCAGAGTTCATGCACGGCACTGATATCCAGTTATGGTCAAACATGATGCGTACGGCGACACATGCACAGCACATCGTACAACTGTCCGTACAACCAATTTCATGGCACCATGAGAACATTAAGAATGATGTTGCTTTTGCATATTGGTTTTACCGTGTGTTTTTGCAGGGCGTCGTCATGATTGTACGCCAGCAGGTGCTACGGCGCGCTGCTGCGCCGTACAGCCTTCTTGCGGGCCTCAAGTCGGGCCACGTAGGTCAACATGTCGTACGCCTCCAGCGCCTTATAGATTCCGGTGACGTTGACCACCTGGGCCCCGGCGGCGCCGCCAGCACTCTCCTGGTAACCGATGGCGGCGGCACCAAGTCCGCCTTGGTCATGCTTCTTCACGACAGGGAAGGTCGTACAGATGCCACCAGAGGCGTCGTCGCCGCCGCCGCCGCCGCCGCTGCTTCCCGCATACGAACTTTTGCTGCTGCTGACGATGACGTGGACACCAGTGCTGATCTTAACTCTGTCGCGACTGTCCCAGATGCCGTCTGGAACAATGGCTCCATCGCCGGTTCAGCCAAGACCAGTAACTTACATCCGGTGAAAGTTAACTTCGACTCAGAAGATGCTGATGGCAAACCTGACCTACTGGATGTAGTTGCACACTCCGACGCCGATGTTGAGCGCAAGGCAGCGCAGGCGGCTGCAGCTATCGGTTCCTGGTCCACCTTGAAGATTGCGGCGGCAGCTGCAGCTCCGGAACCAGCAGTAGCAGTGACGGTGGCGGCAGAGGAAAAGGCTTCGGAGCAGCGGCCACATCGTGGCACTGCCGGCAATGGCCGCAACGGCACCGCGGCTGCTGTGGATTTGAGCCGCGCCGTGGCTGGTACGGATGCAGGCGATCTGGTGATAACGAGTACCAGTGCAAAGGATGGCATGAGTGCGTCGGACACCGCAGCAGCCGCCGAGCCCCGGCCTACGATCTGGAATTGGCGGGCGTGGTGGAGGTCTCATCGCTTTCTGGGACTTGAAAGCCGCTGGCGTTAAGTAGGACGGCTTCCTGATTCGTTCACCTAAGACATCACACGCAGCAGAAGGCATCGACCTGTGCATCGTATCTATCTAACGTACAGAACATTGTTTGGTCACCGAGCCAAGAGAAGAGCCGTTGTACTCTGTACGCAAAGTAGAAGGGACGCCCAAAACCCTAAAACCCTAAGGGACCATCCGAGAAGAATCCATTGATGTACGGTGCCACACACTCTGATGACGCTGCAAATCCGTACATGGACTTTAGTTGTTTTGGCAAAAGGTAGTTTGCTGCGGAAGTAAAATACTGTTGGACCCACCAGCGGGTACAGAGCACCCCAAACTCAAGGTCTTCCTGTGATCATGACCCCGCTTAGTTGGTATGGAGTTTATGCGCTCTCCCTCTCTCTCTCTCTCTCTCTCTCTCTTAGACCGAAAATTGGATGTGGCCGCTGATAGTAAAATTATGAACATGCGCTGTCCACATAACTTGAGGCGGGGGCATTGTATGAGCGCTCTCATATGGTCCAAATCACGAACTGCTGCTTGAGTCCAGCCCCAAATGTCGGTAAGAAGATCTGGAAGCTTAGCCCCATGTTTTTCGTGACATTTCCTAACATGGGCGGGGGACCGCGCTGTTCGTTTGAATGGCCCTCGGTGCTGCGTCTTATGACACGCCACTAATTGAGCGGGGAGATCTGCACTAGCAGTCTCTAGGATTATAAAGAATTGGTATAGGATTGGCAGGGATCAGCGCTTGACGTATGTTACCAAGGAACGCTCGTCAGTATGTCGGTTGTCGCGACTCCCCAAATGGAGGCAAAACTCGTACGACATGGAGTCCAGCTGATGTGGATGTAGTTTAGACTGTACGACGTGATAATAGTGTGCGGCTTTTCGATATGTAAGGCATTTGTGATCCACTGGACAAGTGCTTTTGCAAAAAGTTTGAATTGCGGTTTCGGCTCTCTTAACAGAGCGATGGACGATACGAAAAGTCCTTGGAATTATGCATAAAATGTCTGGATCCAGCTAAACCTTAGAAATATGGATCCAGCTGGCTCCTTAACTACCAACTGTAACAAGTGTTTTCCAAATGGCATACAGTTTGAGTCGTCAAAAGAGTCGTCAAAAAGCTTCCTTCGCAGCCAGGAAGATAAGGATCGTCGGTGCTTTACATCTAGCGGATAATGAGAACCTACAGTCCAAACACGACACCGTTCCTACACTAGCAGCCCAGCGCCGCACAGCCTCCCCTGCAGAAATGGTGTGGGAGCACTGACTGATGCACCGGGACCGAGAGCCCTTTACACGAGTCCACCACATCATTACACATTCTACAACTGTTTTCTTAGCAATTATTATTTTCCTCCAGAACGCTCCCGCAACACCAACAGACATTTCCACCGCACACAACGCCATAACGCGATCCGCTCATCTTCCGCCGCCGCAATATCCACTCACACTTCTCACACATCTCTCTGCGCGCTTCAAAACCTGCAGCACTGGTCCGCACCTCAACAGGAATACAGGAAAAAAAAGAAGTCCTGCCGGTTTCCCACGCTCAGGATATCATTCAGGTTTTGTGGGTTTTTAAAAGTTAAAAAAGTTTCTATAACCGTTATCAAGGCCTCCAATTTATTCTGGCACTAAGCAAAATCCCTCTGTCCGCTCAAAAAAAGGTTCATGACTTATTGAAGCCAAGAAAACGGCCACGGCGAAATCATCAAACCAATCATGCCCCGGCCCCTTTCCTCGGAGCTGCGGTCACATCCGCTGGCATGCCGTCGCCACCGGTTACGTCGTACCGCCACGTAAGCTCCGTACTGAAGGAAGCTCCACGGGGCTGCCGCCGTCCAGGTTGCCGCCAGCGACGCTATCCAGGGGAATGACGGCGCCGACGGGGATAACTACCGACGAAGAGGCAGGCAGCGGCGGCGGCGGCGCTGACGCCGACGCTGATGTTGACGCTGACGCTGGGTTGACGGTCGGATCGGGCATGCCGACAGCGGCGGCAGTGGCGGCGGCAGCACTTTCGATACGCCTGAAAAAGTCCCGTGCGGTCTCAGGCGGCGGCGGCTCGTCCCCGAGCCCTTCTTCCATTTCGCCACCGCCGTCGCCGTCGCCGTCGCCGCCAACACGACGGCCGATGGCACCCTCATCATCAGCTTCCTCCCCCGATTGCCATTCGTCCCGTGCGTTGTGCGACGCTGCCGCCGCCGACAGGATAGATGACAAGTGGATCCGTACGGCACCGGCAGCGCGGCTCAGCATGGACGCGTGGTCTGCCAACTCCCGCGCGTCCGTCGCGAAGCTAGGCGCCGTCGCCACACTGTCGCCGTCAGGCGACGGCGACGTCGCCGCTGCCAGCCTGGCCGCCAACGCCGCGACTGCCTCCGCGGTGCGTTCCAGGACGGCGAGCTGGCGCTGTAGTGATGCGGATGCGGCGGCCGGTGGCGGCGCAGTGGCGGCGCCGCCGCCAGGCAGCTCAGGGGACAGCGCCGCTGCCACGGCGGCCGCTTCCTTCCAGAGCTGAGCCGCTACCTGTACGTCAGTCAACAACGGCGCGCTGTGACGACGAAACGCCGTCGGCGGAGCCGCGGCGTCGCCAGCCTCGACGTCACTGCCGCTGACAGCACCGCCAGTGCTATCCGCGCTGCCGTACCTCATTCGCATGGATGTACGACGCTGTAGACGATGCTGTGGGCGCTTTTCGGTGCGAGGCGACGGCATGCGAATGTTACCCCTCGGCACGGACGGCGTCGGCGGTAGGATGCCTCTGCACCGGCGACAGCGCCGCCAGCCTGCGACGCCCCCCGGCCACTTCAGTTGCGGGCCTTCGTAGTACGCCTTGTACGACATCTGTCGTACAGCTGTATCATTTTCCGGGCTGGTGCACTCTGTCGCTGACATGCTGAAGGTCCCGGTGCCGCCGCCACGATCACTTTCACTACTGCTGCCACCGCCGCTACCCTCGGCACTGCCGACGCCTGCGACAGCGGCGTTTCCCGTTCGACACGTCGGTGGTGGTGTAGCCGCCGCTGGCGGCAGCGGTGGCTTGCCGCCTCGAGGCAGTTCAGCTCGCGCCGTCAACGGCGCCGCCGCGCTGTCAGTGGCATAACCCTCCTCGTGGAACCATCTCCCGTCGCCGCCGCGACCTGCTCCGCCGCAGCGGCACCACAGGCCGCCGCTGCCGCCGTCGGCGGCGGCTACATCCAACGCCGCAGCCAGAAGTCCGCCGCCGTGCAAGCTCCTACGGATACTTCGCGGCGTCGGACTAAAGCTTTCTTCAGCCCAATTGTAGCCGACGGGACCAACTCGCAAAGGCCGTACACTATGACCGCCAGCGGCGGCGACGGCGCCGCCATCACCCTCGCTGCAACCACTGCCGTACGTTCCAGCAGCAGCAGCAGCGGCGGCGTCATGCCGCTCGGCCGCCGCGGCCTCCGGGCCGCTGGGCTCGCCAGCTTCCGCGCCGCAACCTTCCAGCGTGTCGTACGGCCCTGGCGGCGGCGTTTGCGGCGGCGGCGGCGCCGCCGCCGCCGCCACCACGATGGCCGAAGGGACGGTGCGGTGAAGCCATTTTGGCGCCAAATAGTGAATGAGAGATACGCCGACATTGGCGCAGATCAGAATTGCGAAAACGGAAGTGGTTAGGATTTCGTGGCCAACATCAATGAAAGGACTCTGGGGTCCCGCAACCGCGCGGATCATGTCCAGGGGCTGCGCGCCCAGAGCCGCCTGCGGTTGACAGTTAGCCGTTAGAATCTCTTAACGGTTTCGTCATTGACGGTACGGCAGAGTTCTCTTAGTAGATTCTGTTAAAGCTTCGAACTTTAAAAAAGGTGAGAGGCCCCTCTACCGCTACTACCAACGCGGACTTCAACATTTGGGGGTTCAAAATGGACAAACTAAGCGATTTAATGCGATGCCAGATGCGATGGTGGTAGAGAACAGACCAGGCGTGAGAGTACATGGCCGTAAACAACCCTATAACATAAGAATCTTCTGACATCCCATGTGCCTAATAATGCCCCATTCTTCATCGCCGTTCAGCGATGTACAGCGGCCTAGGGCTTATCCCGTCATGTCGTACCTGTACGGTGGCTTTCGGCGTCCATGCGATGGCGACAAACATTCGCTCCCGTACAGTCAGCCCGGCTCCGGTCATAGCAAAGTAGGTGGTGGGAATCCGTACGGCCATACCTACATACATGCGCACCGCAATTTTGAAAACAACTGGTACGGCATTGTACGGAAATTCAAGCGGGATGTATTGGAGCTGAATGACGAATAGAGGTTTAGTTTAGTTTCGACTGTTATCGGACGGCTAGTGACCAGGCTAACTGCCAACCACCGCAACGACTTACCTATAGCTACCAGCGCCAATGAGCGAGGAATGATCTGACCGCTAACCGTACGGAGGTTGACCAACGAACCAATTATACCGAAAAGCATCGGCTGCGCAACCACCCTCCAGAACAAGCCCACACGAGCCTCCACCTCTGCCGCATAGCTGCATGGCCAAAATAGGCAACAAGCGCGCAGAGAGGCAACGTCATGTCATCGTACATTAGGCGCGGCGCAATCAGTAACATCCGCAACGTCCAAATGGAACAGAGATCTTATGGATAACGTTAGGGTCCTGCATCTCACGCACTTTACGTGATATAAAACAAAACACACGCGCTTTACGTAGTACAACAAAACAAACAAACAAAGCAAAATGTAGTATTAGCACACTTGCACGTAACAACAACAAACGCGCGTCAACACCCGTTCCCCGTATTTTCGTCGTATTACACTAAGTAAAACCCCGGTACCCTAAAAGTGCTGCCGATGCGCTGTCGTACAAGTTGTCGTACTACCGTACCGTCGTACCGCCTCCTCACGCGCCCACAGAGGGCACATACCGAGGTTGCGGGCCGCGAGTGAGTCCACTGCGTCGGCCAACGCCCCAGAAAAAAAGGGAGCCGCGCTCCTGCGCCGTACATTCGTACATGCATTGTATGGTGTCGTACATGGTTCAGATGATATCAAAAAATAAGGGCTCATACCGCGACAAGGGGCCCAAACGCATGCCGTACATGCACGTACGTGAATTTCCTTCTACAATTATAGCTCAACACGCCCCCACAGTTCTGTATCCTAAACAAGCAACCAGCGTGTCTCCCCAACCCTTGTTCCCGATCAGCTCAATTAGTTCAAAACTTAACTGACCTAATCCCTGCAGTACACATGCCGTACATCTCCGTACATTCAGTCAGGCAGCCGTACCTACCCAGAACACGTTGACCGCCAGCCCCAGCACCAGCGCCGCCAGCGCGCCGCCGCCGCGGAAGTCGTACCGATACAGCGCGAACAAGAGAGCCATAGCGACGGCGAATACGACTGCCGTACGTTTGAGGCTGCTGTCCCAGAGCCTGGTGGCCGCGCAAAGGGCGGCGCCCATAAGGCCCGCCAGGGCACCCAGGGTGATGTCCAGGGGGCCTTATGTACGCAGGTGAAGCACGAAGCCGAATGTCGTACCCATGCGGAATGGAAGTGTGAATTCAAAGCGATGGCGAGAGGGAATTATGAACGGTAGTTAGGTAGTTCGGTAATTTAGTTAGGTAGCCGGTTAGACATTTTACCGGGAGGTAGAGGGTGGAGTGAGTTTTATTTAAAAGTAAACGCGCTTCGCAAGAGGTTGATTTATTCTTGTGCCAAAACGAAATTACAAAAAGAAAAAGGAAAGGATGCGAAGGGCACTTGGCCACCTGGGGCTAACCGTACGACAGACAGACGTACACACGGACGTTAAGATTAACGTACACTGTACGGCTTACCGTGCAATATCGTCCAGACGAGGCCGTGCTTTTGGCCGCCATGGCTTCCTCCACCCCCCCCACCCCCCCCACCACTTCCCTCTCCCCCACCACCGCCGGCACCCCCGGATGCGCTAATCAAGGAGGACATGGCGAAGGAGGAAAAGAGAGAGTAGCCTGATATGGCAACCATGTCGTCGAACGACGCGGCACCGACCACGATGGCGGGGATGCCTGTACGGCAGACGGTTGGTTACGGTTAAACAGCGGAAATTATTCTGAGCATCCGAGGTGCGGGCAGGCGAGGCCATAATTTTTTTTTCTCGCACCTTCGTGAGCGTGCCTGTTATATCACGACTTGTCAGAAAAAAAGAACCGACCGGCGGATGCAGATCCCGTGATAAGCCCTACAGGGTACAACAGCGTGCGAGCCCCACACAGGAAAATGCGCGACACCCCAGTTTTTTGTGGCGGCTTGTACGGCAACCCGAAAAGAAAGCCGCAGCAACGCATGGTGAACCTAGCTTCAGCACGCACGAGAAATTTTGTCATGTACTGAAAATGAAAATTTACTGAAACTTTTTCTTCTCAGATAACCACCCGCACCCACATCCACCCACACGACTCCCTAGTGTACGACATACCTTTGTTGACTCCCAGCCCGCGCTTTTGCAGGTCAAACATGGTTTGGATGACCACCGCAGGGCCTGCCAGGGGTGTACGGCGGTTGTATGTATGTATGTGCGTGTACCGGTGTGTATGGGTATGTGTGTATGTGTGTACCCGGGGGGAAAGACGAACCACGAACGAGTGAAGCTGCTGCCAGGGCAAGAGTGT